CAACAGGCGTTGGCCTACATGAGGCCGTTGACGTAAAACTGCAGTTTTTGTTAGATTAGCACAGAGCCAACGCGTCCGGTGATTTCGCGCGATAACTGTACAAAACTGTTCATAATCCTAATGAACAATTTTAAGCTGTATAACTATCATAGAACATAAGATATTTGACATATGCTTGAATCGGGCTAAATATATTTTCAATTTACATTTGCATTTAAATACAAGATCCGAATAATAATATTTGGACAGTCGGTTTCACGATCAATTTCACGCGTCCGGTGGAAGTTCTTCTCTTTGTCGATTCCACCAAAAAAAAATTTTTATTTTTTATTGATTGGGTAGGTGGACGAGCTCACAGCCCACCTGGTGTTAAGTAGTTACTGGAGCCCATAGACATTCACAACGTAAATGCGCCACCCACCTTGAGATATAAGTTCTAAGGGTCTCAGTATAGTTACAACGGCTGCCCCACCCTTCAAACCGAAACGCATTACTGCTTCACGACAGAAATAGGCAAGGTGGTGGTACCCACCCGTGCGGACACACAAGAGGTCCTACCACCAGTAACAAAATTAAAATAAAATAAATTCAATTTCTTTAAATTATAAGTCCAAAACAAAAAAAAAACCTCAACAACTTTTTTTATCGAAAGTTATTCGTAACAATTGCTTTACGTCGTACACGAACTCGTGATTCGCTAGTTTAATGATTTAATCTAAAAATAACTTCACTTTCATTCGCTATAGTTTACGAACGGTGAATGTTGTAATAAAATAGTTTTTATTATCGGTAATCACTGCGTCATGATAAAAAAAAATGATTTACTATTCGCGTCGATTCAATTTCGAACAACAAAAAATACAAATCGTTTAGTTGTTGTACACATTACGGTTCTGTGTATTTTTGGGTGATTATTTATTTATTTCTGACAATCTGTTAATTTATTTATCCTGTCTATATCATTATTTAACTATTAACTATAATTAATAGTTCGACTACGACATGGTACTGTTAAAATATTTACTGTTATAGCGTATGTACATTTTAGGGAAGGATGGAATCAACATCCTTCAGTCACGGGTGCAATGTAGTGGGTAGTGGATAATCATTATAAACCTCGCGCCGCTGTCAATAGTGACGTCCCGTCGTTTCGCAGGAGGAGGGCGACACTGTATTTCTTCTTCTTATCAGCCCACTGCTGGACATATGCCTCCCTAAGCCTCGCCACAAAGACCGACCACTACTATATAGATAACCCTATTATACACCCTATTAGCGGAAGTTTGGATCTAAGTATTGTTAGATAAATTAGATACTCAATAGGTCGTTGACGTGAATGTTGAATCTTTTTTTTACGGGGACTCGAACGATGCTGAGTCGATACTAGACGAATTAGGTCACACTCTACTGGTGGTAGGACCTCTTGCAAGTCCGCGCGGGTAGGTACCACTACCCTGTCCATTTCTGCCGTGATAGCAGTAATGCGTTTCGGTTTGAAGGGTGGGGCAGCCGTTGTAACTATATTTGAGACCTAAGAACTTATATCTCAAGGTGGGTGGCGCATTTACGTTGTGGATGTCTATGGGCTCCAGTAATCACTTAACACCAGGTGGGCTGTGAGCTCGTCCACCCATCTAAGCAATAAAAAAGTCTTACGGATTAGGGAGCACGACAATCGAACAATAGATTTAAGATTCAGAACAGCCTAAAACCTAGATAAGCGAAAGATCACATCGATTCTCAAATAGCAAAACAGCAACGTAAACTTTAGCATTCGTTACCCGTATTATAATAATTTACGTTCTGATAATTTTAATAACAAACTAACTTTGTATCGTAAAGCCACGTACACATGTACCACGGCAAGGTCGCCACTGATGAAAGATAACAATGATTTTGCGTTTTTTCAACAGTACCACGACAATAGTTTTTGTGATGTGTGTGAATTCATGATCGAAGTACCTATATGACGAGTTGACGCGAAAGTCATACGCGTTTTTCAGGGTGGCGCTTAGGAGACTAGGTTTCAAATGTTATTAAATACTAGCTGTACCCATCCGCTTCGCTGGGCATTTAAAATTAACATTATTATTTCTCACCCCCCCCCAAATACTCTCATCATTAACGGCTCCCGCAACTGGTGTAAGGAGTCCAACACTCATATAAATATTAGCCTATCCATTAAGTACATGTATTTTCGGTGTTTACGGATGTTCCGTTATAACTACTACCATGCATCCGATTGACTTGAAACTTGGTATCCATGTAGAAAATACATGTACTTAATGGATAGGCTAATATTTATGAGTGTTAGACTCCCTACACCAGTTGCCGGGGCGTTAATGATGAGAATCTTTGTGTGAGTGAGAAATAAAAATTTTAATTTTAAATGCCCAGCGAATCGGACGGGTACAGCTAGTTGAATATAAAGTTGACATTCGATGTTTGTATAGTTTTGTACAATTGCGTTTGTACAATTGCAATGCAGAAACGTATCTCTCTCTTTTTCTCTCTCTCTCTCTCTCTCTCACTCTCTGTCACTTTCTACTTTGAAAATTTTACTTATGTCATCTGCATCCGAATGTTTATCTTTAGCGAGCGTCGATCCTTTTTGTTGAACGTCTCTCGGCTGTGACCACGCATAATTCAAAATACAGTTTTACTGGAAAGTGATAGAATAATTCAGAAGAACGTAAAAAGTACGCTCCGAAACCGATTTTCAAGCCGCCCCAATTTTATTATAAATCAATGTTTGTCATACTTATTTCGGTATCGATAAAAACAGAAACATTTCGCGCGTTTGATTGAGGATCAAGACCTTGGAGCCAGGGAAAACCGAACGTCACGCGAATAACAAACACGCACGCAAACTTTTACGAAGGTCATTGGTCTTTACGATACGACACATGCGAGCAGTGTAAATGGTCGTGATTTTGGTCATATGTGTATCGGAGGAGGCGACCAATTGAGACAATTGAAGAATATTAATTTAGTAAACCAGAGTTATTAAGATGCCCAAACTAAGTTGATCTATTAAATAATTCCAATCCTGCCATCCTTTACTAAATGGGGCGTATCGTGAACTGACATCGGCAGGTCCTACGTGACAATTTGTCGTGATGTCTGTGTGCTTAGTGCGAGTTTTTTAACGTTGTCGATAGCGTAAAAGTTAAGTCAAATTTGTAGGGAGTTGGAACGTTTGCCTATGTTTGCCACTAGAGGTTTGAATGGTGAGACTGCATTTACTAGAACCGATCTCATGTTTATTGACGTTGCGATGTCCACAGACTCCGTATATATGTAAAACTGTTACAATAAACGGTCATCCGAATTTCAGCATCAATTTTCTTGTCATCAGATACTTCATGTCACTCAAAGAAATAGAACAACTTTGACTATGAACTTTGATGACAAAACAATGTCCTTGAATTGCCGAAATAGAAATGAATGCCAAAATAAAGGACGGATTTTTTTCTTCCTAAAATGACGTCATGTATATCTAGTATATTACAATAGCAAGCTTAATTTTTATCGTCAAGCTTACGAAACAGAACCACGTGTCGGTCGCGGCGGGCTCGCTCCGTGACACGCCCACTTTGACTACGTCAGGTGGCGCCAGGTATATTAATAACGGGAGATCCGCTAACGACATTCTTGTTCTATTTTCGAATCATGTCAGCTGATATTAATATGTTTTTTTAATTTATTTTATTATTACTTGGCTACCATAGTTATAAAGGTTTTCTAATATACAGTTTATATGATAGAAGGCAGTTAACACTGCTTATGGAAATGGGTGATTTCAGAGGCGCTACTAAGCAGCTGAGAATTCTTCTGGAGCATCATTTGAAGAAACATATGTCATAAAACTCAGGAAGCATGGCGGAAGATGGATGAATAGATTGAATAGATTTCAGTCTAGAGTCAAATGGTATGTGGAAAAAGTGGAGTATAAAAGTGGACTGAACTATAAGAGAATAAGAGCTCTATCATACTTCATTTAGGAGATCACCAGTGACCCAAAATATGAGGTAGATATGTTAAAGTTTTTATTATATTATGTCATTCATCTATAGTCAACAGCCTGTTTTTCACAAATTATGAATTGACAAAGACTAAAATATTTTTGTCGTTGGTTACATATCAGTTAATTGCATGAAGCATTGTTATTGTTTAATTAACATGATCAAATAATATTTGCATTGATAATATTTATTGTATGCAAACTTAACTGGAATTTTAATTAAATTCTATCAACATCAATAATTATGATCATCCTCAAGTACAAGATAACAAAATGTTTATTTATCACAAAACCATTAGTATTACTATAATCTTATTGTTAATCATTATTGAGGTTATTAAGTGCACCCACTGTTACAAATGAGGCAAATACAAAATCAAGCATTTTATATTAAAGTAGATATTTTTATTCATAAAATCATCATAAAATTACCGTTACTATTTTAACCATTGCTTATTTAAACAAATTTATTTGAAGGTAACTACGGTATTTCCTGTAACCGCTTTAAGTAGCATAGATAACAAAAAATAAAAGTGAAGGCTGACAAAAAACTTAACTCACTTTCACTAGCACTCAGAAGAGCCAAATAATGTTGCCTCTATCCTGTTCCTTAACAAAAACATTGAATTGTCTGACGTTTAAAACAAAATTCTTAATATAATAATATACTTAAGTATCTAGTATAGTATCTATACAACAAGTAGTATAGTATCTCTACAAAGCACATTCTGTAATTTGCTCCTGACATGTATTATATTTATAAATTTGTTTATACTATTGTAGACACCTGTAGTTGTTAAGGGATAGAGATAAATTAAAAGGTTAATAAAGTTACTTAATTTGTAAGTCTAATTGGTAATCCATTAGATTAAACACTAATGAGGTTTTATATTAAAACCCACTTTATTAAAACCTATTTCAAGTCACCTAACCATTGTTGAGCTTAATTTATTTCAAAGATGAACAATTCACTTACCCATCGGTGGTCACAGAGTTCAGAGACAACGACTCAGGGAAGGTCATCTCTTGTCTCTCAGGTTCCTGTGCTTCCACTGGCTCGGTGTGTGCAAATTGTGAAACTTCTGCCGGTATGTTTGGTTCATCAACCCCATCATTACTGATAGTGCTACTCTTCTGGCTAACATTGTGAAGGCCTGATAGGTCAACGCTCTTATCTACACCCTCGTTTAGAGCCTCTGAGACAACAAGAATAAAGAGTGCACAGCTGCAAATATCAAATAATTTTATTAATGATTTTGTATTGAATGTCTAATTGGACTTTAATGATAAATCAGTACTTACCTAGAAATCACGGAAATAGTCAGCAAAGACGTGTAGATGATACACAGTCCACCCTTCATCGTAGAATTAATGATATATCCACATTCCATATCATTTTGCAAGTTTTAGCACATATTTTTGGTAACGTCACACGATTCACGACGTTTTTATTTATTTATAAACTTACGATCGTACTATCAACGATAACTGAACATTTTCACTTTCGATTTTATTAATGATTCTAACGTACAATCACATGAAACGTTAAAATAATGAACGAAGTTTTCCCCAAATTTTCTGTAATCGAGTCGTCAATAGTCAGTTGAGTACTTGACAGTTGACATATGTATTTCATTTTTATTTTTTTCACACCCATTTATATATTCTTTCAAATCTAATTGGTTGAATGGGATCGTTTCATCGATTTGAAACTCGCCACCAATGAACGGATAACATTTAAGTCTTATGTTTGTTCTCTCCTTCTTATTGGTTACATGTACGTTACGTTTCACGTAGGTTTTTTAAAAAGGAAACATTACAAATTTCTCGCTTGAATTAAAATTCGATTAATAGTTATGCTATAGAACCTACCTACTATAATAATTTATGTTATCTTTTGCTTAGAGATTTTATTCACCAATCCAATAGATATTTATGTGACAAAACTTTTCATTAAAAGAGTTAGAGTCTTGTCCTTAGCGATATAATAACATTTTCATTTATCTTCTTAATATCTTAAATATAATCACAATAAACTTTACCTATCATGGATAATTTCAATTAAAATATGGAACACATTTGAAGTCGTCTTGACCTAAAGGATAAGACGTCCGGTGCATTCGTATCTAGCGATGCAATAGTGTTCGAATTTCGCAGGCGGGTATGGTGAGTCCACATGAGTAGGTAACACCCCCATGCCTATTTCTGCCGTGAAGCAGTAATGCGTTTCGGTTTGAAGGGTGGGGCAGCCGTTGTAACTATACTGAGACTTTAGAACTTATATCTCAAGGTGGGTGGCGCATTTAAGTTATAGATGTCTAAGGGCTTCTGTAACCACTTAACACCAGGTGGTTTGTGAGCTCGTCCACCCATCTAAGCAATAAAAAAAAATGGCTGTATGCTCAATACGAACAAAGATTTTCAAAAATAAATGTTCCAAGTGACATTTGGCAGTTACGAATTACGACAAAAGGCCGGCTCTTGAGTTATCTTGCCGTTGACGTCAACAAGTTTTATTTTTGTTAAAGTTACAAGTGAGGATTTGTACTAAAGCAGTGAAATGGAAGGGCTATTTGCAATACCGTTTACAGTTTTGGAAATTCCAAACATAAAAATTAAGAAACCAACATGGCTTCAAGCTCCGTCTGCCATGACAACCTTTTCACTGGTGTTACTCTCTTACTTTTTGGTTACTGGAGGTTAGTTTAATTTTTATTTATTGCATATTTGAAATTTCCTCATTAGATATTCGTGTAATCGGTGTTCTGTTATTAGGTATTATTTACGATGTGATAGTCGAGCCACCGAGCGTGGGTTCAACGACCGATGAACATGGACACAGCAGACCTGTAGCCTTCATGCCGAATCGTGTTAATGGTCAGTACATCATGGAAGGTCTTGCGTCGAGCTTCCTCTTCTCACTCGGAGGGCTTGGCTTCATAATACTAGACCGCACACACAACCCAACCACACCAAAACTGAATCGAATTCTCCTTATCTCTGTGGCATTCCTATGTATTTTAGTGTCATTCTTTACCACTTGGATATTCATGCGTATGAAGTTGCCAGGATATTTACAGAATTAATTTGTAAGCTAATTTTGTATTGTTTTATTTTTGGGCTGTAGTACCAATAAGTTTTAATAAATATTTTTATACTCAGTTTTTTGATGTGTTTTTGTTTTATCAGTATTATGGTTTCATTACTGTTGGTAGGGTGTTCTGCAAGCTCACACATGCAAAATCGAAGTGGTGTCAAACCAATGACCATAAAAATATGATGGAAATAATCGCGTCCCATCACACAAATGGTAGCTTTAGAAGCTTTTGGAGAGAGGTGAATTGGTTGAGTCCTGTATTGAGTGCTCCGTTGAATGTTGAAGGGAAAAAAGAGTTGGTATATATTGCCAATCAGTTTTTAGAGCATTTCAAATTCTCATCACCATTGGGTCCATCTACTCGAGCAGACTGCTATGACGTTAGTGGACTTGAGGTATGTTTCTCAGTGTGTGACATCATTATGGTAGTCAATATGTCAATATATAAAATTTTTAGATAGTTTACTAAATAGCTACTTAAATAAACAAGTGGATCTTAATGATAGGTAGTTTAGTTTTAGGAATGGGTTAATCGACTGATACAGCAATAATGACACTTAAGAGTACTGTGCAGTATTTTACTGGGAGGAAGACATCTGTGTATGCATGTTTCCAGGATCTGTCCAGGGCTTTTGATCTTGCTCTATATGATTTATTGTGGAATAAGTTAGCTAGGGAAGTAAACTTGCTGCTGAATTAATAAAAAAAATTTAAGATATCCCAATCTTGGCAGCATCTTGGCAATCAAAATAATAGTGTGCGATGGACCGGTGCTCACTCTGATGTGTACTGCTTAGAGCAAAGCAGAGGGTCTATCCTCATCTATGCTATTATATTAAGCATATACATGAATAAGCTCATTGATGAGCTTAGTAGTGCAAGTGTCGGCTGCATTATGGAGTTTCTTTTAACAATATTAGTTATGAAGACGACATGGTGTTGCTCAGCCCATTGATAAGTGCACTAAAGTATCAAAAAAAATCTGTGAGTCCCACAGGCTGAGGTACAATGCCAAGAAGAGTGAACTGCTAGTGTTCAAAGGCCAGAACAAAACTTACGAGAATGTTAAACACGTCATTTCGGATCCTCCCGATCCACTAACGGTGCTTTTAGGTACCTCAAGCACCGGTCACCGTTCTCGTCGAACCCGTCGTTTGCGACGAAGGGCTCGACGAGTAAATTAACCCTCAGACATAGCCCACTGAGTTTCTCACCGGATCTTCTCAGTGGGTCGCGTTTCCGATCCGGTGGTAGATTCTGCGAAGCACGGCTCTTGCTAGGGTTCGTGTTAGCAACGTCGTCAGGTTTGAGCCCCGTGAGCTCACTACTGGTTAAGCCTCTCAAGGCTATCAGCTTAGGTAGAAAAAAAAAAGAAACGAGAATGTACCTCCAATCTGGCTAGCAGGCCCAACACTTACACGAGTCAAGTGCTTCAAGTACTTTGGTCACTGGGTTACAGAGGATGGTATGGATGATTGTGATATAGAAACGGAACGTAGGGCCTTGATAGTAAGATGCAATATGCTGGACCGCAGAAGTAGTAGTTGCGATAGCCAACATTACACTTTTTAAAGCTTATTGCCAGACTATTTACGCCAGTCTGCAGATTACATATACCAAGGTGAGCTTATAATGCATTACGTGTTTAATATATTAATGCGTTTAGGCTGATGTTGTCACTGCCGCGCTTTTGTACTGTCTTCATCCATGCCATCTCCAATCTCACACAGACGACTTCTTGGCAATAATGGGGATGAGAAGTGTATCGTTATTACGTCGAGTGCGTGACAGTGGCCTTCTGTGTGCTTAGTGCGAGTTTTTTAACGTTCTCGACAGCGTAAAAGTTAGCTCATATTTGTTTGGAATGGGATCGTTTGCGTACGTTTGCCGGTAGGGGCGCTGTTCCAACTGCATACGAAATCGGGTTAACTTTTACGCTATCGAGAACGTTAAGAAACTCGCACTAAGCACACTGAACATCATATCGAGCTAGATCCAGAAAGGTCAGCAGCCTCTGCAGCCTTTGCAGCTTGGGACACTCAAAAAAAATTGTAAATAGTCGGATACTAATGTGTTAGGTTTTTAAGTTAATAACATAGATTAGAAGTAAAATTAAAAATGTATGGATTTTATTAGAAACAAAAATAGAAAAAGAAAAAAATAGGACCCAATTAGCAATTTCCGTAACAAAGCAGTATTGCGTTCCAGTTTAAAGTTTAGTACAACTGTTATACTACACAAGTGAGACTGAGACATTATTTTTCAATGTGGGTAGTGGCATCCACTACTTTAAGCCCGTAATATCAATCATAGTTTGACTCATTGATAACGTGACCTTTTTTTTCGTGTCAAAGCGGGACGCCGGGTAAGATGTAATGTTTAAATGCAAAATTAAAAATATAGTTTAAAAAATGAAATAATTTATTATTATATCTTACTCTCACTGACATCTTAATTCTTACACCAACTTGCCCTTAAAATAATATTTATAAATAATTTCGCAACTAAAAACTACTTTTCTACAGCAAAATTAGAGTTACTTTAGTATGTATTTTGTAATACATTAAGGATTGGGGATAAGTTTAGTGTTCGGTAAGTTTCTAATAAACACATTCACAACAGATGAATGAAAACGGGACATTTTTGTTCTGGGGACAGCCTGAAAGCAGGACAAACTCACCCAAAGCGGGACGTATGGTCACGTTACTCATTGACTGTCATGTAGGGCACCGGTGACCGAAAGTGGTATTTTATCAAGGAGCTGTCTAGGATAGGACAATGGGACCTCATGGACTTTTTGGAGTTGATTTATGCGCGGTAGTACGCATTTTCTATAGGTTTTCTATTAGTAAGTGACGGGAATTGCGCTCTAGAGTAACAGTCTCATATGGTTTCTATGTAACGTAAGAATATTTTGGATTATGTATTGAAGGTAAACTTTTATGTTGTGAAAATTCCTAGAGCATAATAAGTATTCAATTTATTTAATAACAGATTTATTCTTGAATGGTTGTAAATGCATTACAATAGAAAGATTATTAAAAGAAGTCATTCCAGATGAACATTTTAATCAAACTTTTTTGTTTTTTAGTACATGCGTGCATATTTGAAAATATTTGAAAAAAAAGAAAAGAAAAAGAAAACTGAAATCAGAAAATGAAGTTCACTGCATTCTTACATAGTATAAGGATGGCACTTATTAAAACATTGAAGGCAATAGTGGGGTTGTGCAGGACATTCAGGACAATAAGTTGGCACTTTTTTGGCCCTGTTTTTGGCAATTCTTGATCCAAATATGGAAACACAGTTTTTGTAGCATTCTACACAGAAGCGCCTTGATTGCCTAACTTTGCCTTCTTTTGTTATCAATGTATGTTTTAGTCTTTCAGGTCTCTTGGAAATAGATTCATTCTCGTTATCTTCGGATTCGTCTTTCCCAAAGTCTACTAGATATTCCACTAATTGACGTCGGAATTCTACAATTCCTTGCTGAGCCGTATTTTCGCAAAACATGATCCAGGCGTTGGCTACGGCCGTGTTTAAAATTAATTCGATGCCTAACTTTTTATACCATTTTAGAGTTTTTCTCAATGGCGATGAATATGCGCTCATTTGATCGCTCGTGTGAATAGCTCCTTTTGCTTTATTATACGCTATAATAATTTTCGGTGTTCGAACTATTTTTCCTTTTATGGGCACACTAGGAAATTCTTTAGTGTGTTTTGTGGAGAGCATTAACACACTTTGTTCATCTTTCCAGTGTAACACTGTTATGCCTCTTTCGTTTTCCATTTCCACAGATTCGCCTTGTTTAAGTTTTGCATCAATTACTTGTTTCGGGAGGCCCTTACTATTTTTTCTCAGTGTGCCTAATAAATGAGTATTCCTGTCTAGAAGTTCGTGGGCTAAATCCAAACTTGTGTACGAATTATCCGTAGCTACGGTGTGCCCCAAATCAAGTATTTCTTTACAGAGTGACATTATAACATTTTTAGGCGTTGCATTCAGTGGTTCGTTGTTTTTATCAGCGTAAAGTTCTAATTTACAGGTATAACCTGGTATTGTGCACAGTTTGACCAGCTTCATTCCACATTTATGCATTTTCCTTTTATTGTCCTGCCTTAAGATCAATCGCCCGCTGTAAGGGACCTGAGTTTCATCGACACAAACTTCTTCTTTGGGCGAATAGCACCGTTGAAATGATTTGTTTAACTTATCTATCAGACTGCGTATTTTATAGATTCTATCGGCGGCATCAGCTATTTCGTTGTCAACGAAATGCAGATTCTGCAACAAAAGTTCGAATCTATTTCGACTCATAATCGAAGGCGCAAAAGTTTGTTTGAAAACCCTGTCTGTGCTCCAGTATAGACTTATTTTTGGGAGTTTGACTAGTCCCATGTACATAATAAGTCCAAAAAGACTCTTGACTTCATTTTTGTTTGTTGGCTTCCAACTATTCAAACGCGAGGAAGGCATTGTGCTCTCGCGTCGCTCAGCATACAAGTTGGTTTGCACTGCGATTTCCTCAAAAATGTCGTCTGAGACTATTAATGAGAAATAGGCCCCTGGATCTGCATTTCGTAGTTCTTCGTCATACGGTTTCTTGATACCTAGAACAAAGCCGTTCTTTAGTCATAAAAGAACGTACAAACGGACATACAAGTAGCCTACCATATTAAAAAAGTAAGAACATTCTTGACCTTTGGGTTTTAGGGTTTAGTTGTTTTTGTTTTAGTGCCTACTCAGCTTAATTTCATATAGGTATGAATTTTGCAGTAATTGTTACCAAAAAAGTAGGTACTTTAAAAAAGCTTTAACATAAAAAAAAACACAAAAATTAATGCTAAATTCACAGCAAAAGTATTTTAAATGGTTATTTTTACAAATATTTTAACTTATTAAAAACATATTATACAGGCGTGCGCTAAGATATGTCCGTACAAAGCGATACCTACAGCTCGACCAAGCTAAGTTTGCACCTCGCATCGATTACGATGAAAAAATGATTCTTTGACTTTAAAAATGTAAACAAATGTTTGTTACATTTTACTTTGCATTTATTGTTTTTAACCATATATTATACATAGCTACATTAGAATATAGCGATATCAGGTTTTATATTAAGACCACCCGGGCATTCTTGCACTTTTTAAATTTGTATCCCAATTTCTCAGTAATAATTTTCTTTTATGTTTCCTTTTCAGGATTATGTTTCTCCCTTCACCGTGTATGACCTTTCCTTTCATTTTTGGTGCCCACAACGATCCTCTCCAAGTAAAAAAAAAATGAACGGTTATCGTTCAGTAACAACAGTTCAACAAAAACTTAACAAAAATAGTCCATTAATATAACTAAACTTCAACAAAAAACCTAACAAGAACAGTTTAAAAATTTAGAATTCAACGGATAGGGAGACGAAAACTCGTATGACGCGTGTCGGCGACAAAGATGCTAACCGTACTGACGCGACAGGGCGATCGAGGGAAGGTGAGCGGGGAAGCGGGCGGAGCGCCGCATTCCAGCGAGGTGCAAACTTAGCTTGGTCGAGTTGTATAATCAAACTGCACAATTACACAATAGTCGTTATTCCGATGCTCCGCACTTTATATGCATTAATAACTTGTAACTATATTGAGACCTTAGAACTTATCTTAACGTGGGTGGCGTGTTTACGTTGTAGATGTATATGGGCTCCAGTAACCACTTAACACCAGTAGGGCTGTGAGCTCGTCCACCTATCCAAGCAATAAAAAAAAAACAACAGTCGATCTATCGACGGTTCGCGCTATAAGGGTAAAAATAAAATCGGTACAAAGTCTAAAGTGTAGTCTGGTGTTGTTGACTCTAAGAAAAAAAAATACAATTGACGGAATAAATCAAGTAACACAAACAAAAAAAGCAGAATGGAACCCAATTTGCATTCAGACAAATTGAAGATCTCCTCCTTTTTTAAGTCGCTTAATGAATAAAAACATATAAATACCCGTTGGCTCCGTGAATGCAATCTGCGATAGTTGGTGTTCCGTTGGTTCTCTCCATTTTTGTAGCCTACTTGAAGACACATGAGCTACATTTTCAGTGACAGCATTTTCCACCGAATCACATTTAGTTTCTGAATCCCTTCTTATATAAAGACGCTTTCGTTTTTTTGGGGGATGGATAATCTCATCTCCACTCGGCTCTAAATCGTATGCATTATCTAAATCGATTTCACGTAAATTAACCTGAGGTGAAAATAAGTTCTCAGAGTTTATATCTAACTCGGACATTGCTAATAAGTACGACACAAGAATGTGGTAAACGCTAAATGAGACGGCGTACTTCCGTTCCGTGATAGCGCGTGCAAGCGACTGAGGTGCGCGGGTGACCGGACCGGTGACCTCAGCGGCGCCTTAGTAACAGAAATCGACACAATTAGGTACTTAAGTAAGCTCCGCGTAGGGCACCGGTGACCTACATAGCAGACAAAGGGTTAATTTTATACAGAACCCTGCCGATTGACCCAATAATTGAGCAATATATCGAGGGGTGTACACGGGTGGTATACCTAATATGCGACAATTCGTTTAATACGCCATATTTATCTTTGTCCGTAAATGTAAAGGTGTAAAGATCCAAGATCCGTTTTATTTGGTATTATGATTTGAATTTCAAGTAAGTTTACTATATTCAAATAGCTGAAGAAGTTTGTTGTTATATATTTTTTGCAAATTTCAAACTTTAAATTCCTCTTTTTTTTATTTTCGTAAGACATACTCTGGCAGTTGATGTTTTAAATTAAAATCGAAAGTTTAAATGTTCACAGACAATGAACTCGTCATTTCAGTCATAAACTCTCCTTCGAAGTTTATGTGGTCACGACCATAGATTTAAATATGTCACGACGGAGTGATTACAATGATATTGAGTTTAAACTTCTTTTCAAATATACCACCGGAAAACAACAGCAGTTGTTTTTTTTTGTGAAAGTCAGTAAATAGAGATATAAACAACTCATGTCTAAAACATGCATATTATGCTGAAGTCGTCGTGGTCTAAAGGATAAGACGTCCAGTGCATTCGTGTTGAGCGATGCACCGATGTTCGAATCCCGCAGGCGGGTACCAATTTTTCTAATGAAATACGTACTTAACAAATGTTTACGATTGACTTCCACGGTGAAGGAATAACATCGTGTAATAAAAATTAAACCCGCAAAATTATAATTTGCGTAATTACTGGTGGTAGGACCTCTTGTGAGTCCGAACGGGTAGGTACCACCGCCTTGCCTATTTCTGCCGTGAAGCAGTAATGCGTTTCGGTTTGAAGGGTGGGGGCAGCCGTTGTAACTATACTGAGACCTTAGAACTTATATCTCAAGGTGGGTGGCGCATTTACGTTGTAGATATCTATGGGCTCCAGTAACCACTTAACATCAGGTGGGCTGTGAGCTCGTCCACCCATCTAAGCAATAAAAAAAAAAATTACAGCGTCAGCATACATTAAGAATAATACACACACATACACTAAGCTAGCTAGGAAACAATTCCGTTACAATTTTTTTAACAGACAGAAAAATTTTTTTTTCCAAAAACGATTCACTAGTCAAATACATTTAAGAACTTTCAGCTTCAGATCCGATAAGATTGATATGAATAGAATCGTTTTTGTTGTTGTGTATAAACGTAAGGTGTTACCACCATACTTCAGTGGTTACCACACATCAAAACAGCATTTCAGTTTAGCTAAGCGATGTTTCGTTTTCATATTGATATTACGAAAGAAGTTTAATCCATTCATCAAATTCGGACGAAGTTTTCCTAACCTTTGATTTAAATTACGATTGATATTATGGACCTAGGTATATTATTACCAGGATAACGGTACGTTAACCATATTCTAACATAACTACCATATTAATTGATAATTCAGCAGCATGGTCTCGGGAAATCTCCATAATAAGGCTCTCCTCCTCCTTGCGTCGGTTTCCTCATTACTGAGGGTCGTGGTCATGGCCTTGAAACAGATTGTTTTTTATAGTGCACCGCCATCTGTTCCTATCTGCAGCTGAGTGCAGAGCATCGTGCACTGTGGTATCCAGGGCTGCACGAATCTGGTCCGTCCAACGGGTCGGGTTCCTGCCTCTTGGTCGATTGCCCTCGACCTTTCCAGTGACCATCAATTTCTCTAAGTTGTCATTGTCTTTCCTTGCGATGTGGCCAAAGTATTCAAGAATCCTTCGCATGCAAATGGTGGAGAGTCTAGTCCAGATCTTCAACTGAGCTAGGATGGATAAATTGGTGCGGCGTGCGGTCCAGGGAATACCCAACATCCTCCTCCAGCACCACATTTCGAAGGCATCAATCCGATTGCGGTCCATGTCTCTGCTATAATAAGGCTAAAGTTTGAATAAAACAAAAATTACTGTGTATAAGCTTTTAATACTACTTGGACAATTCACACTAACAAAATAAATAAATAAAATTATTATTCACAATTATTATGTATAACAAAGATCTCTATAAAAAAACAGGAAGACTTGGACTTTTCATTCATACGATATCATTTTCCCTGAACATAAAAATTCTTTAGTAAATTTTGACATGGTCATTAATTAATATGTGGAACATAAATAAATGCCCAATACAAAACTTTCTTTAATTAAATCTTAAAACTATTTTATTATTATGAAAATGCATCATAGACTTAGTGGTAAATATTTAACAATTATTCTAAATGGAACTATGTTTTTGTGCTAAAAAATATGTATGCACTAAATATTAAAATCTACATTCTTAACCCTTTAACTGCCTTGTAGGTCACCGGTGCCCTACGCGGCGCACTGAAGTTTATTTTTTTTTTTTTTTATCGCTTACATGGGTGGACGAGCTCACATCCCACCTGGTGTTAAGTGGTTACTGGAGCCCATAGACATAATCCACAACGTAAATGCACCACCCACCTTGAGATATAAGTTCCAAGGTCTCATGTATAGTTACAACGGCTGCCCCGGCCTTCAAACCGAAACGCATTACTGCTTCACGGCAGAAATAGGCAGGGTGGTGGTAGTTAGCCGCGCGGACTCAGAAGACGTCCTACCACCAGTATTTAAGTATATCGATTTCTGATATTGTGCGGTACTGTTTTGTTACTGTGACCTACATGATACAGTCGACGTGTTAATACTACTTAGCGAAGTAACAAAAGCACGTGACGAAAATACAATTTCATTACCTATGTTATAATAATGCAAGTAATAATACTGTTTTAAACTGTTTAATGTAAGTGGATTATTAGACAGTAAAGTAAAATTTTAAATACAATTTTTTTTTAATAATTTTAAACACGTTTTCCAGTAACACAGAATCTATCATTCCTTTCATTATTTGCTAGAATTTATTTTCTATAAAGCAAGAAATCTACTCAGAAATGAATAATTTAGAAACAGACCTGTCAGTTGTCAGTTAGTTATACTAAAATTTAGTTTTATGGTTCATGAAGTTTAAGTTTCATATGTAGAAGATTGTAATGTAGGTATACCCTCAGAAACTTACTAACTCCTGCTATATTATAAACTACAACTATATTTATTATTTCAATGCAGATTTAACATAGATTTTTTTCGATAACAATTTCTGATGCTTGTAAAGTACACAGTGAAAATGGATTTTTTTAGCAATATTCTGCGGTTTTGGCATCTTCTGAAGGTTATTTCTTTCTAGTTCTCTCATTACCCGTAGCACAATTCGCGTATCTCTACTTTCGGCAGTTCTAAGTGCTTCAGATCTACTGTTCAATCTACTGTTATATACTAATTATTAAATACTTTTAGATCGTTCTTAAATGGTCACGATTAAGTAAATGCCTTAAACAATTGAGTATACTGTACATGAACAACTGAATAAATTTTAAATAAATAATGATAGAATTCGTAGTGAGATTGACTAGAGAATTAGTTCTCAGCTACAATTATAATCAAAAATAACCAAATACTTTGGAAAACAACAAAAAAATGTAAATACCAATTGATTATGCAACAACTCCCAAAAAGGTACGAAAGTAAATCAGCTATAAAATAATTGATTTATAAAATAGCCATAATATATAAATAGAATTTGAGATTAAAATATTGTGAGCATTTTTGTGACATGGATAATATTGCATGTTGGTAGAAATTTCTTAAAGCCTGATTCGGAATGCACTGTAAGAAAAAACAAAACATTTGTTATTTTTATACAAGCTTGTGTTTTTTTTATTTTGCATGTTATTGCATTTTGAGAAAAACAAGTTTACGGCCCACCTGATCTTGAGAGGTTATTGTATTACAGTGAGAATTCCATCACTTAGAATGTGAATTCCATCACCACCAATACAGTGTGAATTCCATCACCACCAATACAGTGTGAATTCCATCACCACTTAGAAACAAGAGATTGAAGTTTTAATTGTAGTCTAATAAAATGCCTGTTCCACACTTCAAACTAAAGTGCATGGCTGCATTTGTGCAAAAATTGGTAGGTGGGTAGTAACTATCCCTGTAGGCACGCAATTCAATCTTTAACTTATATTCCAACCAAATTCTGCTTAATTTCTTCGATGACTTAGTGGGTGTAGGGCGGTGAAAATATTAATAACTCCAATGCAATTGAGATTGCTACTTCATTTCTCCACATGTCATATGGATTTCAAGGCACTATTCGAGTTATGTTGTTATTTATTTATACTTCAGAAATTATGAATTCAAAAAAACATTACATTTTCTGACTTAACCCTTTAAAAGATGTATATCATAATTGGCCAATTTAGGCCTATTATTCACAGGATAGTTACTAATACTAGGCTGAGTTATATTGAAATCCGGATATGTCAGTCCCACAAAGTAGGTTAAGGGTAAAGAAAAATCAATACTTACTGGCAGAAATCAGAGCTCTTATCTATGATATGTTCAAACTCAGCAAAGGAGAGAGCTCCATCATCATCAAGATCTGCTTCTTCCAAAACATTCTGCACCAGTTGTTGTATTTCTGAGTCTGTTAGTTTTAACTCCGGTCCGCACAGACGCTGTATTACTTCACGTAAATCTGATACGCCTATCATGTCATCACCATCAAAATCTGGAAAAAATCAACCTGATATTATATCAATGTTTTCATGCTTTGCTGAATTTAATGCTTTCAAGAAAATTGGATTTTATATTTTCTCAGATATGAGTGAATTATTGATATTATAATTTCTAAGGCTTTGTTTGGTATAGATCATAGGTTTTCAAAGTAGTTCTGAGGGTATCTCAGAGTCCGAGTCAAACTTTAAGTAACATTGTGGCCCTCAGGGGCCCTGAGCAGGCAGTAGAAATTATTATGTCTTGGATAAACAATCATTGGTACATTTTCTTTCAGTTATTGAGCGAATGGGGTTTTAGTGGAGTAAAAATTATTAACAAAATAAGTTATTGGTTGCATATAAATAAACATTATAGGTGGATGGATGACCAATTAGATTTGTTCTAATGTAGATTGCTTATTATTTTATCACCATGTTTATTTATAAATCTCATAGTTGCATTGTCCATTAGATACTTTTTTATTTTGCTTGAATGCTATCACCCAACTCGAGACATAAGTCCTAACTCTTAGTTCTATAGTTCAACTCATCTTTCAAACCACAATGCATTACTGTTTTGCAGCAGAAAAATTGAGGGTGGTGGTAGTTAACTATGTGGGCTCAAAAGAGGCCGTCAAGATATCAAATAACAATGCTCTTCTGTATAATATTTGATGTTAATTTCAGACATAAATATTTAATACATACCAAATATCCTAAATGCATGTTCAGCTTTTACTGCTTTAGGAGCCATCTCACTGAAAACTGACATCATGTCCAAGAAGTCTTCAAAGGTGCAATCTCCATCATTACTGGAACTGAACACCTTACATATCCTATCTTTGAATGGATTCACTTTAAGTTCTGGATATGTGAGCACTTTGGCCATAGGTAATTTAGCATTTTTATTGTGCCCAACTTTCTCAGGTGCCAGAGCTTTGAATTTTTGGTGAGCACTGTGTAATCAAATTTTACAAAATTAAAGAAAATTCCAGTTTTTTTTTTCTATTACTACTATTATAATATACAGTTACAAAATTAAATTACACTTGCACATGAAGCATGAAATGACTCAATTGGAAGTATTTTAGATTTCTAGTACTTGAATTTCATTATGTACTTACTACAATACTTCTTTCTTCGTAAAGTACGTGAGATCCTGCAAAACGGTAATAAGTTAGTCAACGATATGATGAGATTTCTTTCTTGCTCCTTATGAGACGGACGTACCTCATAGTCTTGTAGTTCTTCTTCTGTAAATTGGCTTTTTCCTTGACCCATACTTGAAGAATATTACTTTAATTCATAGAGTTTAATATAAACATATTATAATGTGTGTATAAATTTTAACTAGTTTGTATGTACTTGTAAACATATATTTTGGTCTACCTATTGATTGACAAGATGCTAGAAATTAGAATTGTCAGTCTGTCAGTGTCAGACGCTGTCAAAGTTGCGTTGCGTTCATTAAAATAAGGTTTGCATTAATGGAGACAAGATAAAAATGCTAAGGTTTTGTTAGTACGTTTAATTTCCGTACTATAATTGTGTATTGCAACTGCAATTTTTATTTAATTAATTTAATATATTTCATTTTGTTGTCCTTTTCATAACATTTTTTTTTATTCTTGTTTTTTTTTTTTATATTTTACATTGCTGTGTACTTGTGTTTGTTTAAATCTAGCTTCCTTAACAAAGTATAACGTGTTCCAATTTTAAAAAGGAAAGTAATAATTTTCAAAACTCAAACTCATACACATAGGTAACGATTGGTCGGTCTGATGCTGGTGTGCGCGTCACTCCGCAGGTGCCGGCGGAAGATCAGCGCCGCAGTACCGATTGTTTCGTTACTGTTAGGCATTGCTGAGCCGGAAACCGTTTCCAAGCCTCGTTATCTTTGTTTTTAATTATTATACCTAATTTATCTTTGGAAGATCTTGAATTTATCTTTTTATTATTATTACTATTATTATTATTACATTGTTAACACAGCTATATTTTGTAATTTAAACTACTTTTTTACGGCTTAGTCTTGCTTTAGGTAGAGTAGACAAAAAGGTGTTAAAAATGAATAAATTAGAGATAAGAATAATTAAGTCATATTGTCCGTTTCAAAATTGTTTATTTATGACTTACTAATTATTTAGTTTACATCATTTTGATAATTTATAAATTAGGTACCGTACTTACTTCAATTCTTCTTGTCAATCATTGTTCCTATAAAGTAAACAAAACAATGGTATAGTTAGATTATAAAAATATTTATGACAAAAAATGCTTAGAATTCTAAAACAATTCCGTAGCTTGGTAATTTGGTCATTTCCGGTAAATTATATTGGTCAACGAACCATTTCGTTTCTCAGAAGTAAATATGGATCCTTTCTTGTACGGCCCTCCGGGGTTTAATTCACATAATGCAGGATATCGTTTCGAGCAAGCCGAGGACAGCCAAGTTTTTTGTCGACTGATGAGAACACATTCAAACTTAGTAGAGTTCCGCCGCGGGTGACCCGGCGCCCAAGCGCGGTAGGTGATACAATCTAGAGTGGTACCTAGGTGACAGATAGGAGCTAAAAATTACTTTCATAATATATTAAGGAAGTGCGCGGAGTTATAAAAACGTTGAATGAAATTAAATGAAACGAGAAAAGATTCGAAAATACGTCTCGAATTGAAATAAAGTGTCAGTAAAACGCTGAGAATTTATTAAGACTTAAGTAGACTTTTTAGAGAAACCGCAGCGACCCGCCTTAATCAACTAATTTTATTTTATCACACTGCACTCTCACAGCTGCTAATTCAGATAATATACACGCTTAAACTTGATGAAATGGTAAATTGATGAAATAAAACAACCGATAGAAATCTTTGTTTTTTTTATGTGTCTCGAAGTGTTAGTGATTGTGCTTGAACACTAGTTTTATTAATTAAACCATACATGTTTTATAATAATAATTATTATGAAGCCCTATTTCAAACGTAGTTCAAATTCGATTCTCGATTTTCGTAATCTTTGCAGCGAAAGCTAAGGCTGGAAACGTTGCTAATAGGTTTTTTTTCACTGCATGGACTGATGATTAAGCTCACGACCCACCTGGTATCAACTGGTGGCCGAAGCGTTCAAGATGCTTAACTTTAGATTTAAGACCGTTGGAAGGCTTTTTAGTTGAGATCATCCATACGCAACGGTATTTCTTAATGGCTTGTTCATTCCCGATCTTGCGGACCGACGGGTAAACATTGGACGTCGCCCTAGATACGTCATTTCGGATTCTCTCGATCCACCAACAGTGCTTTTAGGTACTACAAGCACCGGTCACCGTTTTCATCAAACCTGTCGATTGCGACGTAGGGTTCGGCGAGTAAATTAACCTACAGACACAGCCTACTGAGTTTCTCGCCGGATCTTCTCAGTAGATCGCGTTTCCGATACGGTGGTAGATTCTGCGTAGCACTGCCCTAGCTAGGGCTAGTGTGAGAAACGTCTTCAGGTTAGAGCCCGTGAGCTCACCTACTCGCTCGAAGAATCTAGTGGAACCCCTCGAGGATAGGTACTAGAATAGGTAGGAAAATAATATATGGTTTGTTGGCGTTACGCAAATTTCCTACTTACTTACTTACCCCCAGATAAATATACTTTAAACAATAAAAAATGCTCAGCCGTTTCCACAGATAAATCGAGCTTAATACGAGACGTTAAAGTAAAAATCTACTAAAATTTAATAATTCATTTGCTTCCAACTCTCACCTCGACTATTTTTAAAGACACTACCGTTACTTCTTCTTAATCCAACAAAAGCCGCTTCATTACCGGATCCCGCTAGCAACTGTCCCAAGGAATCAGTTCTCTGGTCAGTGGTAATATCTGCAAGAACTCCACTTATGTTCCTGCATTGTTCGACTGCTTCCGTATAATTAAGTTTTTGTGGTAATAGACGAAACATGCCAATCGTGGGAACACAAGTAGAGTTTTTGTCCGCTGCGAAAGTAAGAAAATTGCCACCATAAAATATCCATTTGCTAGTCAAACTTCAGATACACAAAATCCTATATTAGTCACGTGCAATTTGAAAGTACAAAAAAAGAAAATTATCGTTTTTTTTCGCCTAAGCATGAAAGGAAAACCCTGAATTTAATGTTCCTATCCTACTTGCTTTGTGATATAAACAACAAGGAAATTAAAATCAATTTATGATTACAGTTTTAGATATTATAATAGTTTAATTAATTATAGGTAACTACTAACTTTCATTACGTAGATATCTACTTACGCACTGGTCTCGCGTACAAAGTGTAGTAATCATATCTCGTGTCATTTTTTAAGGACAGACCACCATCAGTTTCGGCGCAATTCATAACTTCACAACTGTGTTCCATACCGACTTTTCTAGCTTCAGGGGGACTGAAATTAATAGCCAGACCCTTCTTCTCAAGCCCAAGTCTTTGGCAGCTGGTCAGAGAAGTATAATTGGCGTACGCCACGATGCCAAGTTTCGATCGGTGGCATTTTTCCGTTAAATGGTATCTGGATACCGATGAAGCTTCGTCAGAACACTGCAGATTTGCTAATAGTCTTGGGATGAGCATTGCAGAGAAGATTAACATTTTCATTGTTTTTCGGATATTCGTAACGAAATACTTCATAATTAAGTACTTACTTTAGATAATCTGTTCGCTTCATTAGCTTAGTTTTAGCACAGAAATGGTTAATTTCACATTGTAAATATCAACTAAGGTGAGATTTTATTACAATGCTATGTATATAACGCTGCAGTTGAATATAGCACACTAAAGTGCTCGTAGTACTGTAAAATGAAATGTCCTTTTAACTATGACAAGATAATTGTGCCTTTAGAATGTTCATAATAATATGACTATTGTGGTTATCGGTGACGGATGTATAATCGTAATTTAGCTTCAAACTTCACTCAAATTATGGCCTGAATAGATATTTCATAATATTATTGGTAGTAGTTAAAGTTTTATTTTCAAGTGAACATTTTTTATATCAAATTACCGTGAGAAGTGTTTATATCTTCTGTAGTAATGTATTTCCTTTTATGACGGTGTGTGTATATATGTTGACTGCTAATGGTGACTGGCAAGGTGGACGGAAGAAGCCCACGAGGTAGAGGTCCGACACGTTGGACTGATCAGATCCGCACAGCCCTCGACACCACAGTTCACGATGCTCTACACTCGGCGGCAGAATAGGAGTAAATGGCGTGGAATGATCCGGAACAGACTCTTGTTCCGAGGAGGTGGTCACGACCCTCAGTATTGAGGAAACCGAAGCGAGAAGTAGAAGTATATATGTTCGAATACAGCGAAAAATTTTAGAGATCCGCTTTTTTTTATTGCTTAGATGGGTGGACGAGCTCACAGCCCACCTGATGTTAAATGGTTACTGGAGCCCATGGACATCTACAACGTAAATGCGCCACCCACCTTGAGATATAAGTTCTAAGATCTCAGTATAGTTACAACGGCTGCCCCACCCTTCAAACCGAAACGCATTACTGCTTCACGGCAGAAATGGGCAGGGCGGTGGTACCTACCCGCGCGGACTCACAAGAGTTCCTACCACCAGTAATAACGCAAATTATAATTTTGCGGGTTTCACTTTTATTACACGATATTATTCCTTCAGCGTGGAAGTCAATCGTGAACATTTGTTGAGTACGTAATTCATTAGAAAAATTTGTACCCGCCTGGGATTCGAACACAGGTGCATCGCTCAACACGAATGCACCGGACGTCTTATCTCTTAGGCCACGACGACTTCTACCATTACATAATAATATATGGTTTGAATTGTTTTAATTTTGCTGAAATGCTGAAGATTAGAATGTGGCACAATTAGCATTCAATAATCATAGGAAAAGCCTTCTTTATGCGACTTCTCGTTTATAAGACGAGAGCTACCGAATTGAAACTGAGCCTCCTTGAATTAATAACTGGCCTTGTATTAATAAATTAGCGAAAACGAAAATGAACAAACCTCATTCGGCCTAAAACTGTTTGAGAATTTGAAATTATACGTCAATCAAGTTAATCTAGTTGTTTCAATTGAAGACATATTTATATTATGCTATTTTATCTATGTACCTTAATGATTTTATGAAAGTGTTATTTATTTAAGTATTTGCTGAATTTAAAACCTTTTACAAAATGGGTTGCTTTTTCTCGAAAGATATCGAAGTGGTATGTTGGTTTGTTTATAAATTTTCTTATTGTCGAGACAACTAGAAACGAAGCAATGAATATGCCAAGCTCACACTCAATATAATATTATTTGAATGCATATGGCGTGTTAATCTGATTTTATGGTCATAGTAAAGTATTGTTCGTATGTTTTATTAACACTGAATTTGTTACAATTATAAAAGCAGGAGATTTTGGTTATATTTTGGCAGCTATGCCATTACAGCCGATAAGCAATTTCCTTAACCTAGGCTAATCCTAGGTTAAGGAAATTGTTTTCATAAGTTTACATTTTGCTGAAATACTTCTGTATTATATTTTCGCCTTCACGAGTTGTAGACATAATTAAAACTATGTTCAATTGAAATGACGACGGATATCATCACCTCAGTCGTTCCGTGAACATAACAATAAAAGCGAGATTAAATCAGAAAAGAGGTTTTAATTATTTCTCTATTATTTGGCTTTCGGTTAACTTTTCATAGTTTATCGGGATCTTTTATTGCTTTTTTTTTAAATTAAACTGTACAGTAGTGGGAATTTCATAATAAAGCACGGGCGTGAGAAATTGTAGACACACAGAAAATTGCCAGCAGAAAATATTTTTTTACCGATGTTAAAAAATGAGTAGGTTCTCAACTCGACAACTTTTTTATCTCTGTTACTTTAGAACGTTTTTTCTTGGTGAGCTCATTTTAATTATTTTAATAGCTCTAGTTTCGTGTTGCTTTTCGTGTGGTCCCGATGAATTTTTTTCGAGATTTCACCAATAGTTTTTCCCGTTGTTCCTAATATTGTATATTTAATTGTCTTTGATAACATTGATGTTTATCTCATTTCCCTGCATTGCTGAACGCAGTTTTTTCTCTCTTACCGACGCCGAAAGTTCAGAGGGAGTCCTTCGGCTCGGGCGGCAATTTTACACGCGGGAGGAAATGTCCAACTTTTCTCCCTGGGTGCACAATGTACAATTTTTTTTGTTTAAAATTTCTATTACAATTTGGCAGGTAGAAGACTTGTATGACATGTCACCGGTTCGTCGGCTGCCGGTGATATTTGTTAACGGCGTTCCCGGAGCCGGGAACCAGACAGTCGCGGAGACGATATCCGACATCACAGGCTACAACATGATCCGGCCTGGCGAACTGGAAAGAGTTGAGGCTACAAGGGACACGGTCAGAGGGAGGATGGTCGCCGAAAAGATTCGAACGCTCGAGGATCTACCTGAAGTTAGTCTACTGTTCCGGACCTTCACTGTGATCGTATTATAAGTAGTATTAGCTTAATGAAAGCGCAACTATAACCTGTCCTTTTTCAAACGTGGCTCGAGGAGGTTTCTTAGCAGGAGGCAGCGGCTTCCCTGTGCTGCTATCCTATCTATTCTTGCCGCAAAGGGTTGAAGGGATTGAAGCTGTTGTGCATATTCTATGGCCCCAAATGACCAATCAAAATCAGATGAGCTTTGAGCTCGTCACTCTTCTAACCAATAAGAAAATCGGATGATTTATCATTATAATCATGTTATAAAAATACACACCTAGAACAAAAAGTGTGTTAATACTAATTACATTTTAGCTTCGACCTCATCTTTCAAGTTCTATGGCATCATTCTTTTATTTTTATTCTTTATTTCTTAGATGGGTGGACGCAGTTACTGGAGCCCATAGACATCTACAGCGTAAATGCACCACCCCCCTTGAGATATAAATTTTAAGGTCTCAAGTATAGTTACAGCGGCTGCCCCACCCTTCAAACCGAAACGCATTATTGCTTCACGGTCGAAATAGGCAGGGTGGTGGTACCTACCCGTGCGGACTCACAAGAGGTCCTACCACCAGTAACCTGGCTTGAGTCTGCCTTGAACCGGCGAGCTCTGTTCATATTAATGCCTGTTTTCCAATTTCTGTTTCTAGCAATTAACGGTAGATCTGATTAAAGAAGAGATGCTATCGCAGCCCGAGGCGAAAGGCTTCATCCTGGTCGGCTTCCCCAGGAACTCTCGGATGTCAGATATATTCAGTAGACAAGTGAAATGGCCGGAAAAAGTCGTGGCGCTCGAAGTTGACAATGAAGTGAGAATCTTTTGTTTAAATAGTCTCTTTTCTTCTTCTATTTCTTGCTTTTATCCCGTACTAGCGGCCCGCTCCGGCTCCGCTCGGATCTTTAACAAAAATTTCAACGATATTTGACGTTTTATTTTTAAAATTAAAGAGCACTTATTGCGGCATAACTATAATAGTTAGACATATGCTGTCGCGACACTTTTTGTAAATAATAATGTGTTCTGCAAAGTCGTAGTACATTATTTTATTCTATCATCAATAATTTTCGCAGGGCACGCGATGTAAAGAATATTTTAGGTAATTTTTTTACGCTTTGGGTTACATTATTGGAGTTTTAGTAAGGATCCCTAATTTTTTTCATAAAAGGTGATTGATGGCCTACGTCACTCGGGAATAGTTTAGCTTCCAAACAGTGAAAGAATTTTACAAATCGGTTCAGTAGTTTCGGAGCCTATTCAATACAAACAAACAAAAAAATCTTTCCTCTTTATAATATTGTTATAGATTATGTTGGGTCGGTGGAGCATGTTCTCTTTTTTTTCACTTTAACTATCAAATCATGCTGGATACCTACCTAGCTTCAACCCTCCTCGTGAATACTATCATTGGCATATGATGGTAGCCAAAAGAAGTTCCTTGGCCAGTTTTTACGACAATATTTATGACGTAATTTATCCACTATTCGTTTCGTTATAAGAAATAATCAAATCTACTTTCCGACACGTACTTAATGTAAGTGGCATTCGGCTCTGGTGTGAGCGTCGCCCTTTCTCGAGCACTGTATCATGTATTTCTTACAGACAGTAATCGATATCATCAGGTTACGCATGATTTCGAAGGCAATAAAAACAATATAATAACAACAACAATATACCAATAATAACAATAACCATAGTGTAAATTTGTTATCTAAAAGTGCATCGATTTTCAAAATATGCGTATCGAAAAAATTTCATTTCTAACAAAGGCGTTTGGCGGACGCCATTTTTTCCAATATTTTCTCAAATCAAGTCATCTTTTTGAGTTTTTTATGACTGATCTTGCACCTTTGGTTTTAAAAGAGCGAAAAAGTCACGTTTTTATTTCGATTCTTTCGCAATAAAATGTATTCATTAAATAATATAATTAATTATAATATAATATAATTAATTAATTAATTTAATATAATAATATAATTAATTAATTTTTTGTTTTGTTGTTGTTGTTTGTTATGCTTTTGTCAATGCACCTACCATGCATTATCTCTGCACCACCCTATGGTCGACTGGAAGAGAATGCCCATGGCATTAAGTCCGCCTGTGTACAAGTTTTGTTTTGTGCATAAAGTATAAATAAATAAATAAATAAATAATATAATAATACAATTTAAACTGCTTATACGCTCCTAATGATTGGCGTACGTTAACTAGATTTATATTTAAAATCCAGGTGGCCGCCGCAAGGTTACAGAACAAACTATCGGAACTGGGCAGGCCGGAGTCGGAGATTAACGCGGCTCGTCAAATAATCAGGGATGCCGCGCATAAAGTCAAAAACGTTCAGAAGAGATTTGCTCGACACGTGGTCACGGTATGACGGAGAACAACAATTACCTAAGTCCCTACTATCTGTGAACAAATTAATTTTCTTCGGTTTTCCCGAGGCGTAGATTAAATTAAAACTAATTTTACTGCGGCTTTCGTTCTCGTCGAACCCGTCGCTTGCGACAAAGGGCTTGCCGTGTAAATTAACCCACAGACACAGCCCACTCAGTTTCTCACCGGATCTTCTCAAGGGGTCGCGTTTCCGATCCGGTGGTAGATTCAGCGAAGCACGGCTCTTGCTAGGGTTCGTGTTAGCAGCGCCGCTAGGTTTGAGCCCCGTAAGCTCACCTACTAGTTCGGTGAATCTAGAATAACCCGTCGGGATTACTAGAATAGGTGGAAAAAAAGCGGCTTTCGTACATGACTTGTACAATGTAACAACGAACAATGTAGGTAAATTATTCGGAATATCTTAATATCGTATATGGGTAGAAAAAAATCTGAAATTAAACCGTAAAACCATCTTTAATTATACTTACTATATGTTGTCGAAGTCTGTATTGGGTTTTGGCACCTGCTACGTCTTTATTTATGTTCACAGGCTACTTACTACCTAATGCTACTTTATAATATGTATTTCGTATGTATCATTTAATCAATTATTATAAACGTAAATAAAAAGTACATAAGTAGGTCTATTTCTGGTACTCATAGTACCGTAGATTGGGGTCAGGCGACCGTATGTGATTCGTCCCTCATTATTTATTTATAAAAAGGGTATATACATGAAGAATAGGGATCGCAGCGCATAAAATAAAAGTTAATAATAAAATAAAAGTTCCGTTCTTACCAATCCTAGATACATATCATGTTTTGATTGAACGAAATGAGAGTGAGTTAATTTAGTTATTTTGTATGGTATATAGGTCGACAGTACCGACAACCGTACCGCCTTAGCTTCAACGCTCAAAGAGATCTTGTCGGACACCATGGAGAAGAATAAGCGACCGGTTTCGCCAGAGCCCCGGCCCCCGTCAACGGTTTCGGCGCCCGCCGTCCTGCCCCCCAGTGCGGAAGTTCAACCTACACCAGACACAGCTGACGAAGGAAACAAATGATTTTTTTTAAATTAATTTTAGAATACGGCCTCACGAAGTTTTCTCGTAGAGCTGTTTTTGTCACGTATTTTGGTGTTTAATTAAATGTAATGGTGATTTTATTCTGTGTTTTGTTCTTTTGGGTTTCCGTGCCCGAATTGTCATGATACGGATATCCGATAATTTTTCTGTTCGTATATCACAGAAATTTTGAGTATCTTGGCATAATTATTTCACTTGAACGAAATTTTACTACTGTCGAAGAAGGTGTCTCGTAAAAGGTAGATTTTAGTATAGCGAATGGCTTAACGCCTGAATTAATCATTGTGGTCATAAACCAGATTAAAATAATTGGAAACTATTTATTTGAATAAGCGAAAATCAGACTATTTAAATCTCATTCGTAGGTGAATTCATTCCGGAGATGGTTTATGACAAAATTTATGAATGAAACGAACTGTTGCAAGTTTCAAATTTGTTTCTATCTCATACCTCATAAGTACTTATACGAATATTTTGCGAAACGGCAAAAGTAAAAATCTATCAACAAATGTATGTTCATGCTGGTCGTGCACTTAAACCTAGGTTTGCTTAGAAAATAAGCGGCTCCGTACACATCGATAGTTCAGATAGCTTATTGGTAATAAGTGCCACTTCGATAAAGCGGCACGACACGAGAACCCACTCATCGTGGCCGCCGGTAACTACATCCCCGATCCTGCGGACAGAATGGAAAGCAGTCGACGTCGCCCAAAACACGTCATCTCGGATCCTCCCGAACCACTAACGGTGCTTTTAGGTACTTCAAGCACCGGTCACCGTTCTTGTCGAACCCGTCGCTTGCGACGAAGGGCTCGACGAGTAAATTAACTCTCAGACACAGCCCACTGAGTTTCTCGCCGGATCTTCTCAGTGGGTCGCGTTTCCGATCCGGTGGTAGATTCTGCGAAGCACGGCTCTTGCTAGGGTTCGTGTTAGCAACATCGTCAGGTTTGAGCCCCGTGAGCTCACCTACTAAAGTTAGGGTTACGCTGACATAGCCGCTAGGGCTACCAGCTTAGGTACGAAAAAAAAAAAAAAAGGTAATAAGTGTTGGTACTTACTACCTACAATTTAATACTTTGTTTAAAAATTATTTTTCATCGAAGTAGGATTTTTCACACACACATACCGAAATATTATTAGTTTGTATTAAAACTTTTTCCATAATAAACCTATTTTCAAATTACATTTACAATTACAGTATACAAATACATTAAAATATTTTTTTATTGAAAGGAGGTTACATATTAATAATTTTAAATTTTGATCGAATCAAACTGGCTGTTGAATTATTTACGACAATTAAAAGAAAACAATTTGAAAAGTGCATCGATTTTCAAAATATGAGTACCTATCGAAAAAAATTCATTTCCAAGAAAGACGTTTGGCGGACGCCATTTTTTCCAATATTTTCTCAAATCAAGTCATCTTTTTGAGTTTTTTATGACTGATCATGTCATGAATGTTGATCTCCGTAGACTTTATGTTGATTGACGTATTAGTGGGCGCGAAATTAATACAGTTTTCAATTTTGAAGACATCACGCTGCGTAAATCAGTGATACAAGTTATGAAGATAAAATTGCGTAAGTATTTTTCTATTCGAAATTAAAATCGATGATATAAACTGATATGCCTCTTATGAATATCTGAGATGTTAAAATAAAAGCCAAACGTGTACTTGAAGATCAAAATTAAGAAAATGATTCAGAAGAACTTATTTCAAACTTTATTGAAATACCGCTGATGATTACGTTGTTCTTCGTCATTACTCCTCCCACACATGCACAAGAACTTTAGCGGATGCGATTATTAAAGTCCATTATTATTTTCTATTTGTTAGGCGACGGTAACCACTCAACATCAGGTGGGCCGTGTGCTCGTCTGCCTACAAAGACAACAAAAAATCAAAATAAAACTACGATTAAATTTACAAACGAAACCTCCTCATTCTGCTGGCGTGTGACTTGTATTTTGATCATGATATCAAAAACAATTGGTGCAATTAAATGTCACGAAATCTTGATACTTGCAGCGCGTGATCGTTTCCCGTCGACATCCTCGACTGAAGACATCGAAACCGGCACCGAGTGGGACATGAATCGGCACAGCATCCCACATCCGCTCCCTTACCCACATCCCGTCCCGGACATGTTGCATCCCATGCGCCATCCTCCCCCGCAGGCAATCATAGTCGGCTCAGTACGAAAACGTCGCGGCAACTTACCGAAGCATTCGGTTAAGATATTAAAGAGATGGCTTTACGAACACCGGTACAATGCGTATCCTAGTGACGCGGAGAAGCTTGCCTTGAGTCAGGAGGCAAATTTAAGTGTCCTGCAGGTTAGTGGTAGAGTAAAATGAGTAAGTGATGATATAAAAAGAGACTTGTTCAGATGTATATCTTATCAATAAATCTCTAGCACTAATAATATATATAAATAATAATAAATAATAAAAGCGCACACAAAAAGACTACAATTTTGTTCAGGTGTTCCTTAGAATTGCATAAAGAAATGGTTTTTTAAATTCGTCATCTACATTTATCATGATAGCTGATTTCTGAGATGTCGGTGTTGCAATAGGACTCCCAGTCACAGCACCTTCATAAGGTATAAACTAGAAACAGTAAAATCTACAAAGAATCCTAGCAAAGTTCAGTCTTAATATCTATTAATGAGTCTCTGCGACAGCGTAAGTGACATGGTCACTAGGGGGTCGCGGGTTCGAATCCCGCCAAGGTTAGATATTTGTATGATAAATATAAAATGTCTTTTCCAGGGTTATGGATGTATATTAAATATATGTAGGTGTATAATAAAAATCTTACATTTATTTCCGTTATCTGGTACCTGTAACACAAGTTCTTTACGAACTTACCACGGGACCAGTTAACGTGGCGTGATTGTTAGTAAATATTTATTATTATTATTATTATTAAATTATATTAAACTAGCGACCCGCCCTCGCTTCGCTTCGGAAACTGTAATTTATTATTGATTTCTCCACTATTTAATGGATGTTATTATACATATAAAGCTTCCTCTTCAATCACTCTATCTATTAAAAAAAAACGCAACAAAATCCGTTGCATTATTTTAAAGATTTAAGCATACATAGGGATATAGGGACAGAGAAAGCGACTTTGTTTTATACTATGTAGTGAAGTTATTTGTGTGTTATTAAACCGTCCAATTTTCCGTAGGTTTGCAATTGGTTCATAAACGCCCGTCGCCGTATCTTACCGGAGATGATCAGACGCGAAGGTCACGATCCCTTACACTATACGATCTCGCGTCGTGGCAGGAAGCAGCCCGGTGCTGCAGCAGGAGTGGGACCAATGGTGAGGCTTTCTGCCGCCTCGACGTCTGGGTACGGACTGGGCCACGGTAACGTCACTGTAACATCCTGGGACAGCATTATGATGGAGGTTGGTACGAAATTTGTACAATCAGCCTTATTTGCTTTACGTTCTGATTTGAACGCTTGATCAAATATCGCTTCTCAAATCTCAAAGTGTTACCGATTTTGCATCTGGCATACTGGACCACCACCCCGCCTATTTCTGCCGTAAAGCAGTAATGCGTTTCGGTTTGAAGGGCGGGGCAGCCGTTGTAACTATACTGAGACCTTAGAACTCACATCTCAAGGTGGGTGATGCATTTACATTGTGGATGTCTATGGGTTCCAGTAACCATTTACCACCAGGTGGGCTGTAAGCTCGTTCAGCCATTAAAGTAATAAAAAAAAAATCTCACTTGACCTTATCTAATGAGTAATTGGCATTTCAGAAGAGTAATTAAACTGTCTAATTTTCTTTTTCCACTTAGAATCGAGTGGAAGTTCGCAATCACGACTATGGCAACGATTTGCTAGTGTATCGTAGCGACGGAGAGCTCGGCGAGGAAGGCTACGCCAGCACTCTGAGCGAGGAGGAGGTGAAGTACGATCCGTCCGTCTGGCAGTCTGTCATCAGATACGGGCCTGACGACTTGCATCCCGCAACTAGAGGGTATGAATCAACCTTTTCACTGGGATTTAAAGGTCATGGGAACGCGAATATTGTAAAATTGGTCCAATTTCTACTGTTAAGCTTAAAAAAAACTTTTTTGTTTTATTGCTTAGATGGGTGGACGAGCTCACAGCTCACCTGTTGTTAAGTGGTTACTGGAGCCCATAGACATCTACAACGTAAATGCCGCCACCTACCTTGAGATATGAGTTCCAAGGTCTCAGTTTTTTGTAACACAATAGCTGCCCAACCCTTCAAACCGAAATGCATTACTGCTTCACGGCAGAAATAGGCAGGGCGGTGGTACCTAACCGTGCGGACTCACAAGAAGTCCTACCACCAGTAATTACGCAAATAATTTTGCGGGTTTGATTTTTATTACACGATGCTGTTAATTCACTGTCGAAGTCAATCGTGAACATTTGGTAAGTACGTATTTCATTAGAAAAATTTGTACCTGCCGGTGGGATTCGAATACCGGTTCATCGCTACATACGACTGCACCGGATGTCTTATCCTTTAGGCCACGTCGACTAGAGTGATGGTTTGATCTCGATAAGTATGCATCCACGCTCTGTCTCACAGGAACCCTTCAGTCGTGACGGTGGCCACAACAGAAGCAAACGTGGCACAACAAAAGTCTGAGATCGTCACAACAAGCGACGGCAGCACGTGGCACTCGCTGCAGCCCGTCTCGCAGCCAAGCGCACGTGTACACTCTGCCCAACTGCATCCCCACGCTCAGATACCGACGCACGCTCAACTGCAGAATCTTGCCCAAATGCAGTATCACGGGCAGCTTCAGGCGCTTAGACCGAGACGGATGCAGGTGAGCCCCCCGCCCCCGCCTCACCCCCCGCCACCAGTCGCAGTCGAACTAGAAGTGGCCACCACCGACATGTGGTGTCACACCGCCAGTTAACCAATGTGGCTGGGACTTAGCGATTGTAAAGCGGGACGAGCCTCATAGCTTTAAGTTGCAGTTGAGGTCGAATTGGCTCAAAACTGCGGTGCTGTGCGGTTGAAGCTTTTTTGACCTTAAGTTTTAATGTACGAACAAGTTTGACAGAGGGGTCCCGCAAACAGAGAGGACATGACAGAGAGGAGAACATGCCTTCTTTCCTCTAGTGAAATAATTTCAGTCAGCAGTTTGTGGTCTCTCCGAACTCTATCATGCTGCAGTCAGAGTTTACAAAGTCTTTAGCAATTATGGTTTAAGTTTCCTTATTTAGTGGCGTTTTTCAAGATTTATTTTGCAAGAGAAGTCGGTGTTAAAACACAGTTTGTAATTTTGATTGTTGTCATTTGTATTTTTGGTCGAGAATGATTGTTTGGTTCTTTTGTTGTCAATAAACGTGTTTTTTGTCTTGCTGCGAACTGTTTTCGTCTGGTGTTTTAATGCCGGCATCACCTGCAGTGCGGTGGTTGGAGGCGCTGAATGTTGTGGCTACTCCAGGTGGTGCCGAGCATTGAGGACGGTGAGGAGGACTTCAAGCGCTTGTATCTGCTCGTCGAGACGGCTGTAGCGGTCCGCCAGAGGGAGAGGGAACAGGAAGCTCTGTTACCGCATTGCTAAAATCATCGGTCCCCACACATTTGGGCTTTTGTTGCCAATGTCAATAAACAATGGCGCTTGTACTATTGACATCTCCAACAGGTGTAAAAAAAACGATCTCTTCAACAAAGATAAGTGGAATGATGCCTGATGCAATATTATCGACCCGATAATTTTATAGAAAGAGCAATCGAAAAATACATTCATAACCAATAAATTAACTTCCTAATGCGATAAGTTCTAATAAGCTTGGCTCAGTAAATTAACAATACTTTCTGTTTGTAATGGGGGGTACATTATTTCTGGAGGAACCCTTAATTAATGTATGATATGTTAAGATGAACACATTTTATAAGTACAGAAATTCCTACTTTCCGTGTTGCAAGAACGATTTGATACAAAATAATTTGAAACAAAGTATGCAATTGTACACAGTACACTTGTTACCAAAAAGTTTTCTGAACTATCGATGTGTACGGACCAGACTTATTGTGTAAGCAAACTTAGGTATTTAAGTGCAGGAAATCTTCACGTAACTGTAAGTATACTTTGGCAATAAACAAGCAATATTTTTATGATAGATTTTTTACTTTTTCATTTCAGAAAAATATTCGTGTGTGAGTTTGGAACAAGCTTTAAATTGATTTTTTTAATATCGGTCTTAGCATCGGTCTTATGTCCATAGAAGGTACTTACTGGTGGTAGGACCTCTTGTGAGTCCGCGCGGGTTGGTACCACCACCGTGTCTATTTCTGCCGTGAAGCAGTAATGCATTTCAGTTTGCGGGGTGGGGCAGCAGTTGCACTTTAGACCTTAGAACTTATATCTCAAGGTGGGTGGTGCATTAACGTCGTAGATGTCTATGGGCTCCAGTAACCACTTAACACCAGGTGGGCTGTGAGCTCGTCCACCCATCTAAACAAGAAAAAAAAGTAGATTGTTTGTTGATGATACTGTGTGCTTAGTTGTAAGTTTTTTAACGTTCTCGATAGCGTAAAAGTCGAACTCAAATTTGTATGCAGTTGGGCGCTGTTCCAACTGCAAACAAATTTGTGCTAACTTTAACGTTATCGAAAACGTTAAAAAGCTCGCACTAAGCATACTTGTCTCACGGTACGGTCGGGTCCACTCGAGTCTGCAGAATAACTTGGATTCTGTGCATCCACGTCGAGGAGTGGTCTGCGGGATTGTGACGACCCCATTGATTGTTCTAGCGTCGCGTCACTCACTCGGTGCCAACAACAGTACTTTTTACCACTATCTAGAACCGTTGCGTATATTGGCACTAGATTGTAAGCATAAAGTGTGCCTTCGGAATTAGATATTAATTCGTTTGCAGGCTGCTTTTTCGAACACTGAGTTTTATTTTATTGAATTTAAAAAATATATATTACATTTCATAACCTAAATAGCATCGCACATATATAAAGTACATACCTATTTAAGGGTTATGAAGATACATTTCACGGTATATGAGCTTCAAATAAGGCTTAAAAGCATTTCTTAGAGATGGAGATGCGAGGTGGATAGCTAAATTGTGCCGTTGGCATTGCTGATGTTTACGAAGAGCATTAGCTTTTACAAGCGCTCGTTTGGTTAACATGGCGACAAAATTAATATGTAATTTCGTCTTTTTTCAATGTCAAACATGGATTTGATAATAATTGATACGTTTTTCGTTGATCTTACGGATTGCAAAATTTTATTTGTTGATTTCGCCCCAATTTTGGCGGCTTCTCCTTTTGCCGCCCGTACTCCAGCCAACCACCGATATTCGATCAGTACATCGACGACGTACTCGATGACGTAGTCGACTCAACGAGTTTGACGTGAACGAGTTTAAAGGTTTCTGATGACTCGTAGGGAAAATTTGTTTAAAACTCCAACGGTATCTGTGCTTTTCTTAAAGTGATAAATCTAAATATGTACATATATAAAAAATGAATTGCTGTTCGTTAGTCTCGCTAAAACTCGAAAGCGACTGGACCGATTTGGCTAATTTTGGTCTTGAATTATTTGTGGAAGTTCAGAGAATGTTTAAAAGGTAGATAAATATGAAAATGCTCGGAATTAATAAAAATTACAATTTTGTTTTTCCTTTGATGTGTCTCCCGTCGGACGAATTCCTTTTGTTTGTTTTAAGTTTATTTTATACAAAAGTTTAGGTCTTTTATTTATCGATTGAGGCACTACGAAGTCTGCCATGTCAGCTAGTGGATAATAACAGTCTTTAATTAAAAAATAAAATCAACAATTTATTATAATTAAGTTTTTGTACATTTCGTTGAATGGTTCAAGCGGGGCTCGCGGGCGCGGCTCACGCGACCAGCGGGTCCAGGATCGACTGTACCTCCGCGAAGATCTCATCCACAGGACGTTCCGCGTTTATCTGTTGGGAAACAGTCGTATTACAGTAGAAGACGATTGTAGGACCAGCCGCATCATGTCTGGTTTCCGTGCTTACCGGTGCACCTGGTGTTAAGTGGTTACCGGAGCCCATAGACATCTAAAACCTAAATGCCGCCACCCACCTTGAGATATGAGTTCTAAGGTCTCTACCCTTCAAACCGAGACGCATTACTCCTTCACGGCAGAAATAGGCAGGGTGGTGGTACCTACCCACGCGGACTCACAAGAGGTCCTACCACCAGTAATTACGCAAATTATAATTTTGCGGGTTTCATATTTATTTTTTAAGTGACGATAAAAGCTCACGTCAGCGTGCTAGCTAATAACACTGTTAAGAGCATGGGCAACGGCAATGGCTGGATAAAGTTTTAGCCACCCACTCGTAGCCAGCGCCGACTATTGAATAGCTTTATGGTTGATGTGTAACAAGAATAAAACTGGTAATGTAATGCAATGAAATCATCTGATGCGCGGTTTGACGGTAGACCTTGCGTTTAGAGGCGGAGCCCGCGGGCAGCACAATGCTACCGTCTATCGTAAGAAGTTAGGTTGCTACTTTATTTAGGCTATCTCAAGCCTTTAAGAGCAGCTCATTCCTGCTTTGGATCAGGCTTTGATAATGAACAAGACTTATAGTTTCCTACCAGTACCTGTTACCTATTGGAGTACGCTGTTGCCCAACCTGTCAATCATTTAGTCGCCTTACGATATCCACGGGAAGAGATGAGAGGTGCTAGGCTACACACAGCCAGTTGGAAGTTAGAAAGTCGTCCGAATAAAGTAGTATGTGAACTGACCCTCCTGAGTTTGTCCGGGTACTGCGCCAGGACGAGGTCGTTGTTGTCCAGGAAGGTCTTCAGCCTGAGCTTGATGGTCTCCTCGTTGTCATCGGCGCGGCCGGAGCTGGCGGCACGGCCCAGAAGGCGCTGCGTCAGCGTCTCCGAGGAAGCCTCGAAGTATATTATCACCTGACGCACAGTCACGTTCTATTTTTAGATCTACATGAGGCGAACAAATATGCCTGTGTTCGTGCCATGTGCAATATTCATCCTCTGACTTCTTGTAAACCATTCTTCCAAAAACATAATATTTTAACTGTACCATCCATATATATACAAGAATGTTGTTTGTTTGTTAAAAAGCACCCACAATTATATAAATCGTGTGGCGAGTACTGTCAATTTAATACAAGATACCCTACTAAACTAATGTTACCAAGTATAAATACTCGTTACTACCATACAAACTGTTATCCTATGACTATCAGAATATTTAATAAGATACCAAACAGCATAAGAGATCTTCCACTAACTCAATTTAAAAGAAAATTATATTTATGGCTAATAGACAAGGCTTATTATAGTGTGCAAGAATTTTTAAATGATAAGTGTTGTACATAATAAAATATTAGAATAAGAAGTGATAGAATGTAAAAATAGATAGATTTAGTAAATTTTGTGTTATAATTAATATAAAAATAAATTAAATTTTCGCATGCCTAAACAGGCGAAATATATGAAGCTATGTCCTATATCTTGTAAACTATATTTCTGGCGAATAAAGATTTTCTTTCTTTCTTTCTTTCTTTCTTAATCGCATTCCTATTTTATTGCTACTTTTTTCCTACCTATGCTGATAGCCTTGAGAGGCTATTTCAGCTTCTCCTTGACGTGTAGGTGAGCTCACGAGGCTCAAACCGGGTGTGTTGCTAACACTGGCCCTAGCAAGAGCAGTGCTTAGCAGAATCTACCACCGGATCGGAATCGCGACCCACTGAGAGGATCCGGCGAGAAACAGTGGGCTGTGTCTGTGGATTAATTCCGGGTTCGACGAGGACGGTGACTGGTGCTTATGGTACCTAATTACTACTAGAGCTGCGCTGGCGCTATGACCCCGAAGCAGCGCTTTGGTCTCAGACAATACTCCGCCATTCATCATGACATTTCGCTACACCTAGCCAGTCCGGCACTTGAAGATCACGTAAATTTCCTTCCACAGCGTCAGACCAGCTTTTTTTTTCTACCAGAGCTGATGGTCTTGAAAGACAATTTCAGTGTAGTCTTAACAAGTAGATGAGCTCACGGGGCTCATTATCATAGTCATCTCACCGAAACAGGAGCGATGTTCTCTTCAAAAGCGATACCCTGTGACTTCTCGCGAGGGTAGCCGTCGATGAGGAAGCCTTTGGATTCTTCAGCGCGGGCCAGGATCGCTTCTTTTAGCAGATCCAGGACGATTTCATTAGGGACAAGCTCGCCTTAAAAAAAATCAAACGTTAATTTTGCTATAACAACGGTAAATATCGTAAGAGCTCTTAAAATTTTAATACGAGAGAACTAGAATTTATTTTATTATTATTTTTTGTATTATTGCCTAGATGAGCGACGATCTCACAGCCCACCTGGTGTTAAGTGGTTACTGGAGCCCAAACTCATTTACAACGTAAATGCGCAACCCACCTTGAGGTATAAGTTCTAAGGTCTCAGTATAGTTACAACGGCTGCCTCATCCTCCAAACCGAAACGCATTACTGCTTCACGGCAGAAATAGGCAGGGCGAGAGGCTCCACCACCAGTAATGACAAGAAGTCCTACCACGAATCTGTGAAACGTAGCCTTGATTCGCCAATTTACAATAAGCAGACTCGCCCGGTTTCATGTTAAACTTAAACCGTAACGTATAGAGATCGAATATCAATAACGGTGCTTGAAATGTTAAATTCAATGCGTGTAATAGGTCATTTCATGCGTTTCCAATATAAAAAAAAACACGAGAATTAATAATTTTAAACCAGTTTATTCTTTAACCGACTTAAAAAAATGATGAGGTTCTCAATTCGACTGTATGTTTTTTTTGTTTGTTACCTCATAGCTTTTGACTGGGTGAATCGATTTTGATGATTCTTTTTTTATTAAAAAGCTGACGCTTCCCGTGTGGTCTTATTTCAATTTAGTCTAGTTCTGATAATGGTATCCATGAGAAAGCCATATAAGTCTTAAATTTGCATTAAGTACGTGCGCGACAAATAGATGAATAAATAACTTAATATCACGCCAACCGATTTCGATGATTATTGTTTTTAGTATATATTAATTTGTTTTGGAATATCTTTTTTTTCTACTTGAAGTCGGTTTTTGTTAAAGCATGTCTGTCTATTTACAACAATTATTACCAACCTCTTTCCATAATAGCGGTAAGGCATTTCGCCCTCTCCGAGCCGCTTTTGACTTCAGCCCTGAGCAGGTCTCCAGTCGAGAGGTGAGTGAACCCGTATTTGGCGACGATCTTGTCGCATTGTGTTCCCTTTCCTGATCCGGGACCTCCCAGGACCCACACGATTGGCTTTTTCGATGTATCTATGGGTGCCTGTAATATTTAAAAAATTTTGTTTATTTAATTGTTGACCTACATATTGACGGTTAAAATCGAAAGTAGTTGTATATTCATATTTATTTTATTAAAACGAAAACAATAGAGACACAAGAAGCACAGGTTTCAACTTTTGTATTTATTTGTGGTAAATGTGGCATTTTCTTTTAGATATAAACGAATTATCGCGTTGTATTCTATCAGTCTAACGATTAAACGTAAAAAAACAGTGAGTACATCGTGTAAGATATAAAACATATTATGTAACTACATATTTCTTTCGTATACATAACCTATGAAGAACTAGAATCATACAAAGCTCGAGTAACTTGTATAGTTAATGTGATAGCTAAAAATACCTAAAAGGCTAAACGGAAATATGGGTACATTCTGATGATCTTGTAGTGTATTTCTAACCATGTACGCTTTGCATTTCGGTGATTTGCACATCAGAGGGCACGGCGGCAGCTTATCAACAATCGGCTCTTTACACGGTTCACATAGTTTCTTTTCCATTGCATAATACAAAAATGTACCTATTGTTTATTTTTTTATTCTTTATTCATATTTGATATAAAATTTGACGTTTTTAAATAAAACGTCAATAGTAGACAAAGAGAACGTTGCCTTCATGATTTATCGGTCGATGTCATCGACATAGTTATTCGAATGTTTATGCAGGTCGTAAGGTTTCCCGGGCAACAAAGAAATAATTAAATCATAATTGTAAACGGACATGCTTTAATAAAAGCCGACTTCAAATAGAAGAAAAGAGATATTCCAAAACAAATTAATATACAATAGAAACAATAATCATCGAAATCGGTTGGCGTGATATTGAGTTATTCATCTATTTGTCGCGCACATACTTACTCCAAATTTAAGACTTATATGGTTTTCTCATGGATACCATTATCAGAATTTTGAAATGGGACCACACGGGAAGCGTCAGCTTTCGAATAAGATAAGAATCATCAAAATCGATTCACCCAGTCAAAAGCTATGAGGTAACAAACATAAAAAAAACATACAGTCGAATTGAGAGCCTCCTCCTTTTTTGAAATCGGTTAACAAACCTTCATATATTAATGTTAAACGTTATTCTTTTGTTAAGCATACATAGTTCTCGGTCACTGAACGATCGGTTCGTTCCTTTTCGTCTTTTAGGAAGGCATTGAAAATAATCTACTGCTGCAGTCACGTTCGTCCTCGCTCCATTTCTTTTTTTTTTTTTCTTTTCAAATCACCTGTCAAGTTTCTGTTTTAGTCCATGTCTAGCCGTTGTAGGTCGTATGTCCTGTCAAAGAGGTTTCACGCCACGACGGTCATGTTTTTTAATGAGCCGACCTGTAATGCAAATACTCGCCTTCTGCTCCTAACATCCGGAGACCGTCAAAACCCATATATCCCTCATACTTCCGAGACACGGTAACTACGGACGATGTGTAGATTGCTGGTTGAAAAAAAAAAAAACTAGATGGTAGTGCTAAATCACGCGGACTCACAATACACCCCCTTTTTTACTACTACTAGGAATACAACTTCATATGTATATACGTATATTAGATTACCACTAGAATAAAGGTATTTTTTTTCCATTACGGGATAATATTATCAAGAGGAATCCGACTTTATCAGGACTAATGTAAAAATGGATGTGTTTGTGCACTTAATAACAAGCTATCACAAACCGACTAGTTTACTCAGTTTTCAGTCTCTCTATGGAATTGTATGAGACCTTTTACTGATATTACACTTTGCCGCATTATCTAAAGGGCCGTTTGACGTAAGTACGACCTATTACGACAGCGGGAAATCGATCGAAGATATTAAATATTCAAAACTACGCCGCCAGCCTTCCTTTTCTTTTTGTGTGTCTATAAACCTGAACGTTTTTGAGATTCGAGAATCTGGTAATTTATAGTTTTTTTTTATTGCTTAGATGGGTGGACACGCTCACTTGGTGTTAAGTGGTTACTGGAGCCCATAGACATTTACAACGTATATGTGCTACCCACTTTCAGATATAAGTTCTAAGGTCTCAGTATAGTTACAACGGCTGCCCCACCCTTCAAAACGAAACGCATAACTGCTTCACGGCAGAACTAGGCAGGGTGGTCGTACCTACCGGTGCGGACTCACAAGAGGTCCTACCACCAGTAAAAATAATTAGTTAAATTATTAAAATAATTATTTCAGGCAGAGGTAATAAAAGTTCATGGCGCAGCCACAACTCCGGCGGTTCTGTGGGTAGTAGGGGGCCCGGGGAGCAACGGCCGAAACGCATTACTGTTTCACATGCCTTAGTAAAGTTCTCTTATTGGGTCGCTGGTCTGTGTTAGGTAGTCCTCTGACTACTAAGAGACAAGAGAACAAAAATAAAGAGTCCTTAAAACATTTGAATATGCAATTTCGAAAAGGGCACATCTCTGAAAATGTAAAATGTTCAGGAAATGACCACCCAACTTAAAATATAAGTTCTAAGGTCTCAAGTATAGTTCCAACGGCTGCCCCACCTTTCAACCCGAAACGCATTGCTGCTTCACGGCAGAAATAGGCAGGGCGGTGGTACGTACCCGCGTGGATTCACAAGAGGTCCTACCACCAGTAATTACGCAAATTATAATTTTGCGGGTTTGATTTTTACTACACGATGTTATTCCTTCACCGTGGAAGTCAATCGTGAACATTTGTTGAGTACGCATTTCATTAGAAAAATTGGTACCCGCCTGGGATGCGAACACCGGTGCATCGCTCAAGACGAATGCACCGGATGTCTTATCCTTTAGGCCATGACCACTTAAAATTCAAGCGATGACTGTTTTCTACCGTGAATGCTGTACATTCCATCAAATTTAGTATAGCATAGTATCAGGCTCTACAATAGTTTTCCCTCCACGAAGTTACCGAATGCTATGACGATGATGATGATGCAAAATATATATTGCGTGCCAAATGTACTCTACATTACACTTAACAATCCTCTAAAATTAAAATATTATCTATTTTTTATAAAATTAAATGTATTCTTCTACTTCACTTGTTATTTCACAAGAACACGAGATTTATTTATTTCAATTATCATTTTCTACTCCTCAATAACTATGATCCTGGTGGTAAGAACTCAGTCCGCACGGGTAGGTGCCACCATCCTGCCTGCTTCTGCCGTGAAGCAGTAATGCGTTTGAAGGGTGGGGCAGCCGTTGTAACTATACTGAGACCTTAGAGCTCATATCTCAAGGCGGGTGGCGGCATTTACGTTGTAGCTATGGGCTCCGGTAACCACTTAGCTGTGAGCTCGTTCGCCCATTTATGCAATAAATAAAAAAAAAAAGGTGATTTATTTCTTAACCTATCCAGAATCTACTACTTACTGTTTTTAATGAGCACGAATTAAAAATACACGAAATTTTTTAGCAGACCTCGTTTAGACATTGGCCGTTCACAAGGTTAGTTTAAAAATAAGATGGCTAAGCGAACCGTGTCTGTAGCATTTAGGTAACAGTGTGACGCGACCACATCTTTGGCTCGTTGATGCGATCTGTAGATGCGAGTATACAGATTTTTTTGCAAACTTGTCTGCCGGTAGCATCGAGGAGATATTCTTTTCTTTTATTGCTTAGATGGGTGGACGAGTTCACAGCCCACCCGGTGCTAAGTGGTTAAGTGGTGATGGTTAATACCAGTTCCAAGGTCTCAAGTATAGTTACAACGGCTGCCCCACCCTTCAAATCGCAACGCATTACTGCTTTACGGCAGAAATAGGCATGGTGGTGGTACCTACCCGCGCGGACTCACAAGAGGTCCTACCACCAGTAATGGCTCCGCACTGACCGGTAGAAGAGTTCTCGGGGTTGGAAGAATTCGCTGACTGATGCGCTAGCAAGAAAAGTGCTTCGCAGAATTGTATGCAGCATAATCAATTTATAATTCGCAAGTAAGGTAGAAAATGGAGTAAAAAGAAGTTTCTGTGGGCGCGTAAGATTTTTTTTATTTGTTTAGATGGGTGGATAAGCTCACAGTCCACCTGGTTTTAAGTGGTTACTGAAACCCATAGACATCTACAAAGTAAATGCGTCACCCACCTTGGGACAAAAGTTCTAAGGTCTTAACGGTTGCCCACTCTTCAAATCGCAACGCATTACTGCTTTACGGCAAAAATAGGCATGGTGATGGTACCTACCCGTGCGGACTCACAAGAGGTCCTACCACCAGTAAAAAGTAAGTACGTATACGTACTTTTTTCTGTTTTTTTTTTGTACAAGGTACTCATTTTCAAAAATGTTGGTAAACCCATATTTTTATGTTTAGATTAGTTTATGAACGTAAAAAGACGAATAGTGAAGAAAATGTCCTATATATTATTAAGCAGATAAGATCCGATAGGCGAAACTAACTAGCACGAAGAACAAAAAAAACTAGAGGTGTAATTTATTAAAGAATGCTGACGTTGGCAACTTGTCAGCGAATGCTTGACTATCAACGTAATATAAAGACTTACAGCACCAATATACATTTGGTGTCAAAAACATTGTGAAAAAGTCCAAAATGTAGATTGTGTAAAAATATAAATTAATATAATTTTTCTTTTCGTTTTCATGATGCTCTAAGTTTTGGTAATTTTTTTATGATCGGCCGCCTGGCTAACGTCGACCCTCCCTGGGAATGCGTTTGTTGACCTTGGGTCTAAGTTGTGTTGGGTTCGATCAGGCTATGGCTCTTAGTCGCCTTCTAGGACACTCATGAGCTAAGTTTGGGCTGGGAGTATGCTTAGGCGCCCCAACACGCTAAGAGGGAAGTGAGAGAAGAAATGTTATATGATAGAGGAGTATGGAAGGAGAAAACATGTTGCGTCGACCCCAGGCGACTGGGAGAAGGTCAGAAGAATGATGATATTTTTTAATTTATTTTTATTGTCTTAGTACGCAGGCGAGAACGCGGCCCACCTGATAGTGAGTGGTTGCCGTCGCTCATGGACTTCAGCAATTTCAGAGGCAGAGCCAAGCTGCTGCCTACCGTACCGTTTGAGTGATCTTCTCGAGAATGAAAACATAATTTATTTATTTAATAATAATAATGAAGTCTTTAACACGCCTTCAATATTCAAATTGTAATTTAGAACATTCTCTGTGAATCTAGGTAACGCCACATACACATGTATGCATCAAAGTTTTAACGTGAGAACAAAAGACACAAACACACACAAGCTCAGTGTCGAATTAATATTTTTCGTCTCGACACGGAAGCACCAAACAAAACTATACCTTAGCAACATTGAAATTAAGATTATCACATAGATAATCGAAACGCAACGAGTCGATCTATTTTCATGTTGACTGACTGACTGTTGACAGTTTTCGAGGACAATGTCAACGTTTCTATAACGAGCATGGTCGCTGACATTGTTTTTTGCGAACTAGCTGTTAAAATTAGTAACGTAAGACTTAAATTGGAATGATTAATTAAGAGTTTAAAATTGGTTCAATGATAGTGAAACAAATTGAGCATCATCCATTTTTTCTGCTAATAATTGTAATTAAGGCTTATATTCGAATAAAGAATATGTGGCTTTAAAGCTGAGCTTTAGTTTAGTAGCCCACTGAGTGTCTCGCCGGATCTTCTCAGTGGGTCGCGTTTTCGATCCGGTGGTAGATTCTGCAAAGCACTGCTAGGGTTAGTGCTAGCAACGACGTCAGGTTTGAGGCCCGTGATCTCACCTACTTGTCAAGGTTACGCTGAAATGGTCTCTCAAGACCATCAGCTTAGGTAGGAGAAAAAAAAATAAAAAAAAATTAGTTTAGTTTATTGGCCTCCTACTTAATATTAATACAAAATGTTTGCAAGAACCTTCTGAAGGATGGAGTTTAAAAAATCATTTTCAATCAACTTTTTTCGAATAGATATCTAATATCTAAAGAGTTATTTTCATAAATTCCACCAAAAGCTTACTGTAATTTTTTTTTCATTTTTCGTGAGCGAGCTCTCGTCTTTTTTACTGTTAAGTGGTCACCAAAGCTCATAAACATCACGACGTGAGTGTCCTGGGTTAGAGCATTAAAACATGAGATCGGAATATCAATATACAAGATACACTCACATACGCTTATTTATCTATACTAATATTATAAAGAGGAAAGATTTGTTTGTTTGTTTGTTTCGAATAGGCTCCGAAACTACTGGACCGATTTGAAAAATTCTTTTTCCATTAGAAGCCGACATTGTCCCTGATGAACATAGGCTACTTTTATTATTATTTTTTTTTTTTTTGGTTTCATGTGTGTTTTAATGCTTCCGAAGCGAAGCGAGGGCGGGTCGCTAGTTACCAATAAACCTAAATTTAAGTAAACCTGGATTCGTAACACAATGTAAGATTTTTTCCAGAAATATTTTTACGTAAATACGATTAGCGTGGCCATTGTTAAAGTGTCTTGGTCATGACTTGTAAAGCTGCCGCGGCTTCATTGAGGAACGCATGGCTCTGTAAATGTGTTAAAATATAGACATATTGCAATACTGCTATGGTTTTGTTTAAATTTTCTGTATATTTATTAATTATTTGTGCAATTATAATTAATTCACTGTTTGTCTGTTTGTCATTGTCTTGGGGTCTCGTGATACATAGGTCATTCTCATTTTTCGATGTTTCGAATTTAGTTTTGTCGTAACTAACTAATTATGGTGTCTTACGTCAACACTTGAATAGTACACTAACTAAAAGTCGAATGGTTCATGAATATTTTCAATGTTGGCTGTTTGATTGCAGTTTCATTTTCACGATAAGAATAATCAAAAAATTAAAGAGCTGACGGTTAGCGTGGTACGGACATGTGATGTGCCTAGGAGATATATGGAAATGGTAGTGCAAGATAGAGGGGGAAGAGGTCGACCGAACAAGACATGGATGGAGTGTGTGAATGACGATATGAGAGAGAGGCTGATAGAAGAGAATGGAAGAGAAAAATTTGCTGTGCCGACCCCACCTAGTGAAATAAGTTGGAGAAAAAAAAAGAAGATAAGAATAAGGCCGGTGTTAGAAAAGTGCCAATCATCTTCTCTATAAAACTTAGATTTATTTTCAATGGTTTCACGTTCTGAATTATACTGTTTTAATTAAACCGTAAAGTAGATTTAATTATATCTGTTGCTCGATCTATTTTGACTTGCGAAAACAGAAAAAAAAAAACAAATATATTACCTACCTTAAAAATGTTCATAAAAATACCTCGAAAATAAGTTCGCTAGCGTATTTCAGCAACTCTAGCCAAGTTGCCATAACAAGAACGACGAAACATCGGTAATCCAGCGCACTGTTCGTTTTCATCACACAAAAAAAACAACACAAGATAAAACAGATTTAACGAAAAACATCGAAATAACTAAAGACATTCATACGTTTTACTATTTATACGTTAATAAACATAGCGGTGGATGCCAGTTGGCTGCGTTCGAACTCGGATGGAAGCGATTAGGTACTGGATATGTTTTGGAGGAAAGCCCAATATTTTTAGTGTTTGGGGCTACGACCTAATAGTCAAGACGATCTTAGATAATTCGAGAAATCATTTTCATTAATATCTAACGTGACCATACGTCACGTTTTGGCGGGATTGTCCCGCTTTCAGGCTGTCCGTCCCGCTGTCTCCAACGAGAACAAAAATGTCCCGCTTTCATTTATCTGTTGTGCATGTGTTTATTAGAAACTTACCGAATACTTACTTATCCCAAATCCTTAATGCATACTAAAGTAACAAATTTTGCTGTAGAAAAGTAGTTTTTTGTTGCGAAATTATTTATAAATCTATATATTAATACGTGAAGCAAAAACTTTGTATCCCTTTTTACGAAAATTGCGCGGACGGAGGAGTATGAAATTTTCCACACTTATAGAGAATATAGAGAAGAAGTGCACAATGCTAATTTTTTTTTAAATAATGCATAAAAGATACATTAAATCAATAAAGAAAAACTTACACGCACTACATACCATGTATTTGACGCACACACGCATGCATACTATTTATTGTCAAACTTTTGTTCTTGACGTCTGTTGTGAAATTGAGAATAGATTAAATATTTTTTGTCTTTGTTAGTATTTTTATAGTGTAGTCTTGGCAAAATTTGTGATTATAGAAATATAAAATACAATCATAATAGTGTACAAACTTACAATTCCAATTAATTATAGTCGAATTTCGACTACTGCGGGACCTCTAGTATTATTTTAAGGGCAAGTTGGTGTAAGAATTAAGATGTCAGTGAGGGTAAGATACCTTATTAAATCATGCCCTATATATGTATTTATTTATATACGAAATTCCGTAGTCGTCCCGATATGACAAAAAAAAATGGCCACGCTATTAATATCCCGTAACAATGAATCATTTGGTGATCGAACGATTGATTGAATGGTTCTTCCTAACGTTCCCTAGTTTGTCCTCAATGTGTCCAAATCGGTGCTAGTTGCGTGAGAAGAATTTAAAACTAACATAATAAAAGTATTCACGCACGATTCATATTGAAAATCACAAGAATTATAGTGTTTCAAAATTGATAATACTGCCACTGTTCTCACAAAACTCCTGAGAAGAACCGGTGAAACAATCTCAATTGGTTTGTCTTTTTTCTTAGTTTTCTACTAACAATCAATCTTTGCGGGTTCCTTTATGCGTAAATCAAGGATATAACGCAGTAGCTCGTGAGCGATTTGTATGAATGAACTGGTCTTTTTAGGTGAGTAAAATGAACTCGTTCACCTATATGTAGTTTATTCGCACTGAATTTACCTAACTCCGATTCCACTTTCCGAGTAGATATTCACGTAACTCACTCACGTGAGCGATTCGATACGTCGTTACATATTCAAACACCCACACACAACTCACCGGTTGTATATTTATCGCATCACCCGTATAGCGCTTTTTCTAACCTCATGAACAGGCGAGTCGATATTAAATAATATATAAAGCCTAGAAAACTGATGCTTAACGATAAATCGGTAAATTGAAAGAATAAGCAGACATTACAAAAATCTCTTTTTTAAATACAAATTGTATTTAAACTGAAATATAATTCGTCTCTTTAATACTGTTGGTCTTAAGTCTGAAGGGAGTCTGAGAAATTGTATATTAACGAAATTCATTTAATTCAGGTAGCAAGTTCCGACTCTCGGGTTGTAGCACCATGCAGTCGGTACAATTGCACGCATTGACGGAACGAAACTACGATCAATATTATTAATCGAAGGAACGAAACGAACTATTATGGAACGAATTCCATTCCTAGTTCAATTTGGGGAGCCAACCGGTGATTTATAAGATCTACTAGACTTGCACAAGACCGTTTGCGGCTTCGATCAATATTATTGTTCGAAGGTTCGCGGTAATAAAGTAGTAAGTAGCTGGGTCAGCGACTCTATCCGTGTACTTACTTATACAGCTTTTTCTTTTTTCCTGCCTATTGCCAGTAACCTCGAGGGGTTATTCTAGTTTTGTCGAACGTGGCCTTACACAGCCGCTAGAAAAAGTATTTTTTACATTAAACCAAGTGATATAGGAATAGCGCGATTCAGAAAAATAACAACGCCATCTATCAAGTAAGGACTATAAGCGCGCGTAGTTTCTAAAAGTTTTGTATTCATGATTAACGTGATGTGTTTTTTAGATACCAAATATATTTAGAGTATTATTATTTTAGTATTTTCTTCGATTTCCGTGAGACGAAGACGTAATAATTAAAACAGCGGTTTTACGGTTTAGTCTCCTTTTTTTGTCTTTATATTATTTCCGATATTTCACAAACCAGTGTATTACTAGTACTTATGCCCTGAATACATCATTACGGTTCCTCCCGATCAATGTACGGTGCTTTTAGATACTTCAACCACTGGCTACCGTCCACGCCGAGCCCGTCCCTTGCGACGATGGGCTCGACGACTAAATTAACCCATTCACAGCCCACTGAGTTTCTCGCCGGATCTTCTCACTGGGTCGCGTTTCCGATCCGGTGGTAAATTCTGCGAAGCACGGCTCTTGCTAGGGCCAGTGTTAGCAACATTTCCGGTTTGAGCCCCGAGAGCTCATCTGCACGCTAGGGTGAAGCTGAAATAGCCTCTCAAGGCTATCGTATAGGTAGGAAAAATAAAAAAAAGTACTTACTAACCAGAATTGATTTCAAATTTACATGGTAACAGATTTTTATCGTATCTGATTTCATTGTAGGATTATTCACTTTTTCATTGCAATTTCGATTTATTCGCTTTTATTATTCATATTGATTACTATTGTATGGGAAAGACGAGTTTTATTTGCTATTACTTAAATACATCAATAATCTTATCGCTTTAGATTAGGTGTAATCGCTTGTTTTGTTTTGGCGAGAAAAAAAATGCTTCTTAACATATCAGTAAAGTGCATTATGCTACATTTGATTACTGTAGATAAAAATACTGTGCATTCTTAATTAATATTGAATTTATTTACATCGGCATCAAATTACAGAAGTGTATATGTAGTTATTAAAAACTATTTTTGGAAATAAAATATCACAATATTTAATAAGCGTTCGAATAATAGAAAAACTTAAACTAATTCTTTGAATTATATTCTAAATTTAACTTATCTTAAATGCATATTAGTTAAAAAAAAAAAAGTAAATCATATACACATTTTTTAACTACTGGCCAGCAATAAAATTATCTTTATTTTTATAGTTAGCGAGCTTTGTACGATTCTATTCTTGTTCTGATTATGACGTAACATTTACTGAAAAAAACTCGTAAACGTCATAAATTAACCTACATATTTAAAAAAAAGAATTAAAAACCGCAATTAAACAGTATATTTTTGTTTTCTGTCACTCACCATTTTTTATAAAATTAAAACTGACGTAGTATGCGACAATTTAGTAATTTCTGTTTAGAAACGTGTATTTCCCGCGCGTTCAGCGGACCGACTGCGGTCTGGAGCTCGCGGTCAAGGCTACGGAAACTGTGCCAACAGCCAATAATCGACCTCTGAAGACGCGGGAAAATTTTCATGGAGGTTATCATATGCTTCTAGCGCCAATAATGTTTTAAAATTTATTTTCCTAATATTATAATAAAAAGCATCAAGATGGACAATAAAACATGTAATTTAAAACACATTACACAGTAGGAACCTAGAAACATTCATCTTTGTTTTGTTTTGTAATAAGATAAAAATAGGAGATAAAAATATCTAATTCATGAAACCCAAGTCGTACATTGTTTTTTTATGTGTGTGTCACCACCAATATTTTCTTCTCTCTTTCTGAATAAGGTTGACTGGTATAAAATGTATTTAGAATTAGATCCACAATATCGTTGCTTTATTTTTGGTACCTAATCTATACTAATATTATAGAGCTGAAGAGTTTGTTTGTTTGAACGCGCTAATCTCAGAAACTACTGGTCCGATTTGAAAAATTGTTTCAGTTAGATAGCCCATTTATCGGGGAAGGCTATAAGGCTATATAACATCACGTTAAGATTGATTGAAGAAGATTTGGAAGTCGTGAAGGCTATAAGGCTATATAACATCACGTTAAGATTGATTGAAGAAGATTTGGAAGTCGTCGTGGCCTAAAAGATAAGACGTCCGGTGCATTCGTGTTGAAGCGATGCACCGGTGTTCGAATCCCGCAGGCGGGTACCAATTTTTCTAATCGATTGACTTCCACGGTGAAGGAATAACATCGTGTAATAAAAGTTAAACCCGCAAAATTATAATTTGCGTAATTACTGGTGGTAGGACCTGTTGTGAGTCCGCGCGGGTAGGTACCACCGCCCTGCCTATTTCTGCCGTGAAGCAGTAATGCGTTTCGGTTTGAAGGGAGGGGCAGCCGTTGTAGCTATACTGAGACCTTGCAACTTATATCTCAAGGTGGGTGGCGCATTTACGTTGTAGATGTCCATGGGCTCCAGTAACCACTTAACACCAGGTGGGCTGTGAGCTCGTCTAACCAACTAAGCAATAAAAAAAAAAAGCACCAGTAAAAAATGTTTCAAAATCAGGGTTTTTTTTTCCTTTTCAGAGCTTCCTCTGCGTGCGCTGCGGAAAAGTTTCGCTAAAGTAATGCATCAGAGAATTGTTCCCCTTTAAAAGATCTAAAAAAAAGTCCGCGACGGCATATGTCTATATGTTAAGGTTGGCTCCCTATAAAGTTTTTTATGCTAACCAAATTTGTTCTAAAATCAACCATTATTTGTGAAGGTGGTTTTATAAAGATGATATTAATTACTATCCAAATAAATACGTTATTGATTACAACATTGAAACACCTAAATCACTTCAAAATAGGCTTTGACAATTATAGATTTTTCTGGATTTCTCCAAGATACCATTCTCAGATCTTGATGTATAACAGGACCATTCGGGAAGTCTACCCTTTCGAACAATAAAAAAGAAAAAAGAATTATCAGCATCGGTTCAAGCATTCTCGAGAAATCGGTGAACATACATAGATAAAAAAAAATGGTCGAATTGATAGCTTCGTCTTTTGAAGTCGGTTAAAAAACCTGATTTTGGTACCTTAAATAGCTCCTTAACATTCTATTAATCAAAGATATTTTCACTTTCTACGTAAATGAAGAGGCGGATAAAATTTAGCGTTATGCCAAAATAACAATTCCACGCCGACGAAGTCGCGGGCAAAAGCTAGTAGTAAATGGTAATAATGGTACCTAATAGGAAATAAACAAGTAATAAAGTGTCCCTACAAATAATGATTATGACTGACTGTAACCATTGGTGAAATGAGGAACTTAGAACATAATATTTATTATAAAAAATAAAACAAATCTCTTGTGGGGCATAAACATTTAGCTATATAAAAGACAGTTTATTTTAAAAAGTGCTTTTTATTTAGAAATTGTACATAACAATAAACATTTTTTATAAACAAAATAAAATTTTCTTTCGCCACAGAACATTTCAAGATGAACTTAAAAAAGAAATTGTAATACAATCATGTTATATAATATCAATATTCTTATTGCATACAAAACATAATTTGAAAACAAAAGACAATTAATTATTCATTTCCACTTATATTTTTTCACACCCATACACATCCTTATTTAACATTTAATGTTCATATAAAATTAGTGCGTTTTATTTTTCCTGTTTGTTAAAATATCTATATACTAGTAAATACTAGCTAAGTCTAAATCTAGATTGGCCCCTGTTTGGTGATACTAAAGCTACGTGTAAAGATACTATTACTATACTCTTATTACTGTAGTAATATAGCTATTCTATAATTATGCTACTATAATATATAATGCAACACTACATGCGTATTTGTACTCTGTTGTGCTTTAGTATATCTCATAAATATTTGTTTTTGATATTAGTCGTTTTCAACGATTTTTTTCACATTCAATGTTCAAAAAGTACATTCCTATTAGTATATTAAAAAAAAAAACTTGTCATCACATCTTTTTTCCTGAGGTAAACGTAAATCAAATGAAATTGCACGATACATAAGATTAATTACAAAGGATAAACTAAGAAGTTGCCGTTTTAACTTAGAGTCGCCTCTTGAAGGGCGCTTGAGTTACTTAACCCTTTGAGCGCGAACCGTCGTTAGAGTGCGGAGCGTCGTAATATCGATTATTTGCGCAGTTTTATTATAGGCATATGGTATCGACCTGTACGGACGTTAGTCGCGCATAACGTCTTTAATAAAATAACATTTATAAATAACCATTTAAAATTGTTATTGCTGTGAATTTAGTATTGGTTGTTCTACTGTTTTTTTTTAGTTTTTATATGGTACTTTTTTTCATAAACCCCTTAGCAATATCCGCAAAATATATGAAAACAAGCTCAGCACTAAAAGGGTTAAATAAAAACTCATGTCGTACATTAAGCTATCTTATTCACTTAAAGTGATTTTTATTAGATTCAATCTAGTTGTTATTATTAGAGCTTCGTGAGTTACCTTTCAAATCTATGCAATTTAAGCTAAGGCACTTATTTTATGTGCGTTTTATAGGCTGCATCGAAATTGTATTTGGTAAATCCGTAACATTGAATTTATAAGACGGTATTTGTGTCATCTCCGTCAAGCTGTCCATTACCGGCTCAGGTGTTATCATATTCCTTTAAATCATCCGTAGAACTGTACTAATGGTAGAGCGTGTTGTGAGCCATCTCGGGTAGGTACCACGGCTCTGCCTAATTCTGCCGTGAAGCCATTGTACTGTAAAAACTGAGACTTAGGACTCGTGTCTCAATGTAGGTAGCGGTATTTACCTTGTTGATGTCTATAGACTCCGGTAACCAGATAGGCTTTGAGCTCGTTCACCCCATCTAGGCAATATTTTTTTTCCTAGAAATGTTTTATCCTCAGTTTCTACCTCCAATTACTCCTCTCCCCTCTTCGAATTTTAGTAGTACCATTGCCATTGTCCGCTTAAAATAGGCACATTGTCGATAAATAAGAATTGATCTTGAATCAAACAAAGGAAATTGATGAAGTGTTAGAGATAGTCCCGTCATCTCCTTCCCTTCTTGCCATCAGCGCAGAGTTCACTGGGAGGTGTTTAGAGATTATGTTTGTCACGTACCAGCCGGCTCTGGAATAAGCACCTCAAGATGCTCTCCTTCTCTCGCCTTTGACAAAATTCTTCGGCGCTACGTAGAACATTGGTTGTGCCCCTGGGATTGATTGAGAAACCACGAGGTTGGCTCCATGAGTTCCTCAGCCAGTGCAGGCAATATAGAAATTGCAGTTTTCGATGTGCAATTACAATCACGTTCACATATTACATAGATTCAATTCTTACAATAGTAACTACTGCTAATTATAAAATTACAAAGGTACATTAAATTATGTAGATATTACTCGTAATTCGCTAAATCTTACTAAATCTCATTAGGCACATTTTACGTGTTCTCTCTCATTAAATCTATTCATGAGTATACATTAAAATTGTTGACTTCATTCTGAGGGGTAAAAATCGATCAAGGATATTGCGATACGCTAGCGATATTGTTAATTACATAACAAAAAGTGTAAGCGTGTAAATATACTGAGTGTTAGGAGATTGCTTCCGAAAACGAAGACAGACTATAGCAGTAATGACGCCTTTGATGATGGGACGGAATAAAATTCGATCCTGATAAAAAAAAACACATTTTTAAAACGTTTTATTAGCATTATTTACGATTCATCATTTTAGTACAGCTAAATTAAACGATCGTTTCATAAAAAATACATTTCTTTACTAAAAAAAAACCGGCAATGAAACACAAAATCAACAACAGCTGATGCTCGGGTCAACGAACGCCCGGGCGCGGCGTTTCTTTTACACGCACACCGACGCGGCGCTGATACCGCGCTCCCCAAAACAACTTTGTAGGTACAAAATTTTCGTTTTCGGAAGCCGTCTCCTAACACCCAGTATGACAATTCGATATTAATAATTACGTTGTTTGGGTTTAAAAACTTTATGGGTTAACGAAAAAGGTGACATCTTCCACCGATCGAGTGATATTGCTCGGTAGGCCGACAGTCCAAATGCTCACGTTACGATTGAGTTAAGCCGGGCGAGTAGGTGAGCTCACGGGGCTCTAGCCTGTGCGCTTAGTGCATGATTTTAACGTTCTCGATAGCGTAAAAGTTAACTCAAATTTGTATGGAGTTGGAACATCGCCCCTAGCGGCAAACGCTCCAACTTCATACAAATGTGAGTGCACTGAGGACGTTGACACTAGCTCTAGAATCTACCGCCGGATCGGAATTGCAACCAAATCCGGCAAGAAACTCAATGGGCTGTCCCAAACACTGTTGTTCGGAACTTGTATATAAGTAGTTGAATATAACTTACTTAAGACTTAAATATAACTTAAGAACTTGTATATAACTTATCTTGAAAATGACATAAGCGAAATTGCGGCATCAGTCAAATAACTTGTGTCTTAAGATGGCTACCTGTCAAGTAATAATTATTTTGTCACCATTATCAAAGTTAGTCGTATTTTCTGTTTGATTAAGAACATCACAGTACTTTCAAATTGTTTAACAAAATTTTAACAAGATAAGGTTAACTATTGTCTATGTTCCTTGCCAAGTTACGAACCACAACTTGTGTAATGTTACATCTATTGCAAATCTTAACATTGAAATATGTCCGATATTCGAATTATTCAATTAGCGATCGAAATTAATCATAATCATAACTGTCTAGTAAAAACTTATCTAAAAAAACCATGTGCTAAAATTATATTTGGTTATGATTGTTTGCAATTCAAGTTACTATTTTTATAGGCTTATCGTTCCTAGTTCGTTTTAGTGTTGCTAGTAGCTTAATTTTCGCATAGCGAATTGTGTGCGAGCATTATGACCGACCGAAATATTATAGATATGGGTCTCTAAAAAAACGTATAATAAAAACCAGGTGTGACACGCGGGGACTGCCGCGGTAAAGCTATTGCATAGCATTTTATATCAACTTATGTAATTATAATTAGACAATAATAATTTAATATTAAAACAATAATAAAATAATACCACGCTATATTTATAAACATTAACAAAAGCAAAACATTAACTGTTCCCTTCACACTCATAAGTTAGACCGCGCGAGAGAGAGATGGGCAGACTTTTCATGATGCGCATGCAGTGCGACGTCACGCCGCGCGCTTATTCACAAACACTACACAAGCGCAACGTGTGAATGTGTTAGGTTTTATTTTCGTTACGGAATTTCTTGATTTGGTCGCCGCGCTCAAAGCCCGTGATAAAAGCGATGCAATAGTTTAAAAATAATTTTAGATCAATCTGCTATTTTCTCCACAAGTTTAATTCACCTTTATGCTTCTGATAGCGATATTTATCGATAGCGGTTACGACTTAGCTTTACCACAACATTTCCATTTTACTAACGTAAAATTTAAGTTATCGTTTCTGAGTCATATTGCGTTTGGTACTTAGCGCTACTTATCATTAAATGTGCGTATTGAACGTAACTTCCCCTGTGTTCTGTTCGTACAGACGTCTCACGTCGTCGTGCGTCATTTGTGAGACGGTCGGGATCTTTGACACGTTATTCAATAGTGGTTTTACCTGAAATTCATATTTGTAATTTCATCAGAAACACTATTTAGTCTATGTAGCATTTTACACAGATTATACAAGTCATTCAAAACGAGTTGTTGGAGTAGGTACATGAGAATATGAACTTCTAAATTTTTATTATAAATCATCCTTTTTTAATGTCTTCTTATAACGGGCTTATAAAGTTCGTATGAGTTGTTATTAATACGAAAATGATTTTTTTTTAATTTTTTTTATTGCTTAGATGGTTGGACGAGCTCACGGCCCACCTGGTGTTAAGTGGTTACAGGAGCCCATAGACATCTACAACGTAAATGCGCCACCCACCTTGAGATATGAGTTCTAAGGTCTCAGTATAGTTACAACGGCTGCCCCACCCTTCAAACAGAAAAGCATTACTGCTTCACGGCAGAAATAGGCAGGATGGTGGTACCCACCCGTGCGGACTCACAACACTTTCTACCACCAGTACCTAATTACGCAAATTATAATTTTGCGGGTTTGGTTTTTATTACACGATGTTATTCCTTCACCGTAGAAGTCACTCGTGAACATACAGTGGACCGTGAATACATTTGCTGTGTAATGCAATAAAAACTATCGTAGCTACCTTATTATTAACGCCCACGAATCCATTAGCAATGCCGCCATTGTGGATGGTTCCGTTTGGCAGCACACCGTTCGCGTGCCCGTTGCCCATCCGGGACACGGCGTGAGCGAACTGCGGCATCGCTGTCATGTCTGTCAAGTAATAAACGAATGAAACAAATTGTTAGTGAGTGAGTGAGTGAGTGAGTGAGTGAGTGAATGAATGAGTGAGTGAGTGAGTGAGTGAGTGAGTGAGTGAGTGAGTGAGTGAGTGTGTGAGTGAGTGTGTGTTTGTGTGTGAGTGTCTGTTTGTGTGTGTGTGTGTGTGTTTGTGTGTGTTTGTGTGTGTGTGTGTGTGTGTGTTTGTGTGTGTTTGTGTGTGTGTGTGTGTGTGTATGTGTGTGTGTGTGACAGAGAGAGAGAGACAGAGAAAAACAAGTTCAGTTTTTATCCAGAGTGATGCGGTAACACAATTAAACGGTAGTAGAACATAATTGTATGCTGTATGTGGTGATAAAGCAATTAAAATTTATATAAAGTTCAAGAGTTCGAACCTGGGATATTTTTTGTGAAATAGGTATAATACTAGTGATACTAGTGACCAGTTCGGTAAAATACGATATGGCAAACACAATTTTTGTTATCAGCTGACGAACAAGCCATTGGTTTAAAGTACAAGATCACGTCATACGCACTTCATCTTTTATTAACTTATTACATTAATTTTAACAATCATCTAAACTTATTTGAATGTAGAGTTATTTTTATTGCGCATATAAAAAACACATCACAACACACAATTTTAACAAAAATACAGAGAGGAATTTGAAAGAAATAAAATTCAGAAAACTATTTCAATTGACACTTCGATTTGAGGGATTATTAAGGCACTTACTATGAGCTGTATATAGCTTAGCATCAAGAAGCCAGTCTGTCCATCTACTGGTTGATCACTTGCTTCCATCAAAGTACTAACATATATAGGAAATGTTTGAGAAATAACCTGATCTAGGACCTTGAGACTGTCTCCTGTCTTCGGGGATGGCGGCTATGAGTTCCGCCTTCTCCATCTCCTCCAGCAGGATCTTTGTGAACTCGGCCTGGACTTCGATCGAGTCCGTGTCTCCGTCGACCTAATAATCGGATATTAGAGGTTGTAATGTCCGTTTATACTACCCTTTCCAGCACTGACAGTAGGACGTCTTGTGAGTCCGCACGGGTAGGTACCAGTAATGTGTTTCGGTTTGAAGGGTGAGGCAGCCGTTGTACTGTACTGAAACCTTAAAACTCATATCTCAAGGTGGGTGGCGCATTTACGTTGTAGATGTCTATGGGCTCCAGTAACCACTTAACACCAGGTGGGCCGTGAGCTCGTCCACCCATCTAAGCCAAAAAAAAAAGTTAGAAATTCTCGCAGACTATTTCACTTTAACACTCACAATCATTAGCCTGTGACTCTGGTCCAGAGTCTTCAGCATTGGGAGGCTGAGCTCGCGGAACACTTCAAGTCGTCTCCTGAACGCGGCCACCGAGTCGTCCCGCCTCCCTCGGCCGAGCTGCAGCTTGGAACAGTCCAGCAAAACCATGCGCGGAGATAAACGGAACTGAAAGGAAACGTATTGATTTCGAACAAGAACACAATGTTGTTTTCCAAAGAGCAATCGGGTGACGGATGCTCGCACTCTTGGACTCACTCGGTATTATGAGATGTGAGGGGGTGTCGAGCAGATCTGGTAAGACCTCTCCTTAGCAAGCCCCTTGGTCGGTTTAGCATCACGTCGACAAATGCCAGTTCGTTATCAGCGGAAAGGTTTTTGGCCTTAGTTCTCTCATTTGGTCGTTGGTCTGTGTTAGGTTAGTTTAAGTTAGGTTAGCTTTTACTGGTGGTAGGACCTCTTGTGATTTACTGGTAGTAGGACCTCTTGTGAGTCCACACGGGTAGGTACCACCACCCCTCCTATTTCTGCCGTGAAGCAGTAATGAGTTTCGCTTGAAGGGTGGGGCAGCCGTTGTAACTATACTTCAGACCTTAGAACTTATATCTGTGGGTGGGTGGCGTATTTACGTCGTAGATGTCTATGGGCTCCAGTAACAACTTAGCAACAGGTGAGCCGTGAGCTCGTCCACCCATTTAAGTAATAAATAATAATAATAGGTATTCCTCTGACTACCAAGAGACAAGAGAGCAAAAGGAAGAGTCCTTAAAACATATTCACCTCTCTCTGGAATTGTTCCATTTGGCTCAGATCTCTCGGGTATCCGTCCAGCACGAGACCGTGGCCGCTCCTCGCTGCATCGTTCATAGCGACCTTCACTAGTTTGGAGACCAGCTCGTTTGGCGCCAGCTCGCCGCCGCTGATTGCCGAGCGAGCCAGCGCTCCGTCGGAGGCTGGGCCTCCCCCTGCATCGGCTAGACTTCGGAGACGCTGACCCAAGCTATCGTCATTAAGTAAGATTTGATGAATTCAGAGATAAGATTAAATGTGCGTAGTAGGTACTTTAATATAATAAGGACTGCGTCTTATAGAGCGCTCTTTATAAAACAACGAAAAGAAAAGAAGGAAAAATGTACTTAGGAATCGAGAGAGAATCAAAAAAAATTATGTGGCTTAAATTAAATTAATAAAGAAATTAAGTTGTATATTGTTTCATCTGCAAAGAAATATTGAAGAAACCTATTTGAAAATATATAAAATGATGTAGAAATTGTATCATATTTACGAAGAATTGCGGGGATTTTCACATTTCATAAATTTTTCTATCGCAATCCTAGATTTTTTCCTTTTTTTGCAGAATTGCATTAGTTCATGGTTATGTACAGAAAGACAGTAAAATTACCCAGCATAAGATTAGAAGCTTTAAAAACATTTCATTTTCTTTTCAGCGAACATTTAGTCAAAAATATCATATCATATCAAAATACCAATTATGTGTAGAGAATTTTTATTTACTAATTTTAAGCTACACTTCATTTACACCATTCATTTATTTTTGTTTATCTTACTTAGGTTATTAACAAAAAAACTATTACTCTTTACCTAAAATGCGTCCATCCAGGTCTCTGCTCGATGGCTCTTTGGCAAAGAGTCGCCTTGTTGCTCCCCGGGCCCCCCACTACCCACAGAACTGCTGGAGTTGTGGCTGCGCCATGAACTTTTATTACCTCTGTCTGAAATAATTATTTTAATAATTTAATAATATTTAATAATTATTATTTTTACTGGTGGTAGGACCTCTTATGAGTCCGCACGGGTAGGTACCACCACCCTGCCTGTTTCTGCCGTAAAGCAGTAATGCGTTTCGGTTTGAAGGGTGGGGCAGCCGTTGTAACTATACTTGAGACCTTAGAACTTATATCTCAAGGTGGGTGGCGCATTTAGGTTGTAGATGTATATATGGGCTCCAGTAACCACTTAACACGGGATGGGCTGTGAGCTCGTCCACCCATCTAAGTTATAAAAAATAAATAAATAAATAAGTATTAAAATAATATCCGAATGACAAGAGGCCGGTAGCGACTTCTTTAGAGTTTGCTCAAAGAACACTTACATACATACATATATCTAAAAAAAATTATTTAGCTTATGCAATTATAAACCATGCGATATATCAGAGCGGCATGATTTTGTTCATAACAATTATTATCATAGAAATAACAAAAAAGTATTTAATCCCAAAAGCGGTTAACAAGCTTTTTTATTTTAAAATATACTAGCGACCCGCCCTCGCTTCGCTTCGGAAACATTAAAACACACATGAAACCAAAAAAATAAAAAAATAAATAAAAAAAGTAGCCTATGTTCATCAGGGACAATGTCGGCTTCTAATGGAAAAAGAATTTTTCAAATCGGTCCAGTAGTTTCGGAGCCTATTCGAAACAAACAAACAAACAAATCTTTCCTCTTTATAATATTAGTATAGATTTTAAATTTCACCTTTCAATCAAATCTTTACAACAAATGGATAATTTAACATAGCCAATCTAGATTTAATTTGTATCTTGAAAACACAGTCCTTGTCGATATTCACAAGTCCTTTTCGGGTCAAGGCATTGAAAAGCTATTCGACCTCAATTCTGAGAAGGAACTATCACAATACCGACTACTTTTTTATGCCAAGTCATCGACGCTTCGTTTCCTTAAGTGATCAATGGAAACCAAATTGGAAGACTTATTTGTGTAAGCAAGGTTATGTTATTTTACCAGCTAGGTATTTGATATTTTGAAACAACAATTGGGTGAAGAAAAAGGGTTTTTTTTTCCACTTTTTAACCAAAGCTATTCTAACCTTAATGTAAATTTCTTAATCAACATTGAAATTGTATTCCGTTCTTGTATATGTGTACTGCTTATACATTCTATCTTCTTTTTTTTAAACGATTTTTCTTTTCCCGACTACATAATATTAAAAGTCTGCTTTCAAATCATAATTAAAAATTAGAATGATTGAAAACAAAGGTATTTGATATTAAAATCCTTTAATAGCCTTTTGGCGGGTTTAATTTTTATTACATACACGATGTTATTCGTTCACCGTGGAAGTCAATCGTGCACAACATTCAAATGTAGCATACGAGTCGTCAATGACCACGAAAACTTTAAGGTATTCGAAAAGCTCTAAATAATGATCAATAATAAAGTCGTTTTCTCTGTCCCTATATCCCTATGTATGCTTTAAAACTACGCAACGGATTTTGATGCGTTTTTTTTTAATAGATAGAGTGATTGAAGAGCAAGGTTTATATGTATAATAACATCCATTAAATAGTGGAGAAATCAATAATAAATTACAGTTTCCGAAACGGAGCGAGGGCGGGTCGCTAGTATGAATATAATGAACGCATAAGGAGGTAACGCGAAGCACTCTTACCTTAGGACTGACAACCCTTTCGATCTGCATATTCTGAACTGACATGGCAACCGGCACAGTCGACATAACAGCCTGGACGGTTCTTTCCTCGTCTGACCCGCTGTCATCCACACGCGCACGTGAATATCCTTCCGTCTCCGGGGCTCTTTCTATACCGACTATTTCACCGGGTATGCCTCCAGTTCCTACACCAACACCGTTGACTCCGTTCATGGCGGATTGATCTTCTGTCGCTCCGAGAATTTGAAGAACGGCCGCTCGGAAGTCTCTGTACACTTCCTCCGGGTTTCTTTCGCCGTTGACCTTTATTGGAACAGAAAAGAAAAAGTGTTCAGTGTTCTCATTCAAATCTCGAATTTGCGGGTTTACTAGCGGTAAGGAGCTGTATGAATGCCTATCCACTACTTGGTATGACTATCCAGCCTATTCATAACTAAGTAAGAATCTGGTCAAATTTTTCAACAAAAATACTAAACCATTTTAGTAGTTTTGAACATCTTTATCCTTATATTTTTTGGAAGATGTGGCTGCCATCCTATCTATTTCGACGGCAAAACTTTAATGGTTTCTTGGTTTATCAGATGTTCAACTAAAGTAATTGGAATCAGTTTAATTTAATTTCAATCATACGGCCGTGATGACCGCTCAATCGAGATAATCAAATCAGTTACTTTATCTATGGAATAGCGAAACTAAAGCGACATTAGCTTTTAACTTAATTCTGGTAATTTTCACCACCAGAGGTGTGGTAGTAATCTTCTTCCAAATTTTCCGATTGCGGTGATAGATTTGCTTTTGTTAGGACCAGTGTTAGAAAGTCCATCCAGCTCGAGCCCCGTGAGTTCACCTACCAGTCCACGCGTAGAGGGTATAGCGGGTTTAGATAGATTTTTTTTACAGCATAATAATGTTCCAGATAAAGACGAGTCTTTCTACCATCTGCCTATATAAAGTTCTGGAATATTTTGGCCACATTGCCAGAAAGTATCACAGCAGCTTGGAGAAGCTAATGGTGACTGGCACAGAGGACGGATGAAGACCACGAAGTAGAGGCCCGACGCGTTGGACTGACCAGATCCGCATTACTTTCGACACCACAGTTCACGATGCTCTACACTCGGCGGCAGATAGAAGCAAATGGCGTCGAATGATCCGGAACAAACTCTTGTTGCCAGGAGGTGGTCACGACCCTCAGTATTAAGGAAACCGAAGTGAGAAGAAGAAGAAATGTTAAGAAACTATTTTAAAAACTTAAACAATCTTTAAAGTACCTTCAAAATTACAATTCGATATCGAGGCTTTTATCGGATGTTATCTGGGTCATAAGCACGTACACGTACACACGTGTTTGTTTAGTTAAAATTCATGGCTTCCTTGAAACATTATAGGGCTGTGTGCCCGCCTATCGTCTTCATCACTTATTTATTCAGACATCAGTCATAGTTGGGGCGGAACGTCTTGTAGTTAGGCGACAAGGGATGCGCCGCGAGTACACTCGCATTCAATTTTTAATATACGTGTCATTATTATTTTTTCAATCTATACTGTCTTTGTCAATATGATGAGAGCAACGGTATATGCCAGAAACTCTCGTAACTGGTGATAAGACGCATTGTAAGTTCGTAGCTATCGGTGCCAATAGCTTGGCTATCTCTGCGGCGAAGCCTTCATGTGTTCCGGCTTTAAGAGTCGGAGAGTCATTATATTACATTACAGAAAGGAGAATACGACATCATTTTTCAAGGTGGGTGGCGATATTCACGTTGCGATATCTATAGCAGCAATTTCTCTGCCCTCATGAAGACAATCTGTCCAAACAAAGTAGTTTAGTTATTTTATTGATTTTGAAGAAACGAACCTGCGCTCTATAGGATGGTAAATATTCACCAATTGTACCGCAAGCACAATCTACCGAATCCTCCAAGTTGGATTTGAGCTTGGACAAGGTTACTTAATACTTTGGACTGGTCCAACTGGGTCGAAATGATTCCCTTCCATCCTAAGCAATGATAATTAATTAGATCTGATATTTTACGGTTTTACCACGAAGTAAAATTATGGTACATGTGGAATTGCAGTTATTCTGGGCTAAAGGCGACTAAGTTCTCAGTCAGTGGCTGTCATCTTGTGACATATATGAGGACCACTCTACATCAGATGAGCCTCGAGTTCGCCTGCATCTACGTTCATAAAATAAAACTGTCAAAGTTTGATTTTCTAGAAAGATCCACAGATCCACTTACGGCACACGACTTATGCATTACTAATGGATTATGAATTTTTCAGTACACACGTGTGCTGTCCCATGTCTTATTAAACGCCCATTACGTTACTTACATTATATTATTGTTATAGTTGTTATTTATTTACTTTCAACTTTAGTAGCCTACGAACGGTTAGATTTTTCAAATAAGAAAACTCGAAGTTGGTAATAGTAATAGAAATTAAAATAATAATTACATATTCATAAAGGGTAAAAGTAGTGTTAAGTAAGAAATTAAAAGTAATCATACTAGGTTTAATTATTCTTAGAAATTTAAGTTTCCTCTTTTTACAATTTTTTTTTATAGCTTCGATGAGTGGACGGGCTCACAGCCCGCCTGATGTTAAGTGGTTACTGGAGCCCATAGACATCTACAACGTAAATGCACCACCTCGAGATATAAGTTCTAAGGTCTCAGTATAGTTACAACGGCTATCCCACCCTTCGAATCGAAACGCATTACTGCTTCACATGCTTCATTCTGCATTTTCTTTCAAAAAAAGAATAGCTTTTTAAAGAAACAATAGAGGGTAGTGAGCCCAATAATCAAACGTTAATGGGTCACACCTTATTCGTACGTGACCACGAAAACTCTAAAGTATTCGAAACGTCACAGCCCACCTGGTGTTAAGTGGTTCCTGGAGCCCATAGACCTCTACAACGTAAATGCGCTATCCACCTTGAGATATAAGTTCTAAAGTCTCAACGGCTGCCTCACCCTTCAAACCGAAACGCATTCCTGCTTCTCGGCAGAAATAGGCAGGGCGGTGATACCCCGCCCGTGCGGACTCACAAGTGGTCCTCCTACTACCAGTGATTACGCAAATTATAATTTTGCGGGTTTTATTTCTATTACAGGATGTTTTTTTTCCTTCACCGTGGAATTCAATCGTGGACATTTGTTAAGTACGTATTTCATTAGAAAAATTGGTACCCGCCTGCGGGATTCGAACACCGGTGCATCGCTCAACACGAATGCACCGAACGTCTTTTTTTATTTTTTTATTGCTTAGATGGATGGACGAGCTCACAGCCCGCCTGATGTTAAGTGGTTACTGGAGCCCATAAACATCTACAACGTAAATGCACCAACCCACCTTGAGATATAAGTTCTAAGGTCTCAGTATAGTTACAACGGCTACTCCACCCTTCGAACCGAAACGCATTACTGCTTCACGGCAGAAATAGGCAGGCTTTTAAGTATGTAATATATACCAATATAGCTGAGTCACATGGCGATTGAAATACGAAATAGATTTTCCATTCCTCCAAGAATCCATTAAGTTCAATTCGAAAGTCGTCACAAAAATTCTCCGTAAAAGCACTAAGTACTGAAGTATCAATAGTTTTGTCGGACTAGTACAGAAACCACTAAAATATGCATGAGAACCGATCATAATTGCAGAGTGAAACGTTTTACCGAATTTAGTCGAAAAACAATACGTTAAAGACCAAAATCGCTTGACAAATAGAGGTAGACTTACGAGGGTCCTTAAATTGTCAATTTATGTTTATCGAAACCATGGAGGTTTCATTATTTGTATTATAGTACTAGAATGTTCCTTGTTTTTTTTTTGGTATTTTAACTTGTTTTTATTGGTGATGGTTTCTGGTGGCGATACCTTTAATTGGCTCTATTAATCTGTTTTCTATTCTGTTAATCTAAGCTGTTGGTGAAGGAGAAGAGGTCGACCGTAGACATGGATGGAGTGTGTGAATGACGATATGAGAGAGAGAGAGAGAGATGACGGCTGATAGAAGAGAATGGAATAGAAAAAATCGCTGCGCCGACCCCACCTAGTGGGATAAGGTGGAGAAAAAGAAAAGAAGAATCTAGACTGTTGGTCTTCCTTGAAGTAACTTAATATAAAAAAATAATAAAATAAAAACATAAGTAAATGATAGGGGCGATATTGACCGGGATGAATCATTGTTAAACTGTTTCAGTGTTAGGAGAATTACCCTTTGTGATGTAGAGGTACTCGATGAGTCGAAAACAAATAGAAATGGTGGTTCAAAATCGTAATTCCCGAAAGGATAACGAAGGGAGATCGAAAAATTGTATTTTATGAACTGCGGTTAGATATAGTGCGCGTAAAGGGTAAAATTATTTCTGAAGCGAATAGGACATGTAGGATTGCCTTGGGTGTTATGTGGTTTTTTTAATTGCTTAGACGGGTGGAAGAGCTCACAGCCCACCTTTTTTTTTTTTTTTTTTCCACAGGAGAAAATCGCCGGATCCCCACCCGCGCGGCAGGTGGGGTATGTGGGAGTTGAACCTCACTAAAAACTCCTGCCGCTCACAACCGGCGCCCTACCTCGGACCGGGCCGGAGCCCAGTCGGGGCTATTGAAACGGCGGGACAGGGTTGACGCAGAGCGCATTACATCCATCCCACCGTCCCACGGACGCCGGACCGGTGGCCGCCAGCGACACGACCACCGGTTCGCTCGTTCAGCGGGCCGAGAGCCCGCTTTGATGGCGCCGCGTTACACCTTCCCCCAGAGCGGTCGGGGGAACGCGGTCTACCATCACCCGGCTTCCTATAGCGGATGGGCGTGCAAAGCACGCCACCCCACGTCTGGGTCTCTCCCCGCACAAAACGGGTGGAACCCCTAGCTCTTAGGGGGCCAGGTAACGGATACGACCCCGGTCCCGACCCCCTGCTCGGCGGCGGCGGGTTTCTGCGTAGTGAGGAGAGCTTTCCCTCACTCACCCCGCCGCCTCCTTCTGCGAGATGGTGCACTCGCAGAAGTCGAGCATAGCCTTCCATGACTCATCGCTGCCAAGCATCGACGCCACGACGCCAGGCAGCGACAAGTTAGGTCCTATCTTTGCGACCAGGACACGGCGCTGCACCTCCCAAGCGGGGCAGACAGCGAGCGTATGCTCCGCCGTGTCCAGGTCGTGTCCACAATGGTGACACCTCGTCGTCGGCTCAGCCCCTATCCGGCGCAGGTACTTCCCGAAGCATCCGTGCCCGGTCAGCACCTGCACCAGACGAAAGGTGAGCCGTCCTTCGCCACGATTCACCCAGTCATCAAAGACCGGGTAAACCGCCTCGACGGTCCGTAGCCCCCACGTGGGGTTGGCCAATCGCCCCGACCACGACTCGAGCACGGACCGCCGAGAATGGGCCTTCCGCGCCCGCAGCTCACTCTCGGGGACACGCGCCACGCCCCGAGCACGAAGCTCGCTGCGCCACCGATAGTCGGCAGCGAGCGACTCCGCCTCCAGCTCCCATGGCGGCGTCCCCGCCAAAACACACGCCGCCTCGAAGGAGACGGTGCGATATCCGCGGATGACCCTGATGGCAACGGTGCGCTGCGGCCGGCGCAGGAACCGAGCCATAGTGGCCCGGTTGCGCGGCTCAGCCCACACAGGTGCACCGTACAGGGCCATCGATCGCACCACCCCCGCGTAGAGACGGCGCACAACCTGATCCGGTCCCCCAATATTCGGGAGCAGCCGGCTCAAAGAACCGGCCGTCCCCATCAATCGGGGGACCAGCTCCGCAAAGTGAGCACGAAAAGCCCACCGGCTGTCCAACACGAGGCCGAGGTACTTCAACTGCACCCCGACCCCTATCCGGACGCCTCCAACCACGATGTGGGTGTCAACGGGTGGCGCCCTCCGCGGCCCGTGAAACCACAGAGCCTCGGATTTATTGAGCGCCACGTCGAGGCCCAGCCTCCTTATCCTTCCGACGACGAGGGCCACTCCCGCTGTGGCGAGACGGGCAGACTCCCTATAATCATCTCACAGCCCACCTAGTGTTAAGTGGTTATTGGAACTCATAGAAATCTACAACGTGAATGCGCCACCCACCTTGAGATATAAGTTCTAAGGTCTCAAGTATAGTTACAAGTGCTGCCCCACCCTTCAAACCGAAACGCATTACTGTTTCACGGCAGAAATAGGCAGGGTGGTGGTACTTACCCGCGCGGACTCACAAGAGGTCCTACCACCAGTAATAAATGTGTGTCACAAATACATAAAGTATACAAACAAATGCACCTAGAATTTGGGGTGGTAGGGCTTCTTGTGAGCTCGCACCACCACCATGTTTATTTCTGCCGTGAAACAGTAATGCACTTCGGTTTGAAGGGTGGGGCAGCCGTTGTAACTATATATATACTTGAAACCTTAGAACTTATATCCCAAGGTGGGTGCCGTGATTTACGTTGCTGATGTCTATGGGCTCAGTTGACTACTTAACCCCTGGTGGGACGTCGTCTAGTCATCTAAGCAACAAAAAAACTATACCAAGTACCTTTCCCAGGATAACTAATCGGTAATCGATCCCGCAGTATGTGGCATGGTCTGGGCCTCTAACTCAGACGACGAAGTAGATGAAATATGAAAAATATTAAAATATAACAACACGCTTTATAAGCATCCTCCAGCGCGGTGCCTCGACATTGTCCGTTGACCGTCGCCGGCGTGGATCAATAAAGCGACGGGGCTGACCATCGTGTTTTATTGATGGCCATCGATTCAACTCGGCAGTACCAATAGATGTAATACCTCATATTCTTTATGTTCGTCGACGGCTAATTACGGCCTTGGACTGTGGCAAATTGTAGAGTGCGAGTTGATCTTGAACCGATTATAGGTTTTTAACATGTTTTTATACAGGGTGTGTTGTATTATTCCCGATTATACCAACACTTACTAGTACCTATTTCTACCATAGCGGGTAGGTAGCGATATACGACAAGCATTACTGAAAATAAATAAAGCAAAACAAAACAAAAAGGATAATAACTGTAGATTAATTGGTAAGAAAAAGTCATGAAGTCAAATGTGCAAAAGCAATAAGATTATACGTTTGACCCGTTATGGTATTTTTATTAAAATGTAGATAATAATGAATCGTTGAAAATGTTGCATTAAGTCCCGAGTTCACTTTAAATTTTAAAGTCATTTGAACTTTATCACATAAATTTGTAGGCAGCGACTTGACTCGACTTGCATTGATGACGTCCGCAAATGATGATGACCAAACAGCATCAGAAATGATGGTGCTTAGAAGGCATTTTTTGCTTAGTTGCATTCGGAAAAGACTGCCTCAGACTGTATAATTTTTTTATACATAGTATGAATAATTGAAAACAAAAGCGTATGGCTCGTTATTTACAACTTGTCATTTTAAAACTCGAAATATTGTTTTGTTTTAATCACATGTCGAATCGATTCGCAGAATAATAACTGAAATACATGACAGTTTACGTGATCTGTCTTAAATAATTTTACTGATTAAGATCCATAAAATGTAAATATGCAAAGAAAAAACAGATAAATACCTATCATTTTCTCTTCAGTTTCTCGACTGTTTTTTCCTAAATAGTAACCTAGACTAGACTACAGTTTTAATGTTTCAATTCTATAAGTATTTTGTTTAATTATAAAAGGGAAAATGTAAACGTAATCTAAATCTTGAAACGTCCGTGATTATGGTCGAATTTCGATCATCGGGCAAACTATAGTGAGAATAAATGCGCAATAATTTTAAACATGATTTTTCACATCACTTACGTATATTTTATACTATTATCTCAATTTTTTTTTGTTTAACTAAACGCCCCGAAGGCAAGGCAAGGCAATACTGGAAATATTTTTTTTAACTAAAATCGAAATCAAATAATTTCTACAAATCTATATCCACCACCAAATCGAAACAAGCGACGTGATGATAAAACAAACGTTCTTTGCGTTGTAAACAACATTATTAGTTCGAAATGCGTAATGTAGGGCTGGAAACGTTTTCTTTGCATTTTTCATTACAAAATTACTAGTTACACTCAAGTTATAGGGAACGTTTTGTTTATCATCGATGTCGTTAACTTTGGCCTCAGTATGTATAGCGCTTTTATGACGGGGGGCAAACAGAGTATTTAATTTTTAGTTACGTGAGTCAACGGATACATCGTCTATTTTTTTTTCCTACCCAAGCTGATGGTCTAGAGAGACCATGTCAGCGTTGCCGGGCTAGTAGGTGAGACCACGGGACTCAAACCTGACGTTGTTGCTAACACGAACCCCAGCAAAGCGACTAAATATTTCTTAATTCACGGATCTAATCGGTACATACAAATTGATAACAGGGATTCTAATATTTAATTCAATTCCAACTTTTTTTTTATCCTACCTATGCTGATAGTCTTGAGAGGCTATTTCAGTTTCGGCCTTACGTGTAAGTGAGCTCACGGGGCTCAAACCAGGAGTGTTGCTAACACTGGCCCTAGCAGAGCAGTGCATCGCAGAATCTACCACCGGATCGGAAACGCGACCCACTAAGAAGATCCGGCGAGAAACTCAGTGGGCTGCGTCTGTGGGTTAATTTACTCGTCGAGCCCTTCGTCGCAAGCGACGGGTTCGACGGGGACGATGACCGATGCTTGTGGTACCTAAAAGCTGTTAGTGGATCGGCAGGAGGGTACATCGTCAATGCCGTTTCGATTTTACTAGTGGTCGCCCAATAGTCAAAATTCGACCAGTATTCATTGAAATTGAAAGTTTGAATTTTATTATGGTTCTATTATCAAAAACTAGGCTTCTATAATCACAGCGTTCGCCAAGGCTACATACACTATAGACAAAAAATATTAAAGACCAACAATATTAATCTATTCTCAATTTGACCACAGACTTTAAACAATAACAAAAGTTTGACAATGTGCTGTACTGTGTCAAATACATGGTAGTGTGTGTAATGTTTTTTTTATTGATTTAATGTATTTTTTATGCATAACTCATAAGTGTCGGAAATTTCAAATTCCTCCGACGACGCAATTTTCCTTAAAACTACAAAGTTTTTGCTTTACATTTTAATATACATATATAATATTGGGAAAGTTAGTTTTTATTAGGAAAATACCGTATTTACTAATAATTCTCGGAACGTTATCCAAGACACGCAGAGTAGAATCAGGGAATCCAAGGTACTGAAGATTTCACTTTTACCGTAATTGGTGTTACAGATAAGCTTACATGTGTTCCCACATATGTAGTAATTAAATTAGTAAACAGATACATTAATTTTAATTATTTTAGGAAAATACTTATCTTAGGAACGGAATGTATGGACGAATGGCAGTTAAGGAGTATGACTGAGTGAGAGAGAAAAGAGATGTCGGGTAAGAAGATAAGAGAGACGGCGAACATTTGACATTTGTTTTATTTTAAGCGAGGGTAGTTAACCGACGCAAGGGTAGACAATCGTAATGTAGCAATGTTTCTTGTCGAATCTTCTCAGTACATAGGTCGCGATTCCGATCCGGCGGTAGATTTAGCAAAGCACTGCTCTTGCTAATGCTAGTGTTAGCAAAGTATATAAGGCTGAGCCCAGTAAGCTCGTCTACCACTCTGATGAAGCCAGAATAGCCCCCTGATCGGAATCGGCGAATAGAAACTGCCACCAAATATTTCAACGAATGATTAAAAAAAGATGTGGCTCATGAGGGGATCGAACCCGCGACCTTCGCGTTATTAGCACGACGCTCTAACCAACTGAGCTAATGAGCCATTGCACCTGAGCATGAAATTACGTATTAAATTATAGAAGAAAATTTCTGTATTAATATTGTAATTATGTATCTAATATAAATTGCAATGTTTATGAAAATATTTTTTACAGTAGGATAAAAAAACAAGCTGGACTGTTTCGTGTAAAGTTGTTTATAAAAAAGAATCACTTACCGCTATCAGCATGTTGGTCTGGTCGAAGTAATCCGCTACCGGCATCACGTTCTTGTAGAAATTGTTCAGCTCCATCCGAGCCAGACTCAGCACGACGTGACCCAACCGTGCCCCGTATTCGATCTGCCTTTCTAGGACCCTCTGTCGCCAGCTGACCAGTATCACCCCATTGATTGTTTGTATCTAATGAAAAAAAAATCATTTTGAAATGCCTTGGTACAAGAAAAGCTTTTAGCTCTGTTGTTTCCTACCTATTCGTTGATAGTTAAGCGTTTCCAACTACGCGCAGACAGATCTATACTTACTTTTATATTTTTTGAAGAGTTTGTTTGTTTGAACGCGCTAATCTCAGGAACTACTGGTTCGATTTGAAAAATTCTTTCAGTGTTAGATAACCCATTTATTGAGGAAGGCTATAAGCTATAACATCACGATTAGGCCAATACAATTGGAGCACCAATAAATAATGTTTTAAAATAGGGGTTTAAATAGCTCCTTAACATTCTATAATTCAAAAATATTTTCACTTTCTACGTAAATGAAGTGGGGGTAAAATTTTGTGTTATGTCAAAGTAACTATTCCAGGCGGACGGAGTGGCGGGCAAAAGCTAGTTATCTATATGTAGCAACATAATAAGTTTTATGAATGACATAATTAAAACAATTTTTATTTTTATCCTAATTACCGATCGGCCAGTCAACCGTGACTACGAAAACTGTAAAATATTCGGATATTTGGAAATATGTAAATAAAATGACAATAAAAACCGGTAAAAGTAGCTTTTATTATATCTACGGCTTCCGAAGACCAAGAAGTAGATACCATTTTACAATTGCCTTTACAAATGCTTGTCTCTTAATTTAAACGGTAATACGAACGTTTTTTAATGTATGAAATCAAGGAATTGTATACAAATCCTAGGAAATGTGTACAATTCCGATACTATTTAGGAAATGTATAAAATATTGTTTGAAAAACTATTTAATGTATAGATATCCTAGGAAATGTATAAATTTCCTCGGGATTGTACATACAATTGTACATAACTTATCTTTTTTTTAAAATCAATATTAGATATGCTGCGTATAAAAGGTAAGGTATACTTCGAATATAATGCCTTGATACGCCATTGTCGCACCTGTCTATAGTATTATCGTTCGGGTGAAAACTAAGGATGACTAGTGGAAGTTCAGTAGATAGTAGAAATTAATCATAGGCTCCCTACTTTGTATTCATCAACACGTCACATATAATTCAGGTAACTATTATAGTAATATTACCCGCGTCATACAACTACAAAGGAATGTGTACTTGTTTGCAAATATTTCAGGCTACGATGACATACGCGATTTTCTGTCCATAGGGTGATTCATACTTTTTATTATCTTTGATTCACTTCACACACTAAGGTCACAGAGGGCTTCCAGAGAATCTTTTTTTGTGTACTACTCGCTTTGGAATAACTTTACTGGACCTCTTGAGTCGGCACGGGTAGGTACCACCGCCCAGCCTATTTCTGCGTGAAACAGTAATGGGTTTCGGTTTGAAGGGTGGGGCAGCCGTTGTAACTATACTTGAGACCTTAGAACTTATATCTCAAGGTGGGTGGCGCATTTACGTTGTAGATGTCTATGGGCTACAGTAACCACTTAACACCAGGTGGGCTGTGAGCTCGTCCACCCATCTAAGCAATAAAAAAAAATCTCGACAGGTTATTGAAGCGCTATGACCAGTCTTCCTTCAAACGAGGGGAGAGTATTGAGTGCTAGGCAGCGTATTGGTTGAGCAATGAGCGACGATAGCTTCTCATCATCAGGTAGAACGTATGCTCGTCGGTGAAGATAGAAAATATAAAAATAGCTTAATAGGGTTACACATGAGTCTATGTAGGTATGTGTTTGGGGGAATATACGACAAAGGGAAGATCTTCCACCGAGCGGCTGATATTGCTCGGTAGACCGACGGTCCGAATGTTGTTGTTCGGAACTTGTATATATGCGTACTTATCTTGAAAATGTCGAAAGCGAAATTCAGGCATCTGTCAAATATCTTGCGTTGTATGATGGCTACCCGCCACATGTGTATCAGGACGCGAAACAGCTCCGAATAACAGTTATTCAAGTCCCCAATACGTTGTGTATTAGTTTAGAATAGCACACCGTCTCTGCTGGTGGATGTCATAAAAGGCCACTAATTGATTCATCAGAGTATGGGCAACACCATTCTCGGAGCCTTACAGCTGCGTACCGTGCTAACCAACAGGGATATGCTGATGCGTGTGCTGTGAGCAAGCACGGGTAAGTATCACCATCTATTTCGACCGCATTTGGTTTGAACGGTAGGACAGTTGTTATCAAATACAATCGAGTCTTCCTCCTCACGCAACAAGGTTTGACATTGTTATGCCTATGGTTTCTTTTTTTGATCAGAAATCCATTGAACTCTCATCGAGTGCAATAAAAATTATGTTTTACGGAATGATAAATAGTTACATAATGGAAAATCAATATTGGAAAGAGCCAGATAAAGCGCCCTACAAAAGTCGTGGCCGACTGACTCAACGTATTTATTACCACTTAACAGAATAGCATAATAATTAATCGAACCTGTGCTCTAGGGAGGGCGTAGTGTCCATTGTATCGAGCTGCTTAAAGATATAGTTCTAAATAAAATTTTAAGTACACAAGTATTTCAGAGATCTTTGTTGCGTGGCAAACGTTTCGGTCCTAAAGTACATACCCTCTCCCTAATATTCCCATATATATTAAGTGCCCTCATTTGTGTATTTTTAGGACGGTAGGATTACTGCTGGATCTTTCCAATTACACCAGGAAAGGTGGGCGAGCACGGACTCAGCTAGGGGTCACACGTTCGGTGCACGTGATGCGATTATATCGAAGCTCAAAATATGTAACAAATAAGCCTAAGCTTATAGTTCGTTTGGTACTAAACGGCCAAAGGAGCCAATAGAGATTTTTCTTTTTCACCACCTTATCCTACTAAGTGGGGTCGGCACAGCGAATTTTTCTATTCTATTCTCTTCTATTAGCCGTCATCTCAACACTCACTCCTCTCTTTCTCATATCGTCATTCACACATTCCGTCCGTTCTTCGGTCGACATCTTCCCCCTCTACCTCGCACTACCATTTTCATACATCCTCTAGTCAGATGCAAATAGACATCACAATAGGAATATCACTATCTGGTAACATGAGGTCGATTCCTCATTCGTATTGCTCAACAGCAGCTGTTCCGTCACTAGTAACAAACGCCCGATTCATTCATCTATTATATCATCGAAATCTTTGGTGAGCGCTTGCGTAATTAATTATAAATACGGCAAATGCTGAATATATACTTCTCGAATTAAGAGTCTGAAGCGAGTGGATTTGGAATACATAGACGGGAACAATGACGCCCGTATCCCAATTACTTGAAAAAAAACAAACATGGATATTTTCCCGAAAACTACAAACGTTACTTTTAGTTAATACACGACACAAACTTACATCTAGTACTGAGTATATACGTACGTCTACCAAAGTTAATCGATACGAAGAAGATGTTTCGACAAAAATCGGACATTCATGTCAAGGCGACTTAGGTATTACTTGTCAAGTAAATTGTTCGGTGTTTGTGCGTGGGGAGTTTTTAACGTAATACCTTTTAGATTAACCGTTTTTTTTTTTGTTTTTTTTTTTTATATGCGCTGTTGAGCTCACCAGCTGATTTCCGGGGTTTATAGACACGATATTGCTGTCATCATCATTCTCATGTTTTCTCCTTCCACACTCTATCATATACTATTTCTTTGCTCACTCCCCTCTTAACCATATTGTCTTTTACACATGATAATGCTGTCAATGATCTTGAAGTATTATATTATTATTATCAATTGAATTATGTAAGGATTGTCGTCTCACACTTAAAGCCGGGAGACGTGACTGCGTCGCGGCAAAAACGAAATTATAACTAATAAACTTTGCGATTTTTTTTTATTTTTGAACACAATAAGTTATTTCTTCATTAAGGACCTACAATTCGTATTAATTTGATTTTTTTTAAAAACATGATTCAGGCGCATTATCGTATATTGGCGGATTTAATGCCTAAGGCATTTTCTATCACTTGACCAATGTTTATGCAGAATATGAGGTAGTAGGTGCATTCGACGAACAATGAAAGGAAAATAGACGTTACTATTATATATTATTGCTTATAGCCCTATAACAATTGGTTTCTGCGAGTCATAATTTGAACTTCGGCACAATGGTATTTTTTTATTAGTTTGATGCGTGGACAAGCTCACGGTCCGTCTGGTGTTAAGTGGTTACCAGAACTTATAGACATCGACAACGCAGTTGCGCAATCCACCTTGTAACATGAGTTCTAAGCTTCAAATTTTATTCTAAAACGGCTGCCCCAAACTTCTAAACAACAAGCATTACTGCCCAAGGCTGAAACAGGCAGGATAGTGGTACCTACCCGTGCGGACTCACAAGACGTTTATAAGCATCTCTCGGGACTAGTAAAGTAGGCGTCTTATGTACTAAGCCATGACGACTTCAAAGTTCAAAATGTTGTTTACAACATTTTACCTAAGCTTCGAAACTAAAATTGCTTTTCTTCTTTTTCTACACCTTATCCCACTAGGCGGAGTCGGCACAGCTAATTTTTCTCTTCAATTCTCTTCTATCAGCCGTCATCTCAACATTCACTCCTCTCTCTCTCTCATATCATCATTCACACACTCCATCCATGTCTTCTTCAGTTGACCTCTTCCCCCTCTACCTTGCACTACCACTTCCATACATCTCCTAGTCACATGCATCTTCTCTCTACGCATCACATGCCCATACCACGCTAACCATCCGCTCTTTAATTTGTTCATTACCGGGGCTACTAAATTGCTAGACTAAAATTGCTTTTCCAAGTACCAAATTAACAGACATATGTAATTAACCAGATGACCCGGCAGACATCGTAGTGCCTCAATCGATAAATAAAAGACCTAAACTTTTGTATAAAATAAACTTAAAACAAACAAAAGGAATCCGTCCGACGGGGGACACATCAAAGGGAAACCAAAATTGTTATTTTTATTTAATTCCGAGCGTTTTCATATTTATCTAAAACCTTCTCAGGACTTCCACAAATAATTTAAGACCAAAATTAGCCAAATCGGTCCAGCCGTTCTCGAGTTTTAGCGAGACTAACGAACAGCAAATAATTTTTATAGATATTAGTTAAATAAATTAGGTAAACATTCTGAGCCAACCTTATCTGAATATTCGGCAACGTCGCGCATCGACCGAGGATATCCGGAGACGAGGTACGTCTTCGCGGTTGGAGCCATCTTCATTTCCAGCATCAGAACTTCGGTCACCGTCTTACTCGATAGCGTTCCAAAATCTTGCATGTCTGTAACAATTGCTTTGGGCTAGTTTGTTTGTTTTCATGAGTCGCAGATGTGATTAGCTGTAATTTTAAGGTAGGTACAGACTTTCTTCTTGTCAATTGCTGTCTCAACGGGGATCCCCATTTGGACTGAACGGCGATGGTGCGTTGTTTAATTGAGTCAGCTCTTATCCACATACGACCGGACAGCTTCGACTTGTAAGCTAATCCAGCGATTCAAATTAACCGCCAACAAGTTTCATGTCTTACTTTCAATCATTTACCCGACAAGTGGGAAAGCACTTGTATAAAGGTAGCATTATAGGCTATATAGTAGGCTTCGGTGACCACCTAACATGAAGTAGGTGGTGAGCTAGTTCACATATCTGTTGAATGAATAAAAATAATTACAATAATAGTCACAAGAATCTATCACAAAATTCCGTTTAAATAATAATAAAAATGTTTGTTTGTAAAAATGTTTTTGTAAAAATTACGTTCTATTTCTTTTCTTATTTTCTATTTATGATGCACTAGCCCGTTTTCGCTCAAGATATTCAAGACGCATTATGTAAATATTTTTCTGAAGTGATAATATCGTGTCGGTTCGTAATGGGAAGTGTTTTCACGATAGCTCTCTCTCTGTCTGTAATATATTTAAAACGAATGCAGTACGGTCACGCTTCCCATTGGCTATAGTTAACTTTGTGAAAAATCGAGCAGTTTCAGACCGTATCTGTGTACAGACTATTTAATGGTGGTAAGACCTCTTGAAAGTCCGCACGGGTAAGTACCACCACCCCGCCTATTTCTGCCGTGAAGCAGTAATGCGTTTCGGTTTGAAGGGTGGTGCAACCGTTGTAACTATACTGAGACCTTAGAACTTATATCTCAAGGTGGATGGCGCAATCACGTTGTAGATGTCTCTTGGCTTCAGTAACCACTTAACACCATGTAGGCTGTGAGCTCGTCCATCCATCTAAATAATAATAAAAAGACGACGTCATCCGTAACTAGCTCTGTATAGTCTGGAGATAGATAGGATAGGAGATAGATTGGAGTGCAGTTTTTATATTTCATACGTAACCGAAAAATAGAGACAGCCCTAAAGAAAACTACAGTAAAATTAACGCTTTCTACAGCTAGTAAACTAATTTTACATGCAGCCGGACAAACAGTTCTTCATTATTGAACAGGTTAATACTGACTCAAAATAAACCTTATTCGAAACGGATCAAGTCTATAATTGTTCGATAGTGGAAAAGCCACATGTTTGTTCCCACGAATAGTGATTGTTATTTGCCTTACAAGGTTGGTATACGAATTTGTTGTATCCAGATCAATGGATATAGTTACTATTGGCAGGGCATAATATAAGCAGCCGCACATGAGGGTCCTGTCTATTTGCGACGAAGTCAATTCGTCTTCTCGCATTAAAACTGTATAATCTCAAAACTTACTAAATTTTACAGGAGAGTGTTTTAAAGGTTTAACATATGATATTTTTAATATTAATCATCTTTGCAACATTTCTTTTTTAGTTTTTATCAGTTACATGATCTGTCTTTTAAAGTAAGATAAAATTATGTATTAATTTTGTTAATAGTAGTCAAAATATAGGAGAACAAAAAAAATACTAAAACTAAACTACGCCCTTTTGACAGTATTTATGAGAAAAATACTGGTGATATCAAATAATTCCGCATATTAACTAAATTTCGAATATTTTTGGAAATTGTACACTGTTAAGGCAAAAAGACGAATTGTTATTAAAATATCTGGGTGTATCGGATTAAGCTCCCGAGCCGAAACAGGCCATAAGATGGGAGCGGCAGTGTTCAAACCACACCGTACCAAAATCATTCTCCTTCTCAATAGCCTTGACGCATGGTAGTTTAGCTGGACTCGACGTCAGCTCTCAGTGTCTGTCTAAATTACTATCTCGAATTTCATTGTCTCCCACTCTGCGAAGAGGGCAGTCCGAACAGTGGCGTTCAGAACTTTATCTATCTTCCTTATGTTGGCAACCCAACAAATTGATATCAAATCTTTTTATTGTTGTCGTTGTGGTGGCAACATTGATTTTGAATTTTGAAATCTCTTTGTTTTGTCTTTGTCTTATTCCGTGCTATTGTACGCGAATTATAAAATTTCCAATAATAAAAATTTATACGTGCAATCCTCGTGAGTTTATTTATTAAATTCCTTGTTCAACCTAATCATACATTCCACAAAACAGGAAACAAGCTTCGGCTCAAAAAAAGTAAATCATAAAAAAACGCAATAACTTTAAGACGATCTTAGCTTTATTCATCCCTCAACAGATTCTGAACTGTTTTTTCATCGCAAAGGTTAAGTTCAATTAAAGGAATCCATTCGAAATGACAGAAGTAAAGAAAGTCAATGAAAACGTAGTAAAAGCCATTAGAAGTACAGTAAAGTTAACCAGCTAATTATTACGATAACAAAATGCATTTCGTGTTCGTTGCGAAGGTTACATGTTAAGAATGTTGTCATAAATTTTAATATTCCATGTTAGTGTTGATGTTATGAGTACTAATATCAAGGTTTGAATATAACTGCAATTGAAACATGGTAAAGTTGGTTTTTACGGTCAATCTTGCATATGTTTTCTTTCTCTGTCCTTCATTACTTTTATTTGTTAGAATTCGCCACTTCTCTGACTAAATTTTTGTTGGCCCCGTCTAGTTTCAAACCTTATTATCACCGTCCAAGTGATTGATGCAACGTCTTTTTAAGTGTTCATTTTTCATTGCGGATTTCAGCATATAGTTGTTTTCACGATCCGTCTGAACCAAACTGTTAATTTTCTGATTTTATCCCTGAGAGTCGCTGCCTCAAGCATTGTCTCAACATTTTCAGGAATTCCCAAAATATTTTATTACAATACCCAACACAATCTAAAAGGCAATTTTATGTTTTATTAACTTTATGCAAAAAAAGGATGCAAGAAAGATTGATTTGGAGGCATGATGTGATGCACGCGATAATGAAGGTTTAACGACGCTTATGGTTATCAGGAATGCCAGGTCCATAGCTGCCTACTCGGCCTTCTCCTGGCTTCAGTTTTCTCAATACCGAGGGTCGTGACCACCAAAAACAACAAGAGTTTGCTGTGAATTACTCGGCTCCATATGTACCTAACCTTTGCCGACTATAGAGTATTGCGGACTATGGTGTCGGTATTAATGTGAGTAATATAGCTGCCTACAACTCACGGCTCTTTTACGTAATGAATCAGTAGATCGAGAGGAGGAATAGTTAGATTTCTGTGTCAAACGATGCTAATATAATTACCGTTTCCGATAGCATATTGCTGCAAGAGGTCCGTCATGTTGATGTGGACGACACCGCGGCGCTCCTGCATCAAGTTATCGCAGTGGGTCACCTTCCCGCTACCTGGTCCTCCTAACAAAACATAAATTGATTGAATTTGTGTTTTTTTATGTTTGACAGATTACTGGTGGCCCGGAGGCCTTTCCAGTTTTACCAGAGTAGGTGGGCGAGAAAGAGCTCAGCCAGGAAGGGTGGCCCGGTGAATTTGTGTGTTAGTTGTCGTTATATATGAAAAATCTCGCTTTACTTGATGGTATTAGGAAATAATGGAAGGAGAATAAAGAGATTCTCCGCGAAAACTTATGCCAGTGATTTTACGGAACCAGTCTTTGCTTTGAGCTGCTCTTCAAAAAAATAACTGGACGTCAGTACTTTGAACTTCAACTTGACTCAAGCCACCAAGTTTTTTCATCGCATACTACTGGTGCTACTGACCCTGCTTTGCCCTATCTAATCAATGGTCGTTTCGAGGAACTATTCCAGCTAGGGACGGTTTGGTGAGGACATAAGAACATAGGACCTGGGAGAATTTGCCATCACTAGTCCTAGCAAGAGCAGTGCTTTGCTGAAACTACCACCGGACCTGGATCGCGACCCACCGAGAAGATCGGACTAAAAACTCAGTGGACTGTGTCTGCTAGGTTGTATTTCCAAATCTTCGCCTCATTCGAAGAGTTCGACGAGAACGGTGACCGGTGCTTGAAATGCCTAAAGTACTGAGAGTGGATCTAAAGGATCCGAAAACACATATTTAGGGTCACGGCGGCTTTTTGATACCATGATAAGGGGGTATCGTCCGCACCGCTTTCTCGAAGAAGACTATCATTCACTGCGAGTTTCGTAATGTGGATAGTCATTTAAAAAGTCCGTTTAGATATGTACCATCATTCTGCTTATTCCTGCGACGAAGTAGTCATCTGCTCCAGTCAGAAGAGTGAGACAAAATTCGATAAGATATAGTGGAGACTTCGGTTTCACGAATCAAGATGGGTGACGACAATCACGTTATGTGAACATCCGCAACCACTTATTATTAACTGATAAGTGCGTGAGCTCTTGTGATCATTAAATGCAGAAGAATAAGACTAGCACTTGACCCGGTACTGCTGGCCTTGGTGCTTAAGTTCGAGGATATTCTCACCCAATATAAATATAACTGGAACACTCGGTGGTTCGAACTTGACGTGACTTGAATTCTGCATGGGGAAAGCGGCGGCTGGTGGAGTGGCGCGCCCTGCCCATGCGCTCGTCCCACGACTGCGTTCACCGCCTGTTGTCTCCAGCTCCTCATTATTTTGTTCTGGATTGTAACAGACTTGAATTAGCAAATTATAAGAGATGGGCATTTAAAATTAACATTATCATTTTTCACCCCCACACAGATTCTCATCATTAACGCCCCCGCAACTAGTGTAGGGAGTCCAGCACTCATATAAATATTAGCCTATCCATTAAGTACATGTATTTCCTGCATAGATACCAAGTTTCAAGTCAATCGGATGCATGGTTCAGTAGTTATAACGGAACATCCGTAAAAACCACTGTAGATTTATATATTAGTATAGATTTTACACGTCGCGAAATCGACATCTACGACCTTAACAGTATTTACACATCATTAACGGAGACACCGGTGACCAAACTGGGCATAATGTACGTACATAACGTATTTGAGTTTAACAATTTTCGCAGTATGCCTTTTTGTTGGGCTGGCTTAAGACAAGTACAAATTAGAAACCCGTCCACTGCACTTTTCCATTGTCGCTAGCTTTGTTAGCGAGTCGATCCTTACTCCCATATATTTCTAGCTATGTTTTTTTTTACTTTTAAGCTTTATCATCGCATTTTTAAACAAACAATGTGTAAATTAAAAGTTGTCATTATAATGCAATTGTGTTATTCGCATGACTTTTTTTACTGCTCAACAACTAGCGGTTAATGGCTAGTGGATAATAATTTGAATATTCATGTCGATGTGAGGAAGACGATTTTTATTTCAAAATAGGTACATTTTTTTATTTGGCAAGGTCATATGTATTTTGATTAATCGTTATATCGAATAGAAATGGGTTTCTGATAAATGGTCAAATAATTTGTGATATATCTATCTATCGCGGGAACTGTTCATAAAATCTTTCAACTTTATTTTCAACAAATTTAACATCGTAATACAAACATTCTATTTATTTGAAAATCTGCGCAAGAACAAATGACAATAAAATAATATTATTATAACACATATATATTCATAGGATAACAACATATATAATTTGAATTTGTAATTCCGTTTGCGACGCATGCTGATGTAGTTTTAATTAGTTTCATATTATTATAACACATCTCGCCTAGGTGAACTAATCATTTGGACAATGCTTTCGAGAATAATTAAAAACGCATATCCCTTAAAGCGTGGAAGTGGTCGATTATCAAAACTTTGAAAAGGAATTTATTAAAATTATTTGATCAATCCATTTCTGCTGTATGTCAAGATTAAGCAAATAAAGTAAGTGCGATAAAGTTTTTTGAGAAAAAAATACCTCTGTTATATTTAAATGTTTTCACGTAAATGTGCAATATCAATGGCTAATTATCCAATGTTAGTTGTTCAGCAGTACTTCAGAAGTTTATGCGGATGATGCCATGATACAATTGCATTAAAATAACTTCATTATTATATATTTTCGTTTATACGTATATGAGATTGTAAAGTTTAAAAATTGCGTGCGTTTTGCAACGTCGTGCGTTGTATGTAAGCTCTAACCACTTTTAAGAATGTCGGTATTACCGACTCTACATTCTGTAAATACACATTTGCATGTATCTGGGGAGCCCTGTGTTGGATAGACATATTGCAGTCGACACGACGGTGTTGGTAATGTGTAGGTTGGTTTACGATTGGCGGCTGGATGTATATAAGTGCCTGAAGTAAAATAACTAAAACGGTTATCTCTTGTTTAAACTCAATATTTATACCAATAACTATTAAATATCATTATATTCGTGAAAAAAAAAATTGTGTTATAACTACTTATAACCCTAGTGAAGTTAATTGGCGCCCAACGTGGGGTATGAATTTTGGCGGTTTGTTTACTTCGAATTATTTTCATACTGGTGATAGGACCTCTTGCGAGTCCGCATGGGTAGGTACCACCACCCCGCCTATTTCGGCCGTGCAGCAGTAATGCGTTTCGGTTTGAAGGGCGGGGCAGCCGTTGTAACTATACTTGAGACCTTAGAACTTATATCTCAAGGTGTGTGGCGCATTTACGTTGTAGATGTGTCCAGTAACCACTTAACACCTGTGAGCTGTGAGCTCATTCACACAAAAAAAAAACAATAAAATATTTTTGATCGATTATTGTAATACGAGTATTATATTAATGTTTTTTATTTCGTCGTGCACTCACCTGTGTCCAAACAGATGCCCATATTCCATGAAGATACGAATTAATAATAAAGTTCTTTTCCACATACAAAACTAGATATATATTGTTTTCTACTTCGATTTAAAAAAATATATGTAAGAAAACTAATTGGCACAGTATGAATATGTATCGAAAACTCGTAGTTCCGTTGTCTGCCAGCGTCGGACAATCACACGCGGCAATTAATAGTTTATCGATTGAAGGACACGACCTTCGAAAACGAACACCAAAATCAAACTAAACTTAAAACACCAGTTTGACATATTATTAATTAACTCATTTTAATATTTGCGACTCGAATATTTTCTGGTTATTCGGAAGTTGTGTCGACGCGACAGCATTTCTGCGAGTGGCTTGAATCTAAATGACATCGCGGGCCGACCGCTCGCTCTCGCATCCAATTGACGACTGAAAAACAATCTATTACGTTCTGACCAAAACATGTTTTCTGTCTCAGCGCAAAGTGACGAATTTAGTTGGTGCAAGCGAGACAGATGTTCAATTGAATAATTCAAGTGTCTCAATGAGACTGCGTGAGTAATTATGATACAAAATGCAAGGCTTGCAACACTGGGGGATGTTGTACGGGTAAGCTATTAAGGCCACGACAATTCTTAAGGTACAATTCGAACATATATTATTCAACGGATAATTGTGAGTTTGGGAAATTTAAAAGTGGAACAGGTAAGTTACAAGTGTTACCAATAATTAATAAACTGTATTTCGACGTACAAAACTAGTTTGTAATTATAATTTGTTGAATTATAAATTTCGAACGGAATTATTCGGTCCCAAATTTTCTAAGTCGCGTATCGATTTTGAACACATAGTAAAGAAACAAAGTTGTCTCTCAAAAAGTTTTTATTTTTCATACATTTCATGTAACAAACAGTTAATGTTGAGATTCTTCAATGTAAGTACAAATCTTCATTATATGGAGATATTCGACCATTAAACTAAGACTAGTGTCTTAGTTAGATATGAGATAAGAACAAGAATTAACGTATCATTACGAACGCTTTACATAAAACACAATTTTATGTCAACTTCAATATCGCAGTCTGATTATTTTTTTTCTTTCTAAAATACAACTCGATCTACCTTCAAACTTTGTCAATCGATTTTTTTTAATTTCATTTAACGTAAAATTAGTGCAAGTTGAATTAATACATATCGACGCTTGAAAGGCAAACGTAACTAAGCGAAAATAACTGCTTTGTACATAAATTATAGGCAATAACCATATTCGATGCGCAAAAAAAATATATTTCTAGGTCTATTAAAATCATTTCGATCCTACTACAGCTAGATTCATTGAAATAGAATTTTTTTCAGGTATTTCAACTTTAAATTAGTCTACTGTAAAGTTCACGCATTGTCGCTTAGTCACGTTTGCCTTTCAAGCGTCGATATCTATGTTTTTTTTCCCTCCGGGCGGAAAGTGGCAATTTACGTCCCGCTGCGCTAAGCAAAGTTGCCGCTTTCCGCCTTTGTCGGACAAAAAAATAGTATACAGCCCTTGGAAAGTAAAAAAGTAAATCTCAGGCTTTTCTTATTTTCCTTCCCAAGGGGCGTAATATACTATTATTTCATAAAAAAATATAATATATACATACTAATTATATACTTCCGTCCAGAAGATTGAAAGTGATTTTAAAAACATTATCTACGTATGATAAACGGCAGATTGACATTAAATGAAAAATCAACCCTTCCATCAGGACAAATAACCGTTTTAATTTTTAGTGTATTATTTTGTTATATTTTTTCGCTCAACTCATATTGTAATAAAACATAACTTGTGCTCAAATAATGCGTGTTATCATCATACTTAATAATGTTAAGTAAATAACGGTATTCATCTTTTGGACGGTAATATATGGTACAGTATTTTATATACAGGGTGTAAGTTTTTTACTCTCGACACTAAAACAAGAAAATAAATAGGCTACAAAACACCAATAACAAAAGTAAAATTAATAATAATAAAGGACGTTGTTAACTCAATTAAATCACTGAAATAAAACCTAATCTATTTATTACCTTTTAACGCTTACTACACCGCGTGACGTCATATGTGGCTAATCGTTGTTTTAATGTAAATTCGAAGGTCAGTTCGTTGCGCTTCTGGTCTCAAATGACCGTATCAAACGTAAACAAAGTTTCTTGACTTACAACGTATTTAGTACCACAATCCAAGCAAGAAAATTTTCTAAGTTTAGCATAAATGAGTCGTCTATTATCAAAGGTGGCAATCTGTGCATTTGGACAAAAAAATGTTATTGATATGTCAATACAGATTGATTTGAATATAATCGTCTCCTTCAAAGAATACGGTTCAAAACCTGCAAATATTATAATAATAATTATAAAAATTATTTTATAATTATTATATAATTATTATTATAATCCATAATTCAAAACAAAATAATTCTTCCACTTAAATTTTTGAGGTAACAAAACGTATGTCAACAATGTAGTCGCATATTCAGAATTCATGGAATAGTTGAATGTTAAAGACCACTCCTCCCCTCCGAATTCACCACTCCCCCCCTCCAATCACGATCATACGAAGATTTCAATAAAACTCTTCCGACTAAATAAAAATCATTAATCGATATATAATATTAATTTTCCTTTCCTTTGTCGTATCACTCTTGTCAGAGCGGTCGTGGCCTTCATTCAGTATCATTGCTGTGGGCAGATATTAATGTACCATATGTGCCACGAGCAATCCCCACTCCGTGGTGAGTCTGGTACACTCATGCAAACAGCCGCCAACTGCCAACTTGACTTGGTCGAACCATCGCATGGGCAACCTTTCACGCCGTGTGGTGCCTTCCACTTTTCCCTGAACGACAAGGCGCTCTATGAAGTCATTTCCTCTCCGGGACAAATGTCCAAAAACTGACAAAGTATGCACCCATAATAATTCCCATGATATTAATATTATAGTATGTATTTAAAAAATTCAACTACCCTAATTAAACATTATATACATATACTCTACAGCCTATATACTAATTTAAGATAATGTACATCGTTGATAGGTTTTGGAATACGTTTTCTTATATTATGTATTTTTTTACAGTTGCATCTTTCGTTCATTTACCAAGTTCTCAGAAGGTAAATTCGTAACATTAGCTTGTCCTTCGTGTATCGGAGTCGAACAACGAGATTAAGCAGTAAATATCTAAAAACTTTTAGCATTTAAAACCATAAAAATTCTTTAGTTTAAAAAAAAAACCTTTTTCTTAAGAGTAGTTCAGTTTTGCATTGTATAATAATACTGTTTAAAATATTAATTCAAAACGAGATTAGGGGTTTTAAATGTTGTTTTCTTATTATATTACAGTTAATATGTTTGTAAAGCTTTAAACGCTAAAGGTTTTTCTTTACAAGTATTTCTTAATCATATACACAAATCACGAAAACCGGCATTCATCGTGTCCTTCTAAGAGAGCTCTACATCGTTCCAATAACATAATTATCGTCGCCTGTTTGACGTCATATGTTAGTAGTACGGGTCGGACTCTCCGCGCTTCGGCAAACGTCCAACGCCAAGCTACGACGTCATCAGAGCCTTCGCACTAACACAATAGGTACGTTTTTCGTGTGTAGAATATGGAGGTTAGAAATAAGGAGCACCAACTCAGTGTTTTAAAAAGTGTCCGCTGAAATGAAGCCAATTTAGGTGGCGCCACAGTAGCAAGTGGAAAGATTATGCTATTGGAGTAGGATACTAAATTAAGAAAAAAAAACGCTTTGTGCGTAAATAGTAGTAATAAAAATAAGTAGTTGAGATTATAAATATTGTATATTTTTTAAGTACACAAGTCTCGACACATTAAACTTTTAAATCCGGCATACTTCACTCTGTTTAAAAAACTGCTATAGGTATTCATGTTAGTTCCACTTCCTACACTTTCGCTATTTCGATGAGTCTTCCAATAATAACTTGCTGTTTGTGGGTTCACATTTTTTCGTCTTGTCCCCTATACAAGATGATGCTTCTTACTTCTACCTTCCGTAGTGTGTAAGTACCGCCATCCCACGGATTGATTTCCCGCGTCGTAAACAAAGATGGCGGAAGGCATATAAAAATTTAAAATTCAAAATGATATCACGATTATCGTACGAAATACCTGAGTACTTAATTAATCTTACTTATTCGTTAAATGGAAGAACACTTTGTTTACTTATATACCTACTAAATGCATCTACTTTATAAACTTTACATATTTAAAAGCTTCATCAATACTTTTTCTAGAAAAAAACCTTACGGCGTGACAAGAGTAAAATATAATGTGAAACTTAAGTTGTGTGTAACGGGAACAGTGTGCTTAGTGCGAGTTTCTTAACGTTCTCGATAGCGTAAAAGTTAACTCAAATTTTTATGCAGTTGAAACAGCGCCCCTAGCGGCAAACGAAGACAAACGCCCCCATTCCATACAAATGTGAGCTAACTTTTACGCTATCGAGAACCTTAAAAAACTCGCACTAAGCACACTGATTCATGTCGCAAAAAGAACAAAGGCAGAGAAGAGAGAAACGCTCTTTGTTCGCAAAGAAGTTTCACTTCTCATAGTTTCTTGGTCAATTTATATTTATTTAATTTGTAAATGATATAGAATCAGTCTATAGTATGGAATTTATACATATTTACTTTAAAACGACAGTTTATCTTGAGCTAATTTCGATGAAATTTACAATTTCTTATCATTTTATACATTAATGATGGGTGTAAGGTTATGAACTCTTAAAAAAATAAATTTATACAGAGACTAGATACTAAATACATGCTATAAATTGTCAAACAAAATGTTCTAAATTTAAAGAGTGTTTTCATACCATAGACAGCTACATTAGTATTTCTTTTTTTCTACTTTTTGATAGTATTTTCTGTGGTAATAATTACCTAAGCCTTTATTTAGAAATAAATATTTATTTATTTTACAATACAAAACAATAATACAACTACAATATTCATAACTTAATAAATAACGAATTAATGAGAGGATTGAGCATAAATTTAAATGTCACAATTTAAAAATGTGATGCGTTAAGAATGTGTGATTTTTGTTTCATTTTATTTACATAAATCTACGCATAAATACAATATGGACACGATTCAAATCATTATTCATTAATGCAGTTAAATTTTGCTTTAGTGATATGAATTATATTTTCTCGAATGCTTTTAAATTGGTAATTACATTGGTATTGTTAATTGGTATTAATTAATTAAATTTTAAATTTATACGGGAGCACAAAACAGCGGACATAGTGTTTATGATTATTTTGATAATTTAGAATAATATTCAATCAATGTTAAGTTTTGTTTTCGTTGTCCAAGCTAGTTTGGGCTTTTTTTAACTAGTGTCATAAACAATTTCCCACATACTTGTGGAGAATTACTGTTCTAAGATATTTATTTGTATTGCAATAATACTAAAACTACAAATAAGTAGATTAAATGAAAAAAAAAATTTGTAAAAAAATATTGCAAATTAAAAGTTAATGTAAACTAAAATATCGCGTATTAATATTAAGTATCTCTTTTAAAATATTATAATAATATAAAAAATAATGTCTTTCACATTTACATTTCAATTAGTTTATTTACATCAAGCTACTGTTAGTAACACTGTCCAACTCTATTGTAATTATAATAACCTTGCAAACAGTGAGATAAAAAAAATGTTGATAAGGTTATAAACTAATTTTATTTGTAAAATATGGTCTTTTGTGATGTAATCTGTTATTGCACTGTAGACAGGCTGTGTAAGCTGGTTTGGTACATCCAGTTTTAATTATAGGTGCCATTAAATTTAATTGCGGTTGGAAACGAGCTGACCTACCCCAGCTTTAAATTTTAAAATAGCATATTAACTAATATTTGAGAATTGTTATTTACCTATATGAATTTTAGAAATCTATTTTAGAAAGTCAATCTGTTTCAATCTAAAAATTTACCATACTGTTTATCTGATTTGTATGTTTTTTTCTTTTTAAATATTTTTATCACTACACTTTTAATGTTTTTAAACGTGTTTTTTCATGGTGTCATTATTTATTTATTTTTTTAATTATCAATGGTTTGATACTCTATTGGGTTCCGATTTTTCTATGTATGTTTATTTATTCATGGATTTCTCATGTACATACGTTAATTCATCTCGGGTAGTTGAGTTTTTTTTATTTTTTTATTTGCGTTTAGACAACCTCCTGGAACTTACAAAGATGCTGTGTGCTTATTGCGAGTTTTTTAACGGTGTCGATAGCGATAGTTGATAGTTTGAAAGTTTGCCTACGTTTACCGCTAGGGGCGCTGTTTCAACTTCATACAAATTTCGTTAACTTTTACGCTATTGAGAACATTAAAAAAACTCGCAATAAGCACACGGCTATCGAAATCTGTTGGTCACGTTGTAGAGTAATCTACGTAGTAATCCGCGTAGCACAGCGGGAAAGTAATCAAGTTGAGACGATCCCAGCATCTCATCAGCAAGCCATCTATACTTGAGTTGAATTCTCGCAAATGGCTAGTCAGGGTTACCCAAGCGACCAGGCACATATCGAAACAAGGTTTAGAATTATAATATAGGGTGCACTACCGATTGTATTGGCATTACCGATGATACCCTTAGCCTTAAACCTTTCAAGAAAACAAACGAACTATCAATGTCACTCCAAAATATCGAAAGTTGCTCAGATTAACTATAGGTACACACATACGGAATGCTAATATAGACACAAAAAGCATAAACCTTTAATTGTCCCGTAAAAGAATTGTCAAAGTTAGTTGTCGAAATAAATTATAAATTAAATTAATATTCCATTTCATTCTAAGAAATAAAAATACACCTATGTGTCTTCGATGAGAAACCTGCAGTAGCTTTCTTTAACCCTACCTATTAGCTGGTAGCCTAAGAGGCTATTACAGCTACGTCCAGACGGGCAGTACTTTTCAAAAGAAAACATGTACCGGATACCCTATTTCTTTTAAACCCCTCGACTGCCGTGCAGTTCACCGGTGCCCTACGCGACGCACTGAACTAATTATGTTGATTTCTCTTTGATCTTGTTAAGACGCCGGCGTATCTAGTAGACTTTGGCAAAGATGAATCAGAACATACTGAGAATGATCTAAGAGATCTGATTATATGAGATAATTCTAAGAGACCTAAAAAACTAAAACATACATTAACCTACAAAAGAAGGCAATCCAGGTGCCTTAGTAACAGAAATGCGCCGCGTAGGGCACCGGTGACCTATACGGCAGTCAAAGGTTTAAATACTCGGTAAAATATTTTTACCCAATAAACAGCACGATCAATCGAATGGTTACGTCACACAAAAACGGAGAAAGTTTTAAAAAGAACAATCACAAAAATAAATAATTCAACTAAAAATAAACTCACAGGACACTCATTTAGGTCTTATTTTCTCATAAAAGTATATCTGAGCCACATTGTTTGCTTCCTTCACTAAAAGTTTCCTTTTCACAAATTTAAAATGTTCTAATGCAAACTCATAAAGCTCATTTTCCATTTTCCAAACGGTCGACTGTTGAATCCTCTCGACCGTCTTCAGGCTCGGGTCCACTTTCGAGCTCGTCTGCCGAAGGTGGGACTTATTACTGCTTAGGTAATACTCGGTGGCCCCTTTGAAGAAGCGCGGTAAAGTGGCCTCGAGTACTGTGATGAAGTCCTGCATTTCCTCGGTGACTCCTACCAAAAGGTAGTGGTTGACTAAGTTGTGCTTTGCTTGTTCTAAAGCCCAATGGTTGCCTGGTTTCCTAAGTGAAATAAAGCGTATAGCATCACTAATACTGCAATGTTATATAGCCCACACAGGTAGATATCACCGACCTGTCCGATTCCGCATAATTCTTTAAATATTAAAACTTTAAAATAGTTAATCTGTACTATATTTACATAATTTACGTGCGTATTACGTAATATTACGTAATTTATGTACGTTGGTATTGTCATGCTGGTACGAGTAACGCCATCTATCATCAAATAGTAGAATCAAATGTTAAAACAACTAGTACTAATGGAGCATTTGTGAAGTGTAATACCATCTATTGTCACACAATGCTTTTTTTGTCTATCTATCCTTTTATCTAATAATAAAACTAATTAAACGTTTTTTCCTTCCTTCCAAATTACAAATTTAAGAAGGGTGATATACCACACCTTTGATCTAGTAATTGAAGGATTTTAATAGACACTCACCAGCACTCTGCAGCGTGACCACAGAAAAAAGGCACTTGTAACCACATATTGTTTGGGTCACAATCCGGCTGGCTCTTCTCAACACATTCATCAAATGTCTAAAACCAAAATATATGAGTTAATTAATTTTTTATATATCCGAGCTCATCTTATTACTAGAAATACTTGGTTGTTAAATATGTAATGTCACAGTTATTTTAGTACTGTCGAAGAATGGCAATTATCTTATCATACAACACTTTCAAAAAAAGTTCAGGAGACAAGTTTATCATTTAAAATTTGTTTATTAATGGTATACCAACAAAAATTCATTAAGATGATAACAAACTTATTTATTGTATAAAGCAGTGAATGAGCTAAGGTTTCTTGATTCAAGGAGGTCAAAGATTAAAATTTACACTGTGCTACCATAGTGCGATTCAATACTCACGAAACAAATACAGGCAATAGAAATTCCTGCTAAGCTAAAACTTTAAAAAATCCCAATAAATGAATAAATTTCTTTAATATTTACTTGAGACACTTGTATATATATTACTAACATCCAAAATATTAATAAACCTATGAAAGGTTTGTTCTGATAAATTACGTTGTGATTACCATTTTGTCACCATGTTTCTTTCGTACCAAATGGGGTCGGAAGTTGTCACCGTAGCGTAGGAAGTAATAATATGAAACTAGTCTGTCCAATGGTTTCCTTATTAAATTTATGAATAGGGGTTTTGATGATGTACCTAATCTGAAAAAATGTTTATGTTATGGTTACATATTAATTTTAGTAGAGCATCTTCTGAGCTCGCATAGTAGGTACCACCACCCTGTTTATTATTGCCACAAAGGCACAATGAGTTCCACTGTGAAGGATGGGGTAGCCATTACACTATACAATTAATACGGATCAGATGTCTAAAGGTTTTCAACATTCATTCAATTCAGCAGCATTCATATCAGTGAGACTAAGCATCATCATACTTCCCGTTTATATTGCAAAACAGTAATGCAGTCCAGTCTTTTCAAAGGGTCAAAGAGCCATTACCGATCCAAACAAGAGGTATGTCTAATGTGGGTGATGGCTCACATTGTCATAGTCTATCACACTTTCATCACACACTGTCTATCACACTCACATAGTGATAGTCTATCTAATAATTTAAGATTAAATAGGACATCTATTAATTTACGGTAATAAAAGGAAAGCTCAAAATCCTCGGATATGAAAAATAAGAAGTATATTTTTAGTTTTTATACTATATCTTTGAAACTCTCTCTGAATTCAGAACAACTTCAACTTTACCTCTCAAAATTTAGGAAGGCCATATGCCCATGATATAAGGCAGGTTTGACATCATGCCATGTTGTTACATTCTGAGCAAATTTATATTGGTTATTCAACGACATGATATGTCTGTTGGCGGTAATGTTGATATGTAGCACTTTAAAATTGTTCCTCTTGCACAAATCGTACGCGATTCCCACGAAACTCGTGGACCCCGTCTTCGGGACCCTATTGTATATAATGACAGTCTGGTCCGCATTATTTAGAGGAAACTGGCGAGACTCCGTTAATCCGATTCCTGGGTGGGCTAATCTTATTTCTGAAAATTATTTAATGTTTTCAATGCTCCGTATGTAAACAATTTAAAACTCAAGTTTAGCGATTTCGCTCTAGCTATTGCTTACCTAATTTACGATAATTCTCTTCCATACGACCGATTTCTGATTGAAAATACAAAACAATAATAACAATAACGCATAAACACGAATACAAACACAATTTATTAAAATTTAACATATCTATGCGAAAAGTTCGCAACGCTTCAAAGTTAAATGAAAAGTAACATATTTGTGCCTAAGTTTGTTGAAGAATAAATATTATTTAGGTCACATCGCAGTTAACAGAACATAAAACACTTTAACGTATATGTACTAAAAAAACAGCCATCAGCTAGTAGGAGCTGGTCGGAGCACAGTATGCCATTCATTTAACCTTATGTTCCAGAGTAATAATTGTATTTTCACCGATTTTCAAACTCTTCATTTCTTTGAGTTAAAAAGAGAAAAAACAGTTTTCACTCATTTGAAGACGTTTTCAAAATATGAAATAGTCTTTGACAGTCTCTGACAGGCAGCAGGTAGGTTTGACATTTGGCTATGCACGTCACCCTTGCGTTTTGTTTCAACCTTTGGATAAAAGATAAATAGACATAAATTAATCTTTTTTTCTTCTCAAGTATGTACTTTCAACAAATCGAAAAACATTTTTGAAAAATAAAACTATGTAATAAAATTATCGATCTAAATCATATTACTGCATTTATTTATCGAAAATAAATTTCAAGTAAGCTTAGACAGCAAGTACTCGTAGTAAGTTAAAGTAAGTAACAGTGTGTGGGATATATAACGACAAAGGGCCACCGAGCGGCTGATATTGCTCGGTAGGCCAACGTCCGAATGTTTTTTTTTTTTCCTACCGAAGCTGATAGCCTTGAGAGGCTATTTCAGCGTCGCTAAGCTAACTAGTAGGTGAGCTCACGGGGCTCAAACCTGATGACGTTGCTAACACGAACCCTAGCAAGAGCCGTGCTTCGCAGAATCTAAATGTTGCAAACGAGATTCAGGCATCTGTCAATCTTGTATTGTATGATGGCTACCGGCCAGAAGTGCAAGTATAACTTTAAAAACAGATTCGAGCTTTTGGATTGAATTTGGATGATTGGGAAATATCTACTATAATACCCTCTTAGTTATCATAATGGCCCATTACTTCGATACCAATTCAAGGCTATGTCTACTATGAAAGAACCAGCTTATGATATACATGAAGTCGTAGGCTTTTTTATTGCTTTTTTACGCAGAAGTGCGTACGAACCTAATGCCGTAGTAGGTAGGTACTTAGTAGCAGTACCGTAGTAGAAGTACCTACCGTAGTAGTAGTACCTACCGTAGTAGTAGCCGTCGTTCAGGGCAAACCGCTGCCTTGATCATCGCTTATCGATATCGGCAATTCCAGACAATAAACAGGTCGTTGTGTAGTAGTATTAAAAGATTTTACTAATTTTCAAGTGATTAAAGTCAGTCTAGTTTACTTTATCTATATTATGTTTTGGGCAATTCAAAGTCCGTTCGAACACTGTTGCCATTGTCCTGTGTCATTACTAGATTAGCATTAAATTTATGTGAATGTGGTGCATTTGTCATAAATATTTTTACTGATACCCTGGTGGTTTTAGGATTAATTCATATTCACCGACTTTTCATAAAACTTATAGATTTAAAAGTGATTTCATAGTCATCCTAATCAGATAGTCACTGACTGTTCCCTTTACATTCCGGAGAGTACAACTACTATAAACTGTGTAACTTCTTGCGATCAAATGATTGTGATCGTGTATTTTCCGTAGTAATAAATAAAACGTTGTTCTGATCAAATAAATACCTGCATTAATTCGACTCTGTAAATAATCAAAGCACGTTGCTGTGCTGGTGGCCAGTAGCGATGAGTGTTGTCGTTTGGAATCATTATCTACTAAGATAATTTTAGAAGTTTTGAAATTTTCACGGTGGTCTCTATAATACCATCGATATCGGTATGAAATATATTGATTTAGTATTGATTCTTAAATAAGACACGATTCGAATGAGTATTTTAAATAAATATAAAAACGGTTAAGCGACCCTCATTACCTTGAACTAGTAAACTTTCTCCATAATTCCTTCATATATGTAGTACCTTCCGTAGCGTAATAGTTTCCGTAGCTTATTTTAATGTCATAAATTATGCTATAAAGAATGATCGATGTCGTAATGTTTGTACAATAAGCGAGTCGACACCTTTTGATTAGCTATTTTCTTTTCCTACCTATGCTAGTGGCCTCAAGGGGTTAAATTAAATTCACAGAGCTAGTGATTAGCCATAAAAAATAGTCAATGTAAAGGAAATGACGCTTCGAATAAAAAATAAATTGTAAATAGTACAATAGATTGAAAATCGAAAAGGAAATTCGTTACAGTTTAATGGGAAACCTATGAAATGTATAATCTCAGTTACGGTCCACGAACGGCGCAAGGCGTGCGGACGCGTTGCTGGCGGGAAAAATAGCTGACATTAGTTTTCGCGCCAAATGTAGGTCAGCGCGCGTTCCATATCCGAAAATCAACAACGATAAATCGTTTTTTCTCTTAAATGAATAATTTATGGTAAATATTTTTACTGTTTATATTTTAGCATTATATATAAAATACCGGGACATATTTTCGTATTGGAGGTATTTAGGTATTTATGTAACCAGAAAAGCTTCAAGTACAAATTTTCATCACGTGCAATGTAGAATTTGTAAAAAATTGTGCAGCTAAACTTAAAAGAATGATTAATAAGTTTGGTTACTTTTTTAAATCGTGCATGTCATTCAATAATTTATGCAAAATTGCTAACAGATGCCGATATGAGGATCTACCACGAATTTTTATTTTGTAGATATGTAAGTTCATATTTGTTCACAGGTGCTCACGATTGGTAGCCAAAAAACTAGCTATTTCACAACGAGTGAATAACAAAGACCAAGACACAAATACATTTGAGTTAATGAGTACATAGTATGAGTTTAGAAGTAATATAAATCGTCTAATTCTGTCACAGGAAACCCCACTTTATTGACGTTTGGCCTTCCGGTCATTACACGATCTTAATTTGGATTGCACGTGTACACTTGAACGTATTTAAACATAATTTGCAGGCATGGAATAATTTTTAGGATTCAATTAGATCTAGTGTAATAAAACATCTGTATAAAATGTTAGAGCCTTAACAGATGATGCTAGAATATGGATCTTGCAATATGCAAGTCTTTCATGACGTGTCCTTCTTCAAACGAGGCTTGTGGAGAGTATTAAGCGGTAGGCAACGGCTTGGTTGGCATTGTTGACGTCTATGAGCGACGGTAACCACTCACCATCAAGTGGGCCGTAAGCTCGTCTGCCTATACAGCAATTAAAAAAAAAAGACGTACCTAGTGCAAACAAGCCTGTTCATAACAGGAGTGTTGCCAGATGTGGGAATCGAAGCCATGATCCTCAGTGCTACAGCTAATCGCAAACTACCGAACTACCGAGTCAATCAGTCAGTTATTAATTTTACACAACTACCAAGTACAAAGTGCATATTACTTAAAAGGCAAGGAAACGAAAAAAAAAAAAACTAAGCTTTACCAAAATAGAAAACCATTAAGCTCAAATAATGGTCCTCACGTATAATGGGGAAGACCCTGTTTTATTTTTAAACGGTTTTTTTTGTTAACGCTTAGTTTAGTTAAGTTTACGATAATTTACATGGCCGCGATAGAATCGATAAGTAGAATGTTTAGACAGCGATACTTAAATATTGGAGCTTGTGGCGTTAGTGGTCTTCTTCTCTTTGCCCTCCTTGCCTTATCTCGGAGATCGGACGTCGGGTGTAAGAGTGCAGGGGAGTCTTTTAGTGCGGTAGGGCCCTAAAACTCCTTGGGCCCTCGATCTGCTCCCAACATCAGCAGATCGTCGAGTCCCACATACCCCGCGCGCCCTCTTAGGCGCGGGGACCTCGTAGGAGGTTCAGCCCCCGGCCCGAAAAAAAAGTCTGTGGGGTAACCACTCACCAACAGGTAGGCCGTAAGCTCGTCAGCCTATAAGGGCAATAAATAAAAAAAACATTTTTAACGAATAGTGTCAATATGACATTTTCATTAAGAAAATAATTGAACGACAACCTATTTGTTGTAACTAAAAATGAATTTGGAAGAAAAAACTATTTAGGGTCACTTAATGTTTATTTATTGCATAAGAGGGGAACAAGCACACTGCTTACCTCACCGCTCATGTTGTCCATCGCAAATGTCGAGGCCAACCTTAAAACAGGAGAATGTAGTTAACAGGAGAATGAAGGGTGATACAGTCCTTAAGGAGAATGTAGTTAATAAGGACTGTATCATCCTTCAAACAGGAATGCATGATTGCATCAGAGCGGACATAGATAGAATGTTTTACTCCCGTCAAGTCTACTCACAATATGACCTATCACCAGTATCTTCCATTGGGCTATCGCTGTCTCTGTTATAATACTAAGAGAATGATATTACCTATTCTCCGGTGAATCACTTAGGGGCATTTAGGCAAAGAGAAGTTTTGAAGTCGTCGTGAGCTAAAGGATAAGACGTCCTGTGCATTCGTATCGAGCGATGCATCGGTGTTCGAATCCCGAATCCCGGCAAGGTACCAACTATTCTAATGAAATACGTACTTAACAAATGTTCACGATTGACAAAATTATAATTTGCGTAATTACTGGTGGTAAGACGTCTTATGATTCCGTACGGGTAGGTATCAATCACCACCCTGCCTATTTCGGCCGTGAAAGAGTAAAGCGTTTCGGTTTGAAGGGTGGGATAGCCGTTGTAACTATACTGAGACCTTAGAACTCATATCTCAAGGTGGGTGGAGGCATTTACGTTGTATATGTCTATGGGCTCCGGTTACTACTTAACACCAGGTGGGGCATGACCTAGTCCACCCATCTAAACAATAAATAAATAAATAGAAGAAAGCGCAATTCAAGGCCCTGTCGGCCTCACCAATACACAATTTAGTAAAATAAAAATGTTACATACTTATACGGAATTAGGAAATCGATAAAAATAGCCTCTGTACACAGTTTGTCTCGAATCGATAGTCCCTTATTACAGAAACACAAAACAAGCGGGTTTAAAGAATTTTTGAAATATCTTCTGCATCTTTCGCTTAGGTTAATTATATTCAGTTGAACGTAGGAGCTATTGGAGGAAAGACGTTGCATTATACCGCTTGTCGTCTTAGCGGCTTCGCTCGAGACTTGCTTCAATTATAATGTTTTTACCATTACAAAATCATTAATGTTCTAGAACGTCTACTTACAGTGTATTTCGTGAAAATTATATTAAAGATAAACCGAAAAAAAATGACCTATGATTGCATACACTGCAAAAAATAAATTAATTGTTTTATTTTTGTGATTGTAATTTTCAACTGTACAAATAGAAATAATGGGTCTCAAACTTGTTTAATAAAATATTTGATATATCGCAATGGAAGTAGATCGTATACTGTACATCTTCGGCAGCTTCACCCGCAAGAAGGACAAGCGGAAGTCACTGGAACCCTCATCAATAAGTGCCGGTAATAGTCCTTTAAGGACCCGACCGGCTAGCCAAAGCCTGTCTATAGCTCCAAGGACCTCAGCTTACGATAAAAAAGATGTAATGAAGGAGTGGATCTGCGGGATATGTAGGAAAGAGTTGGTGGAACCGAGGCTGCTGGGCTGCCTCCACAGCTTCTGCACCAGCTGTCTTCAGGGTCTGCATCAGGAGGGCGCTTGTGAATTGTGGAGCGAAGTCGATAGAGGTATGTGTACCATTCGTTTAATTAAATTTTATATGTAGTACATGATGTCTTGTAAGCATTGATTTGGCTGTGCTCTTAGGATTGCTGATGTCGATGAGTAACGGTAAACGCTCACTGTCAGGCGAGCCGTATATTCGTTTGCCTATAAGAGCAAGGATTTTTTTTTTTGGGAATTTTTATCAAAAATCGTAGTGACGTATGCATTATATTAAAACACGCGAATCGTTCGAATTGTAATCAATGTGTTTACGTATCGATATAAATAAAATTTGAGAGTATTACATTATTTACACGATGCAGAGAATCAAAGTACCAAAAATGATCATTTAACTCCTTGGCCATGGGCACAATAATTCCATTTTAGTACTAAATATGGAATAACTTTTAGAACTTGCCATTGTGTTTAAGCGCTATTTAATACAAATGTATGCCGTGACTTATCTAATAGTAAGAGATTGCCGGACACTATTTAACATCACAACGAAAATTCCACTGCACCCCTGCAGACTTGACTCGTACTGAATTTCTTGATAGATTCTCGCCGGATCTCCTTAGTGAGTCGCGATTCCGATCCGGTGGTAGATTCAGTTCAGCACTCCTTATGCTAGGGTTAGTGTTAGCAAACTCTACTTGTCTGAACGTAGCTGGAACAGACCCTTAGCGTACCAGAGATTAATAAGCTAAAAAATACACTTGAGTATTCTATTGTCTCTCCCATCCTAATTAATGTAACTGTTTCGCCATTTAAAAATCAGGAAGTGAGAACATTAACATACAAAATAAGAGAAAATGGTCTTCATAATTTACTTAATAGTACCGACTATTAATGCTGATCATCCTCCGATCAGTCCTGATTAACTCTTGAGTTACAAGAGCCGAAAACATACCTACGAAATCACATTAAAAAAGTATTTTATTTGAAGTAGGTTTTGCTATGGTTGTACAAATCGATTCGGAATACAGGTTCACTGTAAACCTTCTTCTAGACTGTGTAGTTTACTTTAGACTAGCGTAATGCCATCTATTCTCGTTGGTGTCGTAAAAGGCGTTTGACAGAATCATCCGACAATGGGCAGCAGCGTTTGATCGCCAGGTTTTTGTTTTTTTCCTACCTAAGCTGATAGCCTTGAGAGGCTATATCAGCGTCGCCTTAACTAGTAGGTGAGCTCACGGGGCTCAAACCTGATGACGTTGCTAACACGAACCCTAGCAAGAGTGTTCGCCAACCATTTGGTGTAGGCCTTATTCTAAGCGTGTACCACCATCTGGTTCATTTCAGTCAGACATTCCAGTTTCAAGGTCGATGCTGCTATTCAACACACAACACAATTGAGATTTCGACTTCATACCGCATCAGTTGGTCAGTGAGCTCATTCATCCCGCTACAGCAAAAAAAAACTCAGGTCTTGCTCGTTTCCTTACACACAAACTTAACGAATATATGCACACACACACAAAATTTAACAAATATATGCAATCACCACATATTCAGATTATTTTGAAATCGAATGATGTTTGAAATAAAAATAATAAGACTTCGAATGAAAAAAATGTACATTTTAAAAGATATTGCTATAAAATATCCCACCGAGGATCAAAGTCAAACTTCATGGTACATACATAGTACCTAACCACGAGCGAGAAGATAAAATTAAAGAGAAATTAATTAGGAATGTTCACTTCCAATTACCTCTCGCATGATAATTTTATGACTGCCGTAAAACAATACTTAATTTTTACGTTTCACATAATCTGTTGTAGCCTCAGTTTTATTAACTTCGGAATAACAATCAAAATGTAAATTTAAAATAACAACGTGTTTTGTTTTAATGGTGGCAAATAAAAATATTCTTAGGTATCGATCGTTAATAAGGTCGTAAAGATTGATTCGAAGATTTTTCCCGAATGTCGTGTTGCAACAAGTACCTAAAACACAAGGTGTGTTTTATTTTTATTGCTTAGATGGGTGGACGAGCTTACAGCCCACCTGGTGTTACGTGGTTACTGGAGCCCATAGACATCTACAACATAAATGCGCCACCCACCTTGAGATATCAGTTCTAAGATCTCAGTATAGTTACAACGGCTACCCCGCCCTTCAAACTAAAACGCATTACTGCTTCACGGCAGAAATAGGCAGGGTGGTGGTATCTACCCGTGCGGACTCACAAAAGGTCCTACCACCAGTAAATCGGAATCAGCATTGATAGCCCTATCAGCGTGGAAAAACCTTTAGTTCAAAATCACTTTGGGCCATGGAATCTGCTTTTGTTGAGCGATTCCGTTACATTTCAAGATCCGTGTTCTTTATATACCTACTCTGAAAAGTTTTCCCGATCTTTGTAATACAAATTAGTTTAATTAAACCAGGCCAATACCTCATTTTGTCCGTACTTTCGTGATACCTATTACTCTAGCTAAAATACCAATATAAAACAAAGTTGTAGTTCAATAAACTAAACAGAAACAGATGAAAGAAAAAAATAGTTAAGGCTCATCATTAATAAACAAAGGACTTCCGTGGTTTTCCTAGGGTTTTCGTGATAACAAAAAAAAAAACATGGAAGGTTTTGAAACATCGGAAATTGTAAACATAATACATTACGCACAGACAAATTCAGTACCCATAGTAAAACATATCGTAACATCTTACCTTTTCAAAGAAAGTCCCAAATCAATAATAAATACCCTATGCATCAATAAAAGCGCGAAACGAACATCTGTGAACATTCAAAAAGACATAAAAACGTATAAAACAGAGCACCCTTTATACAGAACGGTCACTTAACGTGTTAACGACACATTTCGTGTTATTGAGCCATTAATCGAGTGCAACAGTAGCAAGGAGCAAGCGATTAGTCCATCGCAAATAAACTGTGGTTCCGTAGCTATGGATTTCGACGGTTATCCTTACTAAGGACACGTTAAAAATGCAACAGAACAACTTAATATCATCCTAAGTACACTTACACAATATGATATCGAAAAAAAAAAGGTATAAATAGAACTTTGGTAGCCATAAGCAAAAACGCCATAATACATTGAAACCTTACAGATTTGTATTATTTATACAATACTATTTGTTGCCAACGGCTGTCGACGTCGCCCAAAACACGTCATCTCGCATCCTCGCGATCCACTAAGGCTGCTTTTAGGTACCCTAAGCACCGATCACCGTCCTCGCCGAACCAGTCGCTTGCGAAGAAGGGCTGAGCGAGTAAATTAACCCATAGACACAGCCCACTGAGTTTCTCCCCGGATCTTCTCAGTGGGTCGCGTTTCCGATCCGGTGGTAGATTCTGCGAAGCACGGCTCTTGCTAGGGTTCGTGTTAGCAACATCGTTAGGTTTTGGGCCCCGTGAGCTCACCTACACGTCAAGGAGAAGCTGAAATAGCCTCTCAAGGCAATCAGCATAGGTAGGGAAAAAAGCCAACGGCCTCGCCTGCGTTAAATTTTGTAATCAAAAAGAATCAGTTTTATTTTCCGGGATAAATAACTTGTATCTCTTTCACTGCTTTTGTCAAGATGTGGTAGATAAACTACTAGTATATTTGTAGATATTATTGTTAATTAAAATCAGAAAGAAACTGGCGAATTTATTTATAGCACATAGATATAGCAGCGCTTTAGTCATGTCATCTATCATAATAAAAGTATAGTATGCGTTAGATAATCCAGGCTTAAAAAAATTCTTGATCCAAATTCTACCTAAATCTATTCAGCCATTTTATTAAATTTTTTAATGTTAGTAAAGATTATGTACGAGATTTTTTTTAACTTTAATTATTCGTGTACTTTTTACTTAAAGAGGTTGGTTAGTCGGTATAATAATATGCTTTATAAATATATTGTGACCATTAAGCTCGTGTCATAGTGAAAACAGTAATGACCTAGAGGCAAACGGCTCGCAAAGAAGCCCTACAACACTTGACCTAGCCGATGTTCTATAAACGTGTAATTGATCGATAATGACATGTCAAGTGTAGTGGAGACAACAGAGACCCCACGAAGTCTTCTATACTACCACAAGCATGTATTTATAATAAAGCAGATACGGCCAACTTTGATATACGAGGTGGTGGTCTCAGCAAAATGGGCCGGTAACAGTACTCGTCGAAATCGGCAAAGAGTTCGACATACAAATTAACCTAAATATTAGCCCGCTGAGTTTCTCGTCGGATCTCCTCAGCGGGTCGCGATTCCGATCCGGTATTAGATTCATTCGCGAACCAGCTACTCTTGAGTCGTTCGGTCTCCTTTCGAGGCGCTCTGATAGTTGTTAGCAAATTCCATCCCTCCTAGCTGAGCTCGTGCTCGCCCACCTGTCCTAGTGAAACTGGAAAGGCCTCCGGGTCACTAGTAATCCCTCAATCATAAAAAAAATAGGCGACTTATGAGCAGTGAAAAAGAAATTTGGATTGTTAGATACTTGAAGTTTTTTGTTAAATAATACGATATGTATGTATGTATACATCTGTGCGTTGAATAAATAATTTAAAAAAATCTAAGCTAAAATACAATTGTTAATTTATTTATTAGACATTATTATTCATTGTTTTGTAGGAGATTGAGAAGGGCCTCCTTTTTTATTTACTGCATTGCTGGGTGGATGAGCTCACGGCCCACCTGCTATTAAGTGGTCACCGGAGCCCATAGACATCTACAACGTAAATGCCACCACCCACCTTGAGATATGAGTTCTAAGGTCTCAGTATAGTTAAACGGCTGCCCTACCCTCCTGTCTCTTTCGCGTAAAGATATAATATAGTCTGTACGACAGATGTGAATAATTACGTCATTCTTCAATGAAGCATGGTCCCTGTCTATTAGATTAAAACGCTCACAACTTCCTTATTTCTGAACAGATTTCATTATTTCAATAAATCCTTATTTAATTACCTTTTCATTCATCGTAATGTATTTATTTATGGACCCAGCGTCTGAGCCTATTGGTATGAGCATGGCATCAGTGTATTAAATGGAATGGAATAAGCCAATGAAAAAACTGTTAACCGTTTTTAACCGTCTTCAAAATAGAAGGATAGGTTTTCAATTCCAATGTATTTTTTATATGTTTTACTTCAGAACATTTTTTCATGAGAACCGATTTTGATGATTCTTTTTTTACTTGCTCTCCTGAAAGCTGGTGCTTTTTATAGGTCCCACTTAAATTTTATCAAGACCTGACCAGGAGTTTTTGAGTTATCCTTAAAAATGCATATTATTATAGACTGATGATGAAATTGTCAACTTTATTTAATTTAAGTGGATTTTCTTTTTTATGGTTAAAATGTTGTTTTTGATACACTGCAGTACATTTTTAGAAGCTCAATCATTAATGCGAACGGTAACGCCGGAACTCGTAGTGACTATAAATAAACACGCCACCCTGACGGCGGACTGTGGTTATTACCGCGTAGATTACTAGTTATTGTCATGTCAGTAACATACTAATGTTTATTGCTCTTGATGAGAGGACCAGCCGATTTTAGTGGTTAGTGAAGCCCACGTCGTTATGTGAACACTATCTCCCTCACATAATACGCCAACTACTGTTCTGTACATACATTATATATATTTTTTTTTTCCTACCTATTTTAGTAACCTCGTAACCTCGAGGGGTATTCTAGATTCGCCAAGCTAGTAGCTAGCTAGCTAGAGCTCACGGGGCTCAATCAAACCTGACGACTCTGTATATTGATTTATACACGATTATATGTATACACCCACCTAGTCCGGCCATAAATTCCTTTAGAAATGAAAATGCATTTTTTTAAATGAAGTAATGTAATATTAATAAAACGGAAACTGATATAATTTAAATGTGTTACGTTTTGATACCATTGCATGCTCTAGGATTTGAATAGGTTTGTACATCCCAAGGAAGATATGTTATTTTTTTCTAAAATACTATAATTAGGTACTATAGTTGTTCATATTCAATTATATGTATAATGTACGTTAATGTATTCGACGAATGACTGCGGCGGTCATCATAGAACACAATATGTTTGACAGATGCCTGAAGATCCTATTTACATGTCCTTCTTCAAAGCTTCAAGCTTGTAGAGAGTATTAAGCGGTAGGCAGCGGCTTGGTTGCGCCTGGCATTAGCTGACGTCCATGAGCGACGGTAACCACTTACCATCAGGTAGGCCGTATGCTCGTCTGCCTGCTAGGGCAATAAAACTTTTTTTTTCAAGGTAAACTGATATATTATACCTAATATATTAGTTTTTATAGGCCTCACAACGTCACTACACATCTCACGTTAGGTTGGACGTCTCCTTTACTATTTGAAAACTATGACAGCCATTGTCCACATTTCAGTTTATTGGCATAAGCCAGATCTGTTCGGGAGCCACTCATAAAACTCGCATTAAATGAATCATTCCAGACACTTGTAAATAAAAAAATATTCTAAACAGAAAACAGACGCGGGAAGCGAATAAACTCGAATCAAAATTGTAATTCAGCTGAACCGCAACGAAATTTACGAATTATGAGCACCGAATGTTTTGTTTACTATTACAGTTTAATTTCTTTGATGTTTCGTGGCGTATGGGTAGCTTACGCTAAGTGATATCCGTTTGTTTGTCTTATTTTGAATGGTTTTGATTGATAGAAGTAGTTGCCAAGCCGAATTTGTGGTTCGTCTAGTTTTGCAACACGTCAACAAAACCTTATCAAAGAGTTATAGTTATTTTCGGGACGTAATTAAGTATTGTGGGTGAGGCTGTCGATCGCGAAACGACATACCCGATCCTGTAGACCGAATGGTAAACAGTCGTCGTCGCCCAAAACACGTCATTACGGATCCTCCCGATCCATTAACGGTGCTTTTAGGTACCACAAGCACCGGTCACCGTCCTCGTCGAACCCGTCGCTTGCGACGAAGGACTCGACGAGCGAATTAACTCACACACACAGCCCACTGAGTTTCTCGCCGGATCTTCTCAGTGGGTCGCGTTTCCGACCCGATGATAGATTCTGCGAAACACTGCTCTTGCTAGGGCCAGTGTTAGCAACACTCCGGTTTGAGCCCCGTGAGCTCACCTACACGTTAGGGCGAAGCTGATATAGCCTTTCAAGGCTATCAGCATAAGTAGGAAAAAAAACGGAACATAGTAATGACAGAAGCACAGCCAAGCTGCCGCCGCCGCTGAGACCTTTGCAAACCCCGATTGTAGATGTCATAAATAATATAGAATATGATTTCAGAAGCCAGTGGAAAAAAAAACTAAGCGTGTTTACGTATTGGATTAGGGTAACAAGGATATTTTGCATAAATAGAGATGATGGATAATTTGCGCCCATGCTTTAACGCAGAGTTACCTTAATGCTGCTAATAGGTTGTGAACAGTCTACATATGTTAGAATACCCTATAGCCTATATACACTTATTACATTCACCATTACGTTTATTTTTCCGTCAATCTATCTGTCTCAGTATGTGCAACGCAAAATTCATTTCGGAGCCGCTGATGTAATTCTGACGGAAGCCGTCGTGGCCTAAAGCATAAGACGTCCGGTGCATTCGTATCGAGCGATGCACCGGTGTTCGAATCCCGCAGGCGGGTACCAATTTTTCTAATGAAATACGTACTTAACAAATGTTCACGATTGATTTCCACGGTGAAGAAATAACATCGTGTAATAAAAATCAAACCCGCAAAATTATAATTTGCGTAATTACTGGTGGTAGAATCTCTTGTGAGTCCGCACGGGTAGGTACCACCACCCTGCCTATTTCTGCCGTGTGCAGTAATGCGCTTCGGTTTGAAGGGTGGGACAGCCGTTGTAACTATACTGAGAACTTATATCTCAAGGTGGGTGGCGCGTTTACATTGTAGATGTCTATGGGCTCCAGTAACCACTTAACACCAGGTAGGCTGTGAGATGGTCCATCCATCTAAGCAATAAAAAAGAAGAAAAATAAACTTCTCCACATTAACATATATGGAACTTTTGTACCGTAAACATGTAAACCTTGTTTTTTATACACTAGCCCACCGGTTATTGGGAACTACTAAAGTTTTTACTCTTCAAAACATTCATCATGATTTATTATATCATTCAAAAGCTAAAACTATTTTAAAACCTGATGAGTCACTTGCCAAGGCCATTCGGGACTTCGTTTACGATTAGGTATGAATAAAATGACGACTATTTTCTGTTCAACCTAAAATAAATTTCATTGCCAACACCCGATGACTCAATACCGACCAATGTTGACATGTTGCATTGAGGTTTGCGCCCAAAATATATGGATTTATAATTACTCTGATTTACAAACTGTTACATAATGGTGGTAGGACGTCTTGTGAGTCCACACAGATAGGTACCACCACTGCCTATTTATGCCGTGAAGCAGCAACGCGTTTTGGTTTGAAGGGTAGGGAAACCATACTACTTTATAAAACTGAGACCTTAGAACTCATATCTCAAGGTGGGTGGCGGCATTTACGTTGTAGATGTCTATCGGCTCCGGTAACCACTTGACTTCAGGTGGGCTGTGAGCTTGTCCAACCACATAAGCAATAAATAAATAAAGATAATGAGATATTCTTTTATATACGATCTCATGGCTAACCGATGTCAAGTGGATATATTTATTACATTTATTCATTTGTAAGTCTTAAATGGTAATTCAGTAAAATAAGCCATATTTTTCGTCAAAGCTCATGAGTCAGTCACGATCAATGCCAAGAACAATCGGCTACCATACATACGGTTTAAAATGGAACATCAAGAAACGATAATTAATTATTCTAGATTAGCTGACCCGGCAGACTTCGTAGTGCCTCAATCGATAAATAAAAGACCTAAACTTTTGTATAAAATAAACTTAAAACAAACAAAACGAATCCGTCCGACGGGAGACACATCAAAGGAAAAACAAAATTGTTATTTTTATTTAATTCCGAGCATTTTCATACATTTATCTACCTTTTAAACCTTCTCTGGACGTCCACAAATAATTCAAGTCCAAAATTAACCAAATCGGTCCAGCCGTTCTCGAGTTTTAGCGAGACTAACGAACAGCAATTCATTTTTATATATATAGATAAGAGTTAAGACAAAGGTTGGGTAGGAAATTGAGATTAGTTCCAAGTGCTCGAGGAGGTCGGATCCGTAGATGAGCTCATGAGTAACAAATAGATGACAGGATCAAATTGAACAATTCCTCAGACCATCTGCTGACAGTCGCACGAACTATTCCTAAATATTCTCTAGTTTGAACAATACCTACTGCAAAAACTGATTTTGTTTCTTACATAAATAAAATGGTTCGAATTACCGTCGATCAATTATTGAAATTAATTAATATTAACGATATTTTGGTACGCATTTCATTTTAGAGTCAATCCAACAAGATCTAGCCGAATCAGGATCAGGCTTGGGTTCCGCCGGATCCGGATACGAGAGTGACTTGAGACATTCCGACTCTGAGGGCAGTTGGGAGCACAAAAACAAGAAATACGGTATTCTGACAAGAAAGGTTGGTGACTATTTCTAAAATTTCATCGAACTGGTGAAAACCGGTCACGTGTCACCGTGACTGTCGAATTTGTAGGATCAATGTGACCGTGGTCCACTGGTTCATAATAAAAGTGAATAAGATCAAAAGTACTTTTGCTTAGTTCAGAAAATGAAAAGAAGTTTATGTTCATGCTGTTCTCGTTCCTGCTTCGGGTACCTTTTATAACATCCTGTATAGTCCGCACGGGTGGGTACCACCACTCTACCTATTTCTGCCGTGAAGCTGTAATGCGTTTCAGTTTGAAGGGCGGGGCAGAACTCGAGTCTCAAGGTGGGTGGCAGTATTTACCTTGTAGATGTTTATGGACTCCGGTAAAATCAGGTGGCCTGTGTACTCGTCCACCTATCTAAGCAAAAAAAAAACATAAGTCGTCATTGATATTAGTAACTTTCCCTTAACAAATAGTTTGTTATGCCCCGTGTTACTGACACAAAACAAAAATAAAAATTTCAATACCGTTCCAATTCCACGATTTCATTTATAAACCAACTTCCAGCAAATCTAAATCTATTCATTCAATGTTTCCTCCGAAGATTTCCGGTAAAAGCGTGCAATTCGTGGTATGCCCAACATGCGGTCAAGAGAGCGCACTCCCTCTGGGAGGTATAGCGGCGTTGCCCCTCAACTACGTGCTGCTTCGGAAGATGAACTCACATGAGAACGGTGTGGCGGTGCTCTGTGACCTTTGCGACAGTGACCATAAGGTTTGAATTTGATTTAAAAAGCATGTGAAAAAGTGAAGTTTGGTGTACTGGTATGACGTGTCTTGCTGATCCTATCTAAGGATGTTGTGAACTCGCAAGCATCAGCGCTATCATTTCGTTTATTCACCACGAAGCTGTGATGCTAAACGCTCGAAGGATATATAGAGTGGCCAATATTTTCGTCTTACTAATGGAGATATTCGGTCTTCACAGGATGTCTGGGTGTGGGTTCAAATTAAATTCAGATTGGCCTTGAGTATTTCTGTCTTAAGGTAGTATAACTTGAAGAAGCCGTGATGATCAATGAATAAGATATTGCAATGAACGAATAACATAATAGCATACATTAAGATGAGTGGTGTGCCCCCGTGACGTTATCAATAAAATTCCTTCGCTGATCTCCTAAGCAAGGTTCTTGAAGAGTTGTACCTACTTCAAAGAAACAAAAAGACATCTATTTGAGATATGGTATAACCTTGTATCCGAAATCTCCATAAAATCAATGGTTTTATCTGCTCAAATTTTTTGGCCTTTATTAGTAATAGAGGGAAAGAAAAAAATTTATTGCACGACAAAATATAATTCACCTAGAAAAACCAGTAACTATAACTGTCTAATAGGCGGTTTTATCGCTAAAACCGGACTTTTCCAGACAACTACTTTTATTTACAGATATGTGTTCTGAAAATAATACAGCAGGTAAAAAGGTGTATTTAAAAAATAACTAAAAGATAAATTAATTCCGAACACAATTATTAGACAATACAAAAATGATTAATCTCTTTTCATAAATCAGTGCGCACATCCCTTCCCAAACCGTTTATTTTAAGAATATAACCACACGTGGGGAATTCAATGGCGCATGTCAGTTCCAATCAACTAAACGTGCGTTCTTACGAATTACTGTAATGTCACCTTACGGTATATTAGCGTTTACTTTAATGTTTAGAAATAAATTATTTGGAGTGATATATCCTTACTTGGACCGCAATAAACCAAAGACAGTCGTATATTATGTATATTGCCTATGAACAATTGGTCATGCCCGCTGAGTTTCTCGCCGGATCTTCTTAACGGGTCACGATTCCGATCCGGTAGTAGATTAAATCGCGAAGCAGCTGCTCTTGAATTGTTAGGTCTCCTTTGGAGACGCTCGAGCAGATGTTAGCAAATCCCTCCCCTCCTGGCTGAGCCTCTGCTCGCCCACCTGTCCTGGTGAAACTGGAAAGGCCTCCAGACCATCAGTAATCCTTCAATCATAAAAAAAACTATTGGTCGTAGCAAAGACTTCGGCGTTAAGAGCTATTATTTCTGTTTTTCATATGTACATTATTTTAGCTGCAAAATCAAATTTATATTGAATTTTCTTTAATGTTCATCCATGATTACTTTTAAACGGTGCAGTGATTGTCTCTGGTATAGAGATGGCAAGCGTGGGAGCGCCGCGCCTTTTGCCTGATCCTCTAAAATCCAAAATCAAGAGTCATATTTCCCTTATAGGCTGTGAGTCGTTGCGGGAAATGCCTGATCAGCATATGCTCATCGTGCGGCGACGCCCACGAGAGGCAGCCGACCACTGCGAGACACGTACTGGAGCCACTCCACCCTCCCGTCAGATACTGCTCGCAACATCCCAAGGCTGAACTGTGCATCTACTGCGCTACTTGTCAACAGGTATTCAATACTTTAGGCTGAAGTTGGTCGGTCCCCCTTATTAATTTCAACTTAACTGAGGTAATCGAAAAAAAAAACATAGGCCGTTTTCCAATTACAGCACAAGAGCGCATTATGCGGCATAATGCTCAACTAAGCTTCAGCATAATTCGGCATTGTGCGTCACTGAGTCACTATCATTAAGTAACGGTTAATTATTATGCCGCATAATGCGCTTTTCTGCTGTAATTGGAAAACGGCCATAATTTTTCGGTGTTTTAACTTTAATCAAATTTTATTATTGCGTTTGTGGAAAACCAACTTAAATTATTACTACTATTTAGATTTCTGAACTATGTCAAATGTTGAGACATGAAGTTTATTATTTGTCTAAAGGCTTTTCAACCTTTCAAACCGGAAAATGTAACTGCTTCGCGCTACACTACCATTAATTGAAGACATGAGTGGCTGAAGGGGATATGATTTGTTAATTTTGAGAAAACGGGCAATAAACTTTTGTTACTTGTATTTTTGCTTCGTACATAACTCCTTCATCGCATGCAATTTCTAGAAAATAGCCTTGAACCCTGAGTTTTAAGTCTAATATGGTTTATAGGCACTTTCATTCAATGTAAAAACTAAAAAATCTTAAAAATGGTACTTAACCGGTTCATCCACTCATGTCTTCAATTATAATGTTTAACTAGACGATGACTAGACTAGATAACTAGACGATTTTTCTTTTTTGATAACGCTATCTTGTTGTGTCTTTAAAGCAGTTAGTTGCTCTCAATTAAAAAAAATAGTATTATTATTCGCCAATAGATGTCGGGAAGAGTCATAAAGTTCATTATCGATAAAGTTGATTATTGAAAACACGAACAAAACAACATTTTCTGAAAATAAATCGTAGCTAGATCGATTTATCGCCCCCGAAATCCCCTGTATACTAAATTTTATGAAAATCGTTGGAGCCCTTTCCGAGATTCAGATTATATATACAAGAATTGTTCGTTTAAAGGTATAAGATAAGATGTTGGCTTACAAAAATAGTACATATCTGCCGTTGTATAAGGTCTTTGGCAAGTGAACGTGGATGTTTGTAAGGTGGTGTGCCGAGAGTGCTGCGTGGTGTCGCACGGCGGGCACGCGCTGGCGGCGGCGTCTCGCGCGGCGGCCGAGCGCGCCCGCGTGTTGCGCGCCGCCTGCGACCGCGCCGCCCACGTGCCAGGCAACGTGCAGCGTGCGGCCAGGGCGCTGCACGTGCATGCCGCTCAAGTTGACGTACGTGTTCTATCACAGATGTTCTATAAGATAGATCGATTTTTGTTAATGCGTTAAAGTGCGTAGCGTCGGAATATCGACTATTGCGCAGTTTGATTTGCGCAGCATAGGTGCATGGTATCAGTAGTTATAAATATTCTATGAACAGATATGAGTAGAAGGGTTATTTTGATAATATCCTGAAAAGCACCCCACGCTTTTTTACAATAAAATCATTTTTTCTTACACTATTTTTAATTCTAATTTATTAAAATTTATTAAAATTTATTTTCTATTTTTTAGTTGGATTTATTGTAAACGCGTATTTTGTTAGTTTTTTTAAACTATTATTTATTTTTGGAAAATTGTTTTTTAAGTAAATTTTTTATTAGGTATTTGATTCAAAAATCTTTTAGCGGTTTCTACAAAGCGTGTTAAAATAATCTCAGCACCAAAAGGGTTATAAACATAATTAAAACCACTTTTCTGGTTAAATGTCGCGCTTTTTATAGTCATTATATTGTTGTCGACGTTTCAAATACTATTCAGTTGTCGTGGTCACAGACTGATCGACCGCCCATGAGTCGAAACCTACTTTTAATTGCGATCACAAGAATAACATGTATTTAAACAGGCTCAGGCTTCCAAAGTGGAATCAGAAGTGGAGGCGTGGGCGGCGGAGTACAGTCGCGCGGTGGAGGCGCACGGGCGCGCGCTGCTGCGGGCCGCGGGGCGGGCGCGCTGCGGGTTCCGCCGCGGCGTGCGGCGCCACGAGCAGCGCCTCGACGACCGCGTGCGGGACGCGCACGAAGCCGTCGCCTTCGCCCAAGAGGTGAGCGGGGGGATGGGGCGATGCGGGGCGTACTGAATAATTGAGTACCAATAGGACCTCTTGTAAGAACGCGTGGGTGGGAACCCCGCACCCTGCCTATTTCTGCCGTGAAGCAGTAATGCGTTTCGGTTTGAAGGGTGAGGGGTAGCCGTTGTAACTATACTTGAGACCTTAGAAATTATATCTCAAGGTGGGTGGCGCATTTACGTTGTGGACGTTTATGGGCTCCAGTAACCACTTAACACCTGGTGGGCTGTGAGCTCGTCCACACATAGATATAAGCAATAAAAAAAAAGAAGTTTGAAGCTTTGTTACTTGATATTGACGTTTGAGGTCAGGTAGCTTCTAATTTTACTTGCCACCCCAGCCGGCCTCTTCGGTCTTACCTTTTTTTCCCTACCTATTCGCTAGTCTAAGGGGCTATTCCAGCTACGCCCGGACGGGTAGGTGAGCTCACGGGCTCACCCTGAGAGAATTTGCTAACAGAGCAGTTTGCTACCACCGAATCGGAATCGCGACTTAGTGAGAAGATAAGGCGAGAAACTCAGTGAGCTGTATCTATGGGTTAGTTCACTCGTCTAACTCTTCGACGTAATCGACGATTTCGACGAGGATAGTCACCGGTGCTTGAAAGTCCTTAAAACACCGAGAGTGAATTCGGGGGATCTGACCAGACATGTTTAGGGGACGGCGGCTTTGCGTTGCCAATTGCGATAAGTCGGTCTTACCAATTATCTAGATCTCACATTTTCTCCTCAGTTGCTCTCGGGAGCCAGAGACGATGAGTTGCTATCGCTGAGCGGGCCCGTCCTCCGGCGGTTAGAGAGGGTGACGGAGGTAGAGGGGCTGGGGCAGGCTCCCCAGTGCGATGTCAGGTTTGCGCCGCTGGCCCCCGCCGCGCCGCACTCCACGCTGTACGGGCGACTGCTCACTCAGGCGCCGGACCCCGACAAATGCGTGCTGGATACTGAAGGTAATGCACATATTTCGGTGTTTGACTTATTCTCAGAGGGGTTGACGTACAAAAGTATTGTTTTTGTTAAATTTTAATGACCAAGTTCGTCAACTATATCATTATAGAGTACTTATATAAATACCGGATTTACTTGAAGTCTGATCTCTGTTTGTAGGTCTTCAAGACCTGATGGTGAATTGTCAACACGAGACAGTTCTAGAGCTGAGAGACAGTAACGATGAGCGCATCTGGTGCGGAGGCGAACAGGTGAATGAAACGATCGAGCTATTTAATTGCAAATATTTCTGATCCATCCTTGAGTAACCCTGAGATTCTTTGTAGCAATAACGGGACGCGCAAAAAAAAGTTTTTTTTAACTGTCTGTAATAATTCAACACTTCATATATTTTTTAATTTAATGAGAGGATGTGGGCTTCTAAGAGCGGGGGCACACGATGCGTTGCGGCGCCGCAACGTTGTTATTCCTTGTAATGCATAAACAATTGAGCGGTTCCACTCCGACGTCGTAACGCATTCACTCCTCCCCACTTCGTCTCGGTGGCTGCAAGTCCGGTGCGCCGTCGCAGCGGATCGTGTGACATGCCATAGATATTTCTATGTAAGACTACGCAGCGACACCGCTCCGGCGCCGCAACGCATCGTGTGCCCCTGCTCTAACATCATCTTCCGCTGTGAGGTAACGCGGCTTGGTTGTGCGCAGGTGTCGGGGTACCTGCGGCGCCGCGACTCTAGCGCGCGGCCGGCCGGCGCCGCGGTGTCGGACCGCGCCGACGGTCGCTACACGCTCGCCTTCACGCCCGCCGCGCCCGGCGCATACCTGCTGGCCGTCACCGTCGCCAACAAGCCTATTAAGGTAACACCGACGCCGGTCCGGTCCGGTCACCATTCTCGTCGAGCCCGTCGCTTGCGACATAGGGCTCGGCGAATAGTGAATTAACCCACAGACACAGCCCCTCTGAGTTTCTCGCCGGATCTTCTCAGTGAGTCACGTTTCCGATCCGGCGGTAGACTCTGCGAAGCACGGCTCTGGCTAGGTTTCGTGCTAACAACGTCGTCAGGTTTGAGCCCCGTGAGCTCACCTACTGGTTAAGGTTACGCTGAAATAGCTTCCCAAGGCTATCAGCTAAAATAGAAAAAAAAGAAGGACCTACGTTTACCTTTCAGTACTACTCTGCACAAGAAGGCGAGCTCACAAGTTTCAGTACAGTTACTGGAGCCCATAGACATCTACGACGTAAATGCGCCACCCACCTTGAGATACAAGTTCTAAGGTCTCAAGTATAGTTACAACGGCTGCCCCGCCCTTCAAACCGAAACGCATTACTGCTTCACGTAGAAAATAGGCAGGGTGGTGGTACCCACCCGCTCGGACTCACAAGAGGTCCTTCGACCAGTAATTACGCAAATTATAAGTTTGGCTTATATTACCCAGGGTAGTCCGTTCCCGTGTGCGGCAAGGGTGGGTAAGACCCATAACGGCCAGTACCACTGCTGTTCCTTCTGTTCCTCGGGCGGGAAGAGGGACGCGAGCTGTGCTTGCGGAGCCACTATGCCGGGAGGATATAAGGGTATCCTATTTTACTTATTCCAGAAAACAAAACATTATTGCCGTGTAAAACATTATTAAGTTGATATTACATAGTTTTATTTTTATTGCTTAGATGGGTGGACGAGCTCACGGCCCATCTGGTGTTAAATGGTTACTCGAACCCATAGACATCTACAACATAAATGCCGGCACCCACCTTGAGACACGAGTTTTAAGGTTTCACTTTTAACAGTACAACGGCTGCCCTGCCTTTCAAACCGAAACGCATTACTGCTTCACGGCAGAAATAAGCAGGGCGGTGGTACTGTTACGGGGTGGATCCGGGAGCCCTATTCAAAACAGGAAACTGTAACTGACATTAAGCTTGTTTTATTAAAGAAATAGTACAAACGATGTGTGTTTCGCTGCTCAAGCCTATTCTGTTCTGCCACGTTTTAACAATAAATCGTCTTTATATAGAGACGATGCATTTAGGAGCGACTCACTGATAAATTAAAAAAAAAGCTTCCCCATGTTTGTATTTGACATGCGCCCTTTTCGGTCATCGTTCTCGTCGAACCCGTCGCTTGCGACGAAGGGGTCGATGAGTAAATTAACCCACAGACACAGCCCACTGAGTTTCTCGCCGGATCTTCTCAGTGAGTCGTGTTTCCGATCCGGTGGTAGATTCTGCGAAGCACGGCTCTTGCTAGGATTCGTGTTAGCAACGTCGTCAGGTTTGAGCCCCGTGAGCTCACCTACTAGTTAAGGTTACGCTGAAATAACCTCTCAAGGCTATCAGCATAGGTAGGAAAAAAAATTGTAACAGTACCTACCCGTGCGGACTCACAAGACGTCCTACCCAGCTGTAATGTTTTGATTGGCTAAGGTTGCGGGCACGGCCACACGGGTTGGCCCGGCACGCGACACTGGTCTTGCTGCGGCGCCACGCAGCGGCACTCCGTCTGCACGCGCCGGCCCACCCAATCGCGACTCTACCAGTTTTCGCTGTAAAACTAGTTCGGCCACAATAATCCACGACCAGACGACTCAACGCAGTGCCGTGTGCTTAGTCCGAGTTTTTTAACGTACTCGATAGCGTAAAAGTTAGCTCATATCTGTATGGAACAAACTTCTGTTACTTGTATTTTTCTTCGTACATAACTCCTTCATCACATGCAATTTCTAAAAATAGCCTTTAAAACTAGTTTTAAGGTCTAATATGGTTTATAGGCACATTACACCTTTATCCAATGTAAGGCGCGATTGATTGCGAAAGGGTTATATAAGTTTGTCTGTTAAGATTAATTAACGACAAGTTTCGCAAAATCTAATACATTTTTATATTAAAGGTAAAAAAAAATGTAAAATTGTTAAGATAAAGTATGAAGTCGATTAATTGATAAAAAAGTAGATGATAATACGAAATGTATTTTTTTTATTTCATTTAATAGTCTATTTTAATAAACACCTAGAAAAGCAATCTTTCCACGCAGCCTCCCACACATTATCTGTGTTCCTTGACTTAAAAAAGCCATCAATTTGTAAATTTGTCACTTTTTCATCGTCATCTTCAGCCCTCTACTAGGAACGACTCTCGGCTTCTCTCATCCAACTCTTGCCAGCCAGCCTGTATTGACTACATTTGAATACAATTATTATTAAGCTATGAAATGTTGAATTTGTAAATCTTCACAATCCTATCTTTTCATGTGTGAACTCTCAGATCAAATATAGATAACAGAACATAAGACAAGAAAATTTTTTTAATTCTGTTATTTTACATAGAATACCCATTGCTATTTGTTGGTGAAACAGATTTTCACAAACATTACTTAAATTAGGTTTCAGTGGCGACACTGTTTATTCCAATCCACTCATGTAAATGTTACGAAACACCAAAATAGTTTTAACGATAAAATAGGATTTACGTGAAATAAAATCGTATTCAAAATAGGATAGAACGTTATAAGCTGCATATTTTATTGATGTTATATTGTAAAATATAATAAAGATGTAAGTAATCATACGATATTTTAGTTTCACTTAGTATTCTTCTGATATTTTCAGAATCCGAAACCACAACCCTTGCATATAACGGCGTCACTCTGGCGGATTACTCGTTTTCTTTTCCCTTACCTATGCTAATAGCCTTGAGAGGCTATTTCAGCTTCGCCCTAACATGTAGGTGAGCTCACGGGGCTCAAACCGAAGTGTTGCTAACACTGGCCCCTTGCAAGAGCAGTGCTTCGCAGAATCTACCACCGCATCGGAAAGGCGGCCCATTGAGGAGATCCGGCGAGAAACTCGGCTGTATCTATGGGGCGGATTGCTAGGAAGAGATATTTCTAAGTGATAATTTTTACACTTTGATGTTTTTAAATATACTGCTCAATTCTTAACTTTTATTGATTCAAGTTGTCAATCTAGTGCCAAATCGTAAGAGCGATTCACTGATTAATTAAAAAAAACTTTCCCATGTTTGTAATTGACATGCGCCCTTAAAACTATTGTTGTTAAAGCGTAAAAGCTACAACCGACATTCTGTCAACTCATGGAGTTTTTTTTTTATCAAACACTTGAAACTAAAAGAAATTTATTGATCAAATGCATTTTCTTATTTTATTAAAAAAAAAAAAACATTTATTCGTTAGTAAAATTATTGCTATTTTCCATTTATTATTTCATATTCACAAAATTCACATTCTCAATAAGGGACCTCTCACTTTATAAACACATTTTTATATTAACAATAAAACTATTTTCATAAACACATTTAGAAAAATATCAGTCTGCTACAATTTATTTTTTATTATATTGTCTATGAAAGTTTGTTAATAAAACATCTTACTTCCCTTTCGCTCGTTTATTGGAAGTAGAGAGTGCGAGCGGGACGCAGGAACGAGTCTGCTCTAAAAAACAATATATCCTTCTAAAATCTAAATGACAATCAAATAAAATACATACAAATTCCATTACCTTTTTGGTCACATTTATAAAAAAAAAAAGTGGTATTGCAATCTATATTCTGGTAATCATTACAATAAATGATGTAGTAACTATTTAGCTATTATTAGCCAAAGAAAAATTATCAAAACCAATGTTCAATGGTAGTTATTAGCCAACACTGCACAATAAAAACATGGCTTATAAGCCTAATGTGCGGTATGTATAACACAATCAAATGTATATATAAACTATTTATTTATTTGGGAAACCGACAGTACAAAACAAATACATTCAAACCTATTATCGAATTTTAAACTAAAGCATTTCGCTAATAACGCAATAAATAAAATCATAACATGCAAAACAACAATAGTTGAAAACCACTATCAGACAAAATTAGGGGTTTTCAAATTAATATATATAAAGTTTGTATGTGCTTAATTTGAACGAATAAGAATTTAAGGTAATGAAAAAAAAACAAGTCTCAACTATCACAGTCTGGTATCACATAAGATAATTACAAAAAAAAAAACTCACGAGGATCCCTTCAAAGTATTACTTGATAAAAAAATAACTTAAAAACAATCGATTACATATGTATTTTGCTTAAAATTAATTATAATTATTGTGGTAGATGAGCAAACTGTCGCTCGGCCGTTTCATTCACATGCTAATAACAATGTCCGCAAAATAGGCAATCTAAAACTGATAAAAAAAAATCTAAAAAGTAATTGCGAGTAATTTTTTATTGAATTAAAACGACAATTCCGTCGCTGTCTTTGTGAAATAATAATTTATAATTTAATTATACTGTAATAATATATCAAATCAAATAGTTCTGACATTTTTATCAGTTTCTTTACATTCAGCTAAACACCGATCACAAAACACATTGAGAATATTTATATATTGGTGTATAATCTATGGTTAGTTCGTTGGTTATTTTGGTCACAAATGACGTCACAGTTGAGGTAAGGCGTTTAGTTGTGGCAACATTTAAAAAAGGGTGGTCCGTTCTCTCTGTCTCTATGTGTCAACAAAATGTTGGCGATGATAAGTCGAATGCGTTCTACACGTATAAGCGTTTGCCGCCCGCACTGAGAAATATCCGCTAATTATACCGCGCCACAGTCGCTATAACTTTTAACAAATTGAAGGCAGAAAAGAACACACATGTATTGTTTTTTCTCAAAATAATACAAAACTATCAATAAATTCATTACAATTCACGAAAATAAAATTAAAATCGGCTGCTTAAAAAATATTTTATCAAAATTTTTATTACATGTGGAAAAAAAGACAACAGTTTGAAAGATATTTGAATTACTCTGTGGATATTACAATGACAACTTTTTTTTTTTTAATTCCTTAAATATTAACAATAGGTTGCTGATCACAGCAACGTCTTATTTTATTTTATTAACTAAATATACCATAGCAGGCAGGTTCAAGTTACTTCCGTTGTCGTTTCAATTTATATCAATTATATTATTTGAAAGATATTTTTCCTTACTAGAATTATGTAGCGAAAAAACGGCATGCCAATGTCACAATTATCTACAAAGTCCACTCCTTTCCCTCGTTCTAATAAACAATCAATATAGACTCTATATGAGGTAGATATGTGTCAGAATCCATTGTGATTGGTCTTCCAATAAACTTTCACCTTTCAACCTCTAAGGAAGGAACACTAGTCTTGTGTATCGATACAAAATCGGCGATATATCGATAGTACATAATTGATATTTCAATTTTGTGACTTCATAAACGAGAAAACTTCGCCTTGCTTAAAATAAATAAATTTTCTATTTTATTTCTTTCAAGGGATATTTTTATCACTTTAAAATATTCAAAATTATGTTTAAAATTCATAAATTGTTTTTGATGAAAGCGCTACGAGAAAGTTTAATAACATCTAGCACGTCATTTGAAAGGTTTAGAATTTTGGGTTTAATAGAATATCGATTTTTTTAATTTCGATTTTCAAACCCATCATTTTGGAAATCATTTCTTCCGTAGTCTAAGGGAAGAATACAGTGAGCATTTGAGCACACTGAACGCAAATTGTCAGAACTAGAGTCCGGGTACTTGCCTTGCAGGGGGACAAATTTTAATAGTTTGGTACAAAATCGATTGTATTCGATATCGTTTTAGATAGATCGATTTAGATCGTTTAGGGGTGTTCTCACCGCACCGAGGCAATGATTCCGGTTAGAGCCCGAGCGCGGGGACCGGCAGGTACTCGACCGGGTTGGGTGCGCACGCCTGCCGCACGCTCATCTCCCACGCGTCCAGGAGTTGGCCCACAGAACAGCTTTTTGGTAGCCTGGTGAACAAGAGCAACTATAGTAGAATTATTTTGTCCGTGCAGTTTGGGTCATAAAACATAGCCCGGCTAGGGCGGTGAGCGTGTTGCGATTATCGATAAAACAAATGAGTCATTGAAGGCAGGTACACGGCGGCGGGGTGGTATACGAAGGGTGGTGAGACATTGTTATGTTATGAGTCATTTGTACTTACCTGCAAATGATAGTACTTATGTCGAAGAGAAATGTGTTTTTATGCATTCGCTCTCTGAATTTCTTTAGTGACACAATGGCTACTCCTGTTTTGTATCAAAACGGCAGATATTGTGCAAATATTATTCAAAATATTTTTTTAAATATATTTTTTTTTTAATTCAAAATAATATTTGCACGTATTGATATCAACAATTTGTTAAAAATTTTCACTGAAATGAAAATAGATCCCGAAAAGTTACAAAGTGTTAATTTCTGCCGTTCTCGTTAACTTGCTGCGGCGATATGTGGTGTAAGTGTTCGATTAGTGATTTTTACTTTCATTTTTATCACTAACCCACAAAATGACATAACTAAATTCTCTATCGATAACCCTTATCGAAAACGATAATGCGCATCACTATGGCTGCTCATAAGGTCCGTGAGTGGAAGAGAGAGCGAAATACTCGCTTCACCGCTCCGATTATTTATGACCCACACTGCATGGACAAAATAATTCTACTATAGTTAATCAATGGTAGTGATATAATTCTGGTGAACGAGAGCAACTAGTTAACGATAGGTAGTGATACAATTGAAGCCGTCAGCGCAAAAGTGGCTTAAGCTTACCATAGTCAGTATGGAGATAATGAGGTTCGAATTTACCTTTACAATATACTTCGGAGGCAAAAAAATACGCGCTAAAATGATGTTTACAAAGGCATCTGTTATCTATGGATGAAACTAGGGATTGGTCGATTTTGCATCAAAATTTATTATGCTTTAAATAAATTGCAATACATAAGCACGAATATGAATTGTGGGTTAGGCCCACGGAATAGATAAATAAGGTTGGAATGGTAATGTAGGCGGGGCAAGCGTGCCACAGTTATGATCGAACAAACATAACTCGACCGATTCTTTCATTCACTGCGTTTAGTGCGCTTCGGAATACTTGGGCGAACAGATCTCCGCTTTATAGTGCCGTGTTGTGCAATTATAACTTGTAAAACAAAAAATCAGACCTCAAGTATAAAGCGAGGAGGTATATCTTTCGATCGGTAAGTCGAAATTACCATTTAATTACAATATTATTTGTCTAAAACATAAAAATATACTGAGCATTATGAAATTCCAAACATTAACAATATTATTGCAGCAAGTTATAAATAGCATACATTGCGCGATGTGTACTCGCCCAATGAACGCAATGACCAAATCAGCTTCCAATGTACTACATGCATTGCGTTCTCTACACTTCAATCTTTGAAAGGGGATTGCCCACTCTCCATAGTGTGCTAGGCCCAAGATGGACATCAAATATTACTATAAAAATGTACTGATTCAAATTCTTAAATGTATTGGATATCTAAAAAATATATTGAAATTGACGCCACTATTAGAAAAAATATAATAAAAATAAAAACTCGTTTTGAGGTTAATTTTCTATATAAATAAGTGTCAGATTGTGAGATACTTCAAGAACTTTTCTTTTCTTAATGTTTAAGATGTTCCTAATGTATTTTTATCCAATAGGGTATAAAAACACACTTAATTCTTTAAATATCTATATTTTCTTCATCTTCATACACAATTAGTATCATCTAAAAATNGCCTACGGATGTTTTGTGCTAGTTTGCGAACGAATATCTGTCCTGAGATTTATGTGTGGGTGTTTTTGTTGTGTGCGAAATACTTGTAATCACAGTGTGTGTATGTGTAGAAATTAAAATAGTGGGGATGAAGCGGCGACACTGGTTCTAATACAAAATTAGAGCAAAGGCCTTTCCAACCTTATTTATCTATTCCGTGGTTAGGCCCCTTTTGCGCCGGCGGCCTCAATTGTGGTGAATAAGAGCAACTAGTTAACGATAGGTGAGGGTGAGGTGCGGGTACCTGGCGCAGCGGGCGTCCATGGCGCGCTCGACGCGGTGCAGGAAGGCGGAGTGCGCGGCGCGGGCGCGGGGGGGGCGGCGCAGCAGCGCGGGGGGCGCGGCGGGGTAGTCGCGCGGCACGGACACGTGCACGGAGCACGCGCACGGCAGCCGCGCGTCGTCCAGCTGCGCCACCAGCCACAGCCCGCCGCCGCCCAGCTGCAGCGACTCCAGCGACACCTGCACCGCACTCCTAGCTATTACATGCACCTTGGTAGCGAGCTCTTGTGAGTCCGTACGGGTAGGTACCACTGCCCTGCCTATTTCAGCCGTGAAGCAGTAATGCGTTTCGGTTTGAAGGGTGGGGCAGCCGTTGTAACTGAGACCTTAGAACTTATATCTCAAGGTGGGTGGCGGTATTTACCTTGCAGGACACTACATACTAGCTTTAGATAATGTTATGCTATTATTATCATTATATGTCGTTGAGATGAACGCGTCCATCTATATATACGAACCTGATTGCACCATTACAAAAAGTTCTAGTGTCGTATAATAAAATAAATAGAACAAAATAAAGCTCATTTCAACTAAGAGGAGAAGATCGAAGAAATAAAAAAAAAAAGAATTCAGTCCCTTAATCTCCTGGTGAGGTGAGTACGAACCTTGAACCTGGAGTCCAGCCTGGCTATTTCCCCCTGCAGCACGTCGGGTATCTCCATCTCGGGCTCCGCCATCTTCGGCGCCTTGTACGGCGGCGGCACGTTCCTGCAAACGGTACCAGCGTTCACTTTTGTACAAATTTCTGCCGCGTACGGTATACCAGTCACAACGCACCATTAAGACACCGGCTCATCACCGGCGACGCCTTAACCTAGCGATGTCGTCATTAACAGCCACAAATATATTGTCATTTCCATTGACAACAGTTTAGATAGTTGAAATAAATATAACACTTGTCCCACACAGTAAGCGCTAGTCCAGCAGTGATGGTTGATATCGGATTCACAACACGGGATTTTCGACATTTATTACTGGTTTTACAGTACAACAAAGTGAGATTTAGATTTCATGACTGAAAGTGGAGTGGCGGCCTTTATGTTGTTGATGTCTTATGGGCTCCGATACCACTTAACATCAAACGGGTGAACTCGTCCACCGATGTAAGCAATAAAAAATACTCACTTTATCTCTGGTCCATTTAGAGCGTCCAAGGTGGACCCGAAGGTTCTCTTGAGCGTGTGGTTGGCCAGCGGCGACTGCAGACAGTTGTTGACGACCTCCAGCAACGGGTTCACTATTTGCTCCTGTTGATCATTCGGTATGCTCAGGACACCACGAAGGATGATCCATGTGATTATTTCAAAGATTTAGCTCCTATCGTACAATGTTACGTGTTTATCAACACTAGTGGTCGCCCGGTAGTCGAAATTCGACTATCATTAATTGAATATATAAGTTTCAACATTATTATGGTTTCACAGTCACATTTCCATAATTTTTTTTTTTTTTTTATGATTGAAAGTTTACTGGTGGCCCGAAGGCCTTTCCAGTTTCACCAGGACAGGTGGGCGAGCAAAGGCTCAGCCAAGAGGGGCGGGATTTGGTGACAACTGCCCGAGCGCCTCCGAAGGAGACCTAACAACTCAAGAGTAGCCGCTTCGCGAATGAATCTACTACCGGATCGGAATCGTGACCCGCTGAGAAGATCCGGCGAGAAACTCAGCGAGCTGATGCATGGGTTAGGTTGCACGGCGAACTCTTTGTCGAGTTCGACGAATTTCTATAATCATCACTTCTCTTTTAATCATTGTTCTATTATCACAGATTTCGCCAAGGCTACATTACAGACAAATAATATTAAAGACAAACAATTTTAATCAATTCTCATTTTTTTTTTTATGGCTTAGATGGGTGGACGAGCTCACAGCCCACCCGGTGCTAAGTGGTTACTGGAGCCTATAGACATCCACAACGTAAATGCGCCACCCACTTTGAGATATAAGTTCTATTAATTATTTATTATTAATTAGACAATAGACTTTAAAAATAAACAAAAGAAGACCTATATGTATATGTAGTATGTATACATGTGCGTGTGTCAAATACGCGGTAGTGTGTGTAATGTTTTATTTATTGGTTTAATGTATTTGTTAAGCATAATTAAAAAAAATATTAGCATTGTGCACTCCTTCTCTATATTCTCTATAAGTGTGGGAAATTTAATACTCCTCCTATAAAAGGGGCACAAAGTTTTTGCTTGACGTATTAACATATAGATAATTGGGAAACAATAAAATTTGTGTGATTATTTTTGAGCCCTTTTGCGTGTATACGTGTGTCTGTAGCGACGTACCTTCCCGGACCCCGGCAGCCCCACCACGACCCCTTCGCTTCGTTTGAAGTCCAACTTCTCGAGCACGACCTCACACTTGATGAGCGTCTCCAAAGTTATCCTTTTGTTAGGATTCGACAAGATGTCCAGTAGGTTCTTCATCTTCTTCAACTTCTCCACATCTGAGCAAAACATTTTATATTGATAATGTTACCTAATTAAAATTATTTGAATCTTTGCCATGTGACAAAACAATTAAGTGGTGATTTTACGTGAGTAATGTCATTTATATTATAATGATCTTTACTGGTGGTAGGACCTCTTGTGAGTTCGCGCGGGTAGGTACCACCGCCTTGCCTATTTCTGCCGTGAAGCAGTAATGCGTTTCGGTTTGAAGGGCGAGGCAGCCGTTGTAACTATACTGATACCTTAGAACTTATATCTCAAGGTGGATGGCATGGATTTGCGTTGTCTATGTTGATGTTTATGGGCCTATGTCTATAGTAACCACTTAACACCAGGTGGACTGTGAGCTCGTCCACCCATATAAGCAATAAATAAATAAAAACTATCTTAAGGTATCAGAGATAACGATCGTCAGGCAAACACTAGGGCAAATAAATATTTTATGTGGAATATGTAAAGGTTACTTTCACTTATTGAGATGGATCTTTATATTAATTTTATGGTAATGTTTATAGTATAGCAGCATTCATGATTGCCTACACGATGTCTAGAGAGGGTTTGCAGACACCAATATGAGTGAAGCCACACAACTTCAAACGTTGTATTCAATACAACAATGGCTTTAAAATGAGTCATGGGGAAAATGATGGGATTGGTCGACTCACTCTCGCCCTCGCTGACCATCCTGTGCACCATGCGCCGTAATGGCTCGATGTACTTGGAGAGCTGGCGGACCTTCTCCCTGTAGGCGGCCTCCTCCCCGCCCGGGGACCCCGCCCCCAGCGCCGCCTGCGGGGTGTTGAGGGACGGGGACGGAGACTGCACCATGCCCATACCCACGCTCCTGCAAAGGGTCCACAAACATATTTTTAACAGACCTTAAAAATAATAACAATAAACAAAAAACTGCTGGTAGGACCTCTTGTGAGTTCGCACGGGTTCGCACCACCGCCCCGCCTATTTCTGCCGTGAAGCAGTAATGCGTTTCGGTTTGAAGGGTGGGGCAGCCGTTGTAACTATACTGAGACCTTAGAACTTATATCTCAAGGTGGGTGGCGCATTTACGTTGTAGATGTTTATAGGCTCCAGTAACCACTTAGCACCAGGTGGGCTGTGAGCTCGTCCACCCATCTAAGAAATAAATAAAAATAATAATAATAAACCTTTTCCATGATTACGTATTCTTTTATGGAACTTTTTTGATTAACATTTTTGTGTAGCTTCATTTAGATAATAGTGCGTTGTACGCACAACAATCACTATGGTTGACCGTAGATAATTTAAGAGAAAAGTATTTCTAAGTCATTTATAACGTTATTATAAATTACGTATACGTTTATTATCAATGTTAAAGTTATTAATAAGTTAGTAATTAAAACTTGGATTAAATTAAACAATTCAAAAGTGTCACTCTTAAAAGGACAATGAAGTTAATACAATAACTTAACGGTTTTTGACTTGGAGAGACTGCAATAAAGAAGATTATCAATTATCAGTAGGTATATGTTGAATGGCTTTAATAAGAAGATTCCATGAAGTGCTGGCTGTAGAGCACAGTTTAAAGATACATAGTATGAGCTGGTGGACCGTACCTCTGTTGCTGTGAGACGTGATGCGCGAGGTGCGTGGGGGCGGAGGGCGAGGGGCTTCCCCCGCAGGCCGCCAGCCCGCCCAGACTCGACATTGGGGACGGCATAGTGTTGGCCATCACTCCTGTACACATACAACTACGCTTAATAAGCCTATTATTGTATAACTAATTATTTCTTTATTTTATAGATCTTCTCAGTGGGTCGCGTTTCCGATCCGGTGGTAGATTCTGCGAAGCACTGCTTTTGCTAGGGCCAGTGTTAGCAACACCTACGGTTTGAACCCCGAGAGCCCACCTACACGCTAGAGCAACGCCTCCCACTGCTATCAGTATAGGTAGGGAAAAAAATATATTACAGAATTTCAGGAACGGTCAGTGACATAATTTATATAAGCTTGTTAGGCTTTAAGCAATTACTGACAGTCCTGTTCTAATTATTTATACTAATTAAATTAAATGTGAACATTTTACAGAGGAATGCAATTACCCATGGAGACGGGACTGGGTCCGGGCATGCCCGGTGAGGGTGCAGAGGGCGAGGGGCTCTGCCTCAGGAACTGTGCGGGCGGCGGGCCTCGTGAGTACCCCGCGCCCAGCATGCCCACCTCCTGCTTGCCCTGCACCCTGCCCTGCATGTGGCCCATGTTCATACCCACCATCTGATTATTTCCCATTCCTCCCACTGTGGATTATAAACGTTTTTTCTTACATAATATAATGGCCAAATGCCCACTAACATGCCAATTTACTAGACCCCTAACATTGCAACAAGAGACAAAAAAGTGTGTCTAAATATTATTATTATTATAATGCAATCCAACCCGCCAGTGCCAATATGCTCAATGAATTTCTCACCAGATCTTCTCAGTGTATCACGTTTCCGATCCGGAGGTATATTCTGCGAAGCACTGCTCTTACTAGGGCCAGTGTCAGCAATACTCCCGGTTTGAGCCCCGTGAGCTCACCTACATGTCAAGGTGAAGCTGAAATAACCTCTCAAGGCTATCAGCATAAGTAGAAAAAAAAAAGTGCCAATACATGTATACCTTGCATGTTTTTATGGGAGAACAAACTCTTGGACCCTTCTGTGTTAACTGGTTGCCAGAGCTGTTAAAAAACAGTGGGATTGCTGCCCAACTCGAGACACAAGATCAAAGCCCCACTTGAATTATATAATAAATAGTGTCATAAGCAAAATAATACTCACCCATTTGCCCAGACATTTGCCCTTGCATATTGTTGGGTGGCATCTGACCACCCATACCCACTTGGTTACATGGCATCTGACCCACCATGGTATTAGCACCACTCATAGGCACAGCCATATTATTAGACATGGACATATTCTGCATCATCTGACCCTGCATGCTAGGTCCAGCGAGCTGATTCTGCAGCTGACTGCCCATAGGATTTCCCATGCCTCCCATTCCCATATTATTGCCCATTTGACCCTGATTTCCGACCATGCCCATTGAACCAGCAAGTTTGTTTTGCATGGGCATATTCATTTGTGGTCTTTGGTTTAATGTTTGAAGCAGGTTAGTAGCCGTTTGGGCTTGAGGTCCCTGAGACACTATGGGACCCGTTTGACCCAATTGAGACTGCATGCTCCCCATTTGTGTCTGCATAACGTTTTGTTGCTGCATTTGGCCTTGAGGTCCCATATTCATCATCTGATTTCGAGATCCTTGAGATGCGAGCGTCTGTAATGCATTTATAGGGTCGGGGGCTAAGCCAGTCTGGCTGTTAGGACCTTGAGGGGCTTGTCCCTGTTGGGGTTGTACTTGTGTAGAAGGACCACTTTGGTTCTGATTTTGCACTTGCATATTTGGTTGGCCTTGATTTTGCTTTGGTTGTGCTGTTGATTGACAATAAAACAATAACTGCTTTAGGGTATGAACATATGTGATAACTGAATGTTATTAATTCATACTATACACTATCTTATAAATTGCAAAAATCTATTCAACAACTACTAATTATTGTAATTCATATATGCTAAAGAGAAGATAGCTTTTGTGTTAGCATTATCTAAACAATGTTTGTACTATGATATTAACTGTTTTTTTACATTTTGTATCCCTTATTTTTGAGTACTTGATGCTGGCTGTCATTCTGAATGACTTGTAATGACCGCGTAATTATTTTTTGATTTACATTTTAATTAAGTAATAATATGTAGACAATTATAGTAAGTATGTTTACTTGACAATGAGCTTAATTTTGTTGTTATAGTGCTCATTATATCCCTTATTGAACCATTAATATTTATATAATACTGTTAATGTGTATTTTACCTACATAAAAGTATATTTTTAAAGTATAAAAATTGTAACACATTAATCTAAAAAAGGTGTTACTTACACATTTCCCTTACATGCAGAATGAGTTTTGCTACCATATTCATGTATTCATCTCTGTTTTTGGCCTTTAAGAACACATGAGTCTCCATCTCACTGCTGTTACGAGCGACCTGCATACCGGAGCGCTGTATTGCTTCCTCGCTGTAAATATTCATTCAATTCGTTATGCATTACTTTACGATATATAGTTGGGGGAAGAACGGACTTGCCTATTATTTTAAATCATATACTGGACAAGATTACTGGATAACTTGTCGTCGAAATAATTTTGCAAAAAAAAAAAGAAATATTTCAGACAAAATCGTTATTCAGTATTAAAGTTTCGATGGGCATTAAGCAACGAATGAAACTAATGTATTTTTTTCAGTACATTAAAACACTTACATTTTAGAAACAACGTTTTGCCGAAATGACTGTGTTCTCCAGTTATTGTCGTCTGACGCCATTGTCTAGAGTTAATATATTTCCCCCTGAAAACTTGATTATAAATTGTAAATTTAACAGAATAACATTTGCGTCTCTGAATAATGCTGTATTTTAAAATTTATTATTGCAAATTTCTGTAGTTTATTCCACACAAACGCACCTTTCCCAAGTGAAGTTTGTTGCTATTTCTCAAGTCGTAGTCTGTGGTTTGTTTGTTGTCACCATAGATTTTTTTTGTTCTGTTTGTCTATGTGTATAGGCAAAGAAATTTAACTCATTGTGATCTTGAATGAAACAAAGAACATACTTTTATGGAGGGAAGGCGAGGGGATACCATGTAAATTGTATTTTATTCCCTCAGTGCCTGTTCCGGCTTAAAAACATATTTTTTGATGTTGTTAATAGCTTAGAATCTTTAACAGTGCACAGATGCCAGAAAGAAGCAAGTTATTGAATGTGACTACTTTCAGCAATTTAGCAATTTACTCAGTATCATCTCATCTCACCTCGTCTCGGCTGGTCTCATTACATAGGTCCGGCAGCCGTCGACAGTGACTGTGATTTTTTTCACTTGTAATGTTGGTCAAACGTAGGGTTGTGAACCCTAGTAAATGTAAAAATAAGCATAAATAACTAAAAACAAATGACGCACGGTCATCCGACCCCAAATTTGGTTTCCCTGTGTAATGGATACCAAAAATTTATTTTCATACTCGCACACGTTTAAATAGAGACATTTATAAGATAATAAACCATCGATATATTACCACTAGATCCCGCGTAAAGGCGTCAAAAGTAACCTAACAAAACAGTGCTTAGATTCATATTAAGCACTGTTTTGCCGTCAGTGTCACGCCGACCGTCGAGTGGAACGATTCCAAAATGCGCTGTAAAAAGTTGTAAAAAAACACGCTTACAAAGAGAAAACAACATGAAATTTAGTATTTTTGGTAAGTTGTATAATTTTTACTAAAAGATAGTGATAAACATTTAAAATAAATCAGTTATCCTTGCCAAATTAGTACTTTAAAAAATTAATTCCTATTATTTTGCTTCGCAGTTATTTGTTTTGCACACATAATAACGTTTACATGCAAGACAAGGATTGAAATAGGGCTATTCCAGGACAAGTGTAGTGGAGTCACCTATTTTTTTTTTATTACTTATATGGGTGGACAAGCTCACAGCCCACCTGGTGTTAAGTGGTTATACTGGAGCCCATAGACATCTACAGCGTATTTACGCTGCCATTTGCGCATTTGCGCCATCCACCTTGAGATATAACTTCTAAGGTCTCAAGTATAGTTACAACGGCTGCTCCACCCTTCAAACCGAAACGCATTACTGCTTCACGGCAGAAATAGGTGGGGTGGTGGTACCTACTCGTGCGGACTCACAAGAGGTCCTACAACCAGTAATTACGCAAATTATTTTGCGGGTTTGATTTTTATTACACGATGCTATTCCTTCACCGTGGAAGTCAATTGTGAACATTTGTTAAGTACGTATTTCACTAGAAAAATTTGTACCCGCCTGTGGGATTTGAACACCGGTGCATCGTTAGATCAGATACGAATACAACATACGTCTGTACAATGGACGGCGAAGTGAAATCTGTAAACTGGACTTTTTTTACATTTTTACAGATTTCCTCAAAATGATGTACAAAGAGAAAAGTGGCGGTCAGCAATAAAAGAAAAAAGAAGCGACGATTATTTCAAACCTAATTGCTCCAGTGTGGTTTGTGCAGACCATTTTACCGAAATGTATTTAATAAATAAAACAATTTGATGGGGATTAGGTTGTTGTGATTTAAAAAGCTCTTATCCATTTTCCCCACCGATGTACAAGGTACAATATAGCTAACTGAGGTATAATGATATAGTTATACAATATTTGTTGTATCATAGGTACATGTTATTCCAATAAGGAATGAAATTGAAAAAATTGAATGAATTTGAATTAAAAAAACATAATAAAAAATAAATTACTCAAAATATTCTTACAAAAAAAGTACAAAGGGCGACTCCGTAATACTCTGTTCGGAGCAGTAGTCTTAATATCGTAAGTTTAAAAGGGCGTAAGTAAAATGCTATGCGTGTAAATTTTTCCTTTTTATTAAGGAAATAAGGTTAAATTTGGAACAAAAGTTATTGTAAAAGACTATCTCTTTCTGTCATTCATGGCGTAAGGTCGTAAATGAATGTTAAAACAATCTAAACTGCACTTTATTACTTCAAGAAAAGGTATAGTTTAGGTTACAATTATTATACCTTTACATCGTTTTTCTCCACTTGATGGTATAGTCAGATTAGTTAGTCGATGCCATATTTGTGTTTGGTTTTTGTTTGTGAGGCGTTATCTAGTGGTAATATATCGATGTAATAAACATCCAAGCAAGCTGTTTTCCTGTTCATCCTGTTCAACCTGTTCATCACATGAATGTTTGCCTGAAGTGGGAGTCGAACCCACGATCCTCGGCGTAACACTCAAGAGTGCTATAACTACTGCATCACTGAGTCCATTTTATTCCAAATTATACTTACCGATATCGGCACTCTTTGATTTAATTATGACTCATAATTATGACTCATAAAACTTAAAAATGTATTGCAAGATGGGACGGGCATTACGATTTATATTTCTTTGTGGTCCATTTCTTCCACGAAGTAGTTATGTGTTCCAGGTTGATGAGGGGGAAGTTGTCATACGGCAGAATTGAGACTCTCGAGGTGAGTAATGTCTCGAGGTGGTTAATGTCTCGAGGTGGGTAATGGAACTAATGGAACTCAAGTTGTGATATCTATGGGTTTCGTTAACCATTTAATACCCAGTGGGCTGTGAACCCGTCTATCTTTATTTACCATAAATAAAATAGTACGATTACTTCCTAGTAATTATTAGTAATTATTACGACCCATCGTCTATTTAATCATGAGTCATGGGTGTCGTGACTCAACTACGAACTAATAACAAAATTTCAATTTTCTACTGAATTATCCTCCTGATTACGATTTTGTGTTCGAAGGCGTGTGGTGAGCCCAGTCAGATTATTTTTGTTATTTTGGGATACATCTACTGTGATATTGTTCCTGGAGTCCACTAACATCATCTTCTACTATTGAGGCAAAAGGTTGTAGCAGGAGATGTCATAAAATATAAGCAATAGCATGTATCGCGTTAACAGTATTTTCAACAAATTAGAGTTTCAGATCAATAGCTTTTACCGGAAAATAACAATTATTCGATGAGAAAATTTTCCTTTGTCGTACTTTTTGTCGTAGTTTAGAAAACCCTAGAAACACTAAAATAACAAAATAAAACTATTCACACAACTTCATTCTTTGCGTTCCCGCCAAAAAGTTCGAAGATATTTACTTCTTTAATAGTCTGTTTCTTTAATAGCTTTTTATTATTCATAAACTGTAAACAATTAAAACGGCGAATTATAAAAATCTTATTAATTGATACTGGCTAATGCACAAACCGTGCCGGAGCCAAAATTAAATAAAAAAATATAATCATAGATAATAAAGATAATATTTGACAAACGAATGATAATAAAATAGGGTTTAAACGGTGCCTAGTGGAAGTTTCTGATAAATTTAAAGTTAAAGTTAAATTTAAACCTAGGCGAAGAAGTTGTAAATGAACACAATCTTTGTTATCACATATCTTTATTGTGTTTTTATGTTGTAACTTAGAGGTGTTTATTAAAAATATGTCTTCACAAACTGTTATTAGAGTGAAGCGTAGATTAGAAGATAACCCTCACGATGCTCTGGTTGTTACATGTAAACGGCCCAAGACCGACCCTGAATCATGCCAATCCTTGTTTGTATTTCGAGCCACTATCACCAATCAGGTACTTATGAAAAATGACTCGATAAGTCATTAAATCACATGTAAAGATTCAAACAGGTTGAAACCTTGGACTTATTGATAGAAGCTGGCTGCGAGCTCTCCTTCTAATCTAATAATTAAAATTACGGAAATCTTCCGGTACATTTGATTGGTTTTTCACCTGCCTTCTTTAGTTGTAAATATAAAAAAAGTAAATAAATCAGTAGGTATCCATAGTTGCAAATGTTGGTTAAGAAAACAATGTGCTTCTTCAGGAAACAGCTGATATCAAAGATTTGGTGTCTCCAGCCGATTCCAAACTGCAACCGAGACATAATGTCAAGGATATTGTTGAAAAGCTACGAAAAGACCAGAAGGCTTCTTCAAGCAAAAGTCGTTATGAAATAGTCAACTGTAACCGAAGCATAGAAAAAGATACGGATAATTTCAATCTTGTAGACTTACAAAAGACTGATGATGTTGATGATGGAATTGAATATGCCTATGACTTATATACAATACCAAAACAAGACTTTGATTTGTCTGTGATTGACAGCTTTGCCAGGTAATCTATCATTCATGTTATACTTATGTTTAGTTATTTATCTATACTTTCTATCTATACAGTCAATCAGGGTAACTTAAGCCTTCCGTTTAATATTAGCCCACTTACTCACTTTTTACATATCTATTTTTAATTTACAAACAGGATACATGTTGCCATAGACTTTGAAATTTTTAATTAAGGGGTTTATTATTTTTATTTGTTTATAAAAAAGATCCAATGTTATCATAAGGCTTTAAATGTAAAAATGCATCAAAATTGTACTGGTAGTTCTTATACTGGCAAAGTTACTCAGCTCTTAAGATAACATTGGCCCACAATTTTTTTGTCAATTTTGTGAGATTTGCACTTGCTCATGCAAAATTATTTAAATTTCAATTGTAAACGCTTAAAACCCACGGAAAATCCATATTTTTTATTAATATCTAGTATATTTGAGACAATAGTATAGTTGAGACAATATGTACAAAATTGTTTGCATGGCGGGACAAAGTTACACTGATTGACTGTACTTATTCATAGTTTTAAATCAAAACGATTTAAAGTATAGTGATCATAGTTTGTAGTCTGCCAAAGAGGGAGATTTAACATTTTTGTTTCATGTCATTCTGCTGACAGCTATAAAAGGAAGATTGCGAGGCTGGAATGACTATGATGGAAAAAGTAGTAGAGTAGATTTTTTATATTTTTGGAATTAACGATTATTGATTTTATTCTTACATGCCGTGTATGGTTGAATGAGCTCATGGCCCATCTGGTGTTGTCTATAAGTTTGTGTAACCAGAACAGTACACAATGTGAATTTGAGAGTCAATGTTTAAATCTAAATTAGTATATAAGCGGTATATAGTATATATACTATTTACTGTGTATATTAGTACAATATAACTATATACTATAATAGTATAATAAATAATACTATTTTAGTAGGTTAAATAACAAAAGGAAGATCTACCACTAAGTCAGCAATGGTCCTTGCAGTCAGCAATTGAGCTTGTATCTTTGCAAACTTATCTTGAAAATGTTTTAAGCGACATTCAGTCAAATATCTGATGTTGTAGGATTTAACTTATAACAATGTGCTTGCCTAGTAATGGCAGTAACTTATAACAATGTGCTTGCCTAGTAATGGAAGTTAATTTTTTTTTGCAAATGAAGAAATACATAAAGAATGCTTCTAAAACACTCAATTGAATATTTAATTGTTTTCAATTTATTTTTTATTGCTTAGCTGGGTGGACGAGCTCACAGCCCACCTGGTGTTAAGTGGTTACTGGAGCCCATAGACACCTACGACGTAAACGCCACCCACCTTGAGATAGAGTTCTAAGGTCTCAGTGTAGTTACAAAGGCTGCCCCACCCTTCAAACCGAAACGCATTACTGCTTTACGGCAGAAATAGGCAGGGTGGTGGTATCTACCTGTGTGAACTCACAAAAGTTACCACCAGTAATATCCAATTTCATAGTATATTTTTTCCCTGCTTAATTATTGCTAGCCTCAAGGGGCTATTGCAGCCATACACAGTTTAGTAGGTGCACTAGATAGGTAAGACAGTATAAACCACACAGTATAGTGATTGTAATAAATTGTCATTGTGTTTGTTTAATTGAATATACTGATCTAAAGTCTAATCAGTAACATGACACAGTAGAAAACACGTTTATCTTCTTTATTATTTGAAATTGTTGACAAAGGAGAGATTTTTTACCGTACTGGTACTTTTGCTCAGTAGTCCACTGATCGAAATATTGTTGTTTGCAACTTGTATGTATATAAAGCTATCTTCAAGATGTTGTTAGCAAGATCAGGCATCTGTCAAGTGTCTTCTATCCAATTATGGTTACCACCACACTTGTTTGTATTTTTTTAATTTATTGATGTGGCAGCTAAGGATTACGAACAGTAATAATAATAATAAAAAAGTGTAACTGTAATTATTTTTTGATTTGGACATTGTTATTTTAAGTATTAAATATTGTTTACAGCATAGAAACAGACCTAATACTTGGTACACATGATGATGGTTGCGACACAACATCTGGTGACGAAGTTGATGACGATGATGATTCTAATGACGAAAACAACTGGAGAAATGATTATCCTGATTCTGAAAAAAGTAGCATTGATGAAGATGACATCGTTCGGGCTATGGAGCGTGTTGATTTAGGTAAGAAGAGAATATTTCTCACTTTATAATCTAATCATTATACCTGTGTGAACTCTGATTTACTTAATTACCTTATCAGTAGCTGCTTCGACCTTAGTTTGATTTTTATTACACAATGTTCATTGTGGAAATAATTTGTGAACATATTGTATTATTTATTTCTGTACGTATTTTATAAGAAAAATTGGTACCTGCTTCTGGGATTTGAATACTGGTATAGTCACAACACTTGAAATGTGTACACCGGGCATCTTGTCCTTTAGTGATTACATTGATGTTGATCATATTATATTATTCTTACAGTTACAGACTTATCTTAACAGTGACCACATAAAGTATATGGTGTGTTTTCATGCATAAGAGACCATAGTTTTGCATAAGTGATTATTATAGTGTGTACACTGTTATATTTTATTTCTTAAAATCATAGTCAATGCAAAATTTTAAGATCAATAAATTAAGATTTCAATTTAAAAAATATATAGATACATAAATAATAATAAAAAGTTTTATGTGTTGGATTTATGATTCCCAAATTTTTCTTTAAAGAAAACACTAGTTATCTACTAAATTTTGTGTTGTTTTAATTGAAAAGAAATCTAAATTATAATTTTTAAAAATAACTTTAACATACATTCAATAACTTCAAGCTGTTTGTAATATAGGTCTAAGACATAAAACCTGTTTTCGTAAAATAAAAAAATTCTTCTTTCAATTCAAATTCAAAACTTCTTTTTCTTCTTTGTTGTTTCCTCACTAATGAAATTTGTAACCATATATGATAAAACTCCATTTGCTTCTGTCTATGTTTACTTCACTTTTAAATAATATATTGAAATGGTCTTAAAATAACAATTTCTCTTCAGAAGACAACCTATCAAGCGATGATGGTGAAGACAAAATTTATGACACTAATGATTATGAAGAAAATGTAAGATTATATGGCACAGGATATGCCAAATATAAAGCTAAGATTCTTGCTGAAAATCCTGACCTTTCCAATCGGAGCCTCATCCACTCCGTCAAAATGAAAGACATTGATGAAGAATCAGTCGAAGGATATAAGGATGATAGCGATGACGGTTTTTACTATGGCCAGGAAGATGACTCGCCGCATCACAGAAAACAATATAAAGATTCGTCTGATGAATATAGTCCAGATTGATCCAAAAAATTTTTGTTTAGTTTTAATTGTAATTAAAACATATTATGTTAAGATACTGAAGTTATACTTTTTTGATGGTAAATAGTAATTAAGTCACAAAGCTAAGTACTGATTGGTTGTATGGATGGAGGTGATCAAGATCTGTAGACATGCGAGCTCGATTGGGCGAGAAGGATACTCATTTACATAAATGCAATGGTACATTTTTTCTGAGAAAGCCTCGATACTATATGTTGTGAAGAACCATTGAGTTACAAGTATCGAAGATATTCTTAGGGAGACTAGAAACTAGTCTTTAACAGTACCAGAAGGGAGTAACTCTTGTGTGTAGATGTTTATAGACACTGTAAACTTGTGATGTTTTTGATAATCTTAAGCGTATAGTGTAATAATTTCAATGTAAGAACTTGAGTATGTCATATCATTAAACTGTATAGAAACATATAATTAATCATTTTTGAATAAAGATTAAATCATTTTTACAATTTATCGTTTTCTAACCTAAATATAATTTTTAATACAGCATACCGGTTTTTTTTGTAAGAGGTACACATCGGGTCTGGTTAATTGTTACCATACACTGGCTACTGAAGCTCATTACGTCTAAACGTGAATTTTGCCATCTAACTTCAGATATGTCTCTGTTGCATTGCATGGACTTTCTAACATTCAAATTGGAAATTGTACAGTAAAAGCTCCTTATTCGCGCTTCCCTCATTCGCGTGTTCGTTATTTGCAGATTAAATAATTTCGATGCCATTCCTATATTTGCGAACAAATATATCTTAATTCGTGGATCTAATCGGTACAAAAAAAATTATAAAAACTGATTCTAATAGCTATCCATCCAAACGAATATCTTTTGTAAACGCGTCGTCAAATGGATAAAAAAGTAAAATAGACCTTATTACAACAATCGAAAGTATGTTGTTAAATGATATCGCTACTGCATTGTTTCCGCCTTTGACAAGCCGCTTTCGCCGCGGTCGGTGTTTTTGAGAATGTAAACAAACAATATAACAACCTTATAAGTAAACTCATCAAATATACATATATTTTTTTTACGATTGAAGGATTACTTGTGGCCCGGAGGCCTTTCCAGTTTCACCAAGACCGGTGGGCGAGCAAAGGCTCAGCCAGGAGGGGTGGGATTTGCTAACAGCTGCCCAAGTGCCTCCGAAGGAGACCTAACAACTCAAGAGCAGCTGCTTCTACTACTGGATCGGAATCACGAACTGCTGAGAAGATCCGGCGAGAAACTCAGTGGGCTGATGCACGGGTTAGGTTGTACGGTGAACTCTTTGTTGAGTTCGACGAGTACGGTTTCCGGGATCTCTATGGCAGCTCCTAGTGTTAGAGCTGAAGGCGTCTATTTCAAAGCTTATTTGGATCTAATCGATCCGTAAGGACATGTGGATATTTTTAAATGCGGCCAAATGAGACCGCTCTGTCTTTTAGTAAGAGCCGCATTACCATTCCATATTCACGGTTTCTGTATTCGCGGCACATTTACGGAACATACACCCCGCGAATAAACAGCTTCTACTGTAGTGGTGTAAATTTTTGAAATGAAACAAATCGAAACTTCATATAATGTGATAAATAATTTATTGTCTGGCGATATTTTTTACAATATCAATTACGCCTACATTGCTTATTGATTTCCCTCCGTAAATATTACAGTTTACGTCCTAAAGTTATTAGGGTACACACACGGAAAGATGCCTTAAATTTTCCAAAATATGACAAAAAGAAATACAAGAAGACAGATTGAATCGTGCAAGCAGATTTTTTTCTATTGAGGCATCTCCATCTTCACAAATATAAATCGTTGATCCGCATTCAAAACAGCGTAAGTGTTTCTTTTAAACCATACACTACAGACTATTTTCTGACATCAATTCTAGGCAGTAAAGTTTTGTTGTGTCAATTCGCTCTCTTTAACGTACGGAAAGTATGAAAAAGTGTTGAGCTGTGAGCAGAAAATTATAATTAAAAACCCTCCAAAATAGTGGTAGCGTAGCAAGTAGCATGTCAATGTAGCAGTTGTAAACGGAGTGAAAATTTAATACAATAACTTTGGGCGCCGTCTTTGAAATTAGACCAGTCGCTACGGTGGCGCTAATAGCTCGCTTTTCAATGGACAGCTTTTTATATGCAGAGACTGTGCTTCTTTACCTATATCCTTTATACTTTAAGGTTAGAACAAACTTCGGTAAACTTTCAACAGTCTAGGAAACAACGAAAAATAATTCCCGCGTATCGGAGTTAGTCGGATTGGATTGGCCAAGAATTAAATTATAGATGGTTTTATGTCTTAATATTGATACAGTTAGCGAAGTCTGAAGCTAAATCAAATTCAGGCAACAAAGTTCTACATTTACGTACGCTGAATCGAATGCCGGTCAACGATTTAATAATTTATTAATTTGATATTATTCGAGACCGTCGTAACATTAAAAACGTATGCACGTATTGAGAACATAATTATGGCACGTAACCTCACTTGCTGAGTTACAGACGATGATAAAACATAGACAATGTCATGATCTCTAAATTTAAATACTAAATTAAGTCATTGACGAACATCGCTGATTTATTTCTGTAGTATTAAAAAAGTAGATAATTTGAGAAATAGCATACTTACTATTGCACATTTACTGTTGTCACACATTTAATTTGTTGCACATTTAATGTTGTTTTTTTTTTTTTATATCATTTGTGTAAAATTTCAATGTAGACAGCCAATTTTCGGACCTTCTTGATTCGAATAAACTACAGAATTAAAGGTTATATCAATGACTCTTAAGTGTAACAAAATGGAAGATCGATTATTTTAAAAACGAACACATTGTACCTTTAAAATATTGTAAACACTGAAATTCGAGACTCATATTAAAGACGAAACACAAATGAATACATATTTTTAAACATACACATCGGTACATCTACTCAAAGTCTTGTATTCACTTATATCTAAATTTTATTAATTAGTGAGATACCTATAAATGCAAATTACTAATTAAAATCTAGCGATGCTTTGGCATAGACAAAACATGGTACAATATTAAATCCTAAAAACGTTTTTATATTCATATATGGAACAATTATCATAATGCTATCAGAAAAATGTTTATTGAAGGGTGTTTTAAATTAGTTTTTACATGAATAATCATCAATACTTAGTTAGCCTCAAATTTGCAATTGAATCTAGTAAATTATCACAAACTGTTCACAATAGGTAAAAAAGCTTTAAGCTTTTTGTTTTTTTTTGCAGTTGACAGAAAAAAAAAATAGTTGGCAACACCACTGGTAGGCAAACGGAATTGAGCATTAACTGCTTAACATGTTAATTAATATTAAACAAAATTAACAACAAAGAAAGAACAATCACTAAGAACAAATGGTAATAAAATTTAGTTACAATTTAATAATATCTTTACAGTTATATACAATTTGGTAATATTTTTAATAACGTATACACTATGCGAAGAAGTCATTCAACTTTCCTACATTATTTTTACATAACAATAACAAATACCTAAATTTGAGGAAAGTTATGATTATATACAATTCAACTGAACTTACAGTTGTTTGGCATTGATATGCAGTGCTGGATATTTATATTTATATAATATGTATAAGTTTTGATTATTGCACATAATAACGTCCGAAACGTGATTTAATATAATAACGATTAAGAATAATAGATTTGAAGCAACGAAAGCGTTTCGATTCTCGCTAGCAATTTTGAATTTTTTGTTAGAAGTTAATAAGATCTAGTTTTCGATAATAGCAAAGGCAAATACAGAAAACGAATGTTTACTGCTTATTATCAACATAAATACGAATTTGAATTCGTTACATATTATTTGCAATTCGTAGTCAACAGATGGCACTGTAATAAAAATTCTAAATAAACATCTCATAAATCGGTTTAAGATTTTACGGTTTTTACCTTCACTATTATCGATTATGTCACAGACGCAGTTCATAGTACGGGAGTGTCGTTAACCCTGGGTGGGGTCGGAACGTTGTTGTTCGCGGCCGCGTCTTGATTGTTTGCTGTGCAATAGTACTGCTTGTGCGCCTTGTAAGTGTTCACGTACTTAAAGGATATGTCGCAAGATTTGCAGTAATTAGGCGTCTCTTCGGCGTCGTTGTCTGGCTCCTTTTTAATGTCTACAGGCAGGGTAGGAACGGTTGGAAGGGGTGAGGTTTGTTCCTCATCAGGCTCGTCAGTGGCGTGGACTAATCGTGCGTGGCGCACTACGTTGCCCCTGTATGTGGATGTGTACGCGCAACTGCTGCAGCGATGGACCCTCTCCCCTGCCACTGCTGGACTGGGAGACGTTGCTTCTCGGCTCTCGTCTTCGAGTACGCATGCTATGTAGCTCTCCTCCTGGAATTTATGAACAGAGAAATGTATTTTCAATGCTTGCGCAGAATGACTCGGTCTTTTGTTGAATTTTTTTCCCCCCTACCTATGCTGATAGCCTTGATAGGCTATTTCAGCTTCACCCTAACGTGTGTAGGTGAGCTCACGTGGCTCAAGCCGGAGTGTTGCTAACACTGACCCTAGCAAGAATAATGCTTCGCAGAATCTACCACCGGATCGGAAACGCGACCCACTGAGAAGATCCGGCGAGAAACTCAGTGGGCTGTGTCTATGGGTTAATTCGCTCGTCGAGCCCTTCGTCGCAAGCGACAGGTTCGACGAGGACGATGACCGGTACTTGTGGTGCCTAAAAGCACCGTTAATGGATCAAGAGGATCCGTAATGACGTGCTTTGAGCGACGTCGACGGTCTGCCATTCGGGTTTGTTGAAAAGAGGTTTAAATTGCTTTTAGTTATCATTAATAGATTTCTGCGACTCTTGATTCCGATTCTCGTTAGTATGTGAATACACTAACACACGTTGATGCGCATTCTCTGTTTTAATTAGGTTATAGTAGAGACGAGTAAAGGTAAGTCAGAAATCTTCTCGGAAATTGCTACTACAACTGAACGTACCAAGTCTCAACCCTAGTGGACTGAACGCAAATAAATAAATCAACCTTCAAAAACTATCAGACAATGAATTATTTTTGTATATAATTTTTTTTTATTGCGCTTGTAGGCAGACGAGCACATGGCCCACCTAATGGTGAGTGGTTACTGTCGCCCATGGACTTCAGCAATGCCAGGGGTAGAGCCAGGCCGCTGCTTACCGAAAATAAACGGTTTCAATTACCTGTAAATCGGCCGGCTTCTTGTTGTTGAAGTGCATACGTATGTGTGTGCGCATGCCTCGTAGGGTGTTCCCCCTGTACCGGCAAATGGTACACCTGAACGCCTTCACTCCGGCGTGCGCCTCCATGTGGCGCTGAGCCGCGGCCGCTGTCGGCGACACCACGTCGCAGCACGGACACTTCCATCCTCCCTCTGTACCCGACGACGGCCTCGGTAACTCTGGAATGGACCTCGACGATCGGGTTTCACGTTTCGTGCAGTAATATGATTGATGGGTTGTGAGATTATCCAAGGAACTGAAGTGAATACCGCAGGCCAGGCATATCAGTTGTCGATACTGAGGCGGCGGCCCGGCCTCCGGTGGCGCCGGGCTCGCTGGCTCTTCACCCCCGCCGGCTGAGCAATAACGTTGCTTATGTACTCGATAGTTCTCGTACATACAAAAAACTATATTGCATTCTTTGCATTTCGATACGCCTTGCTTGACCAGAACTTGAGGAGATTTAGCAGCTACTGGCAGCTCTGAGGCAAGCCGTATGGCTAAAGCGGGAGGTATGATTGGGGGTGGGACTGCCGGCGGCGATGGTACACTTGGTGGTTTCGGTGTTGGTCCTCTAGAGTTTCGCCGTCGTCTTTTTGGAGAACTCTCGCCGCCTGGAGACAAAGAACGTCGGGAAGGCGACGGTGTCCCGGGTGAGCCCGGCAGCGATGGCGCGCAAACTATTTGTTCCGGCGTCGTTGAACGAACCCTGTTTTCTTTTTCATGTTCATCTACCACAACAGACTCCGGCGAACGGCGCACGCTGAGGTCCAGAGGCGTCGTGCCATCTCTTGAGGAATCTCGTGCTCGATTTGCAGATTTTAAGACCTCCGGTGTTTTGGGATCTGTATTGATATTGGGTAAAATGTGAGTCAGAGGCTGGAATGTACCGTTTGGTAGTAAGAAGCATGGAGTATCCGGATCCGGCAGCGTCGCCCCGGGAAGCGTGCTGGCACTGCGCAGTAACGTATACGGGACGATAAGTATTGGATTTGTGGGTAACGCCAGAGCATATTGATTTTGTGCTGGTGGTGTCGCTCCCGGTGATGGAGGAGCGGAGCCCGACGTTACAGAGCTTCCTTTAATAGCTTGCAGAGCTTGTTTGACAACTTGACGAGTGCTGCAGTAGTTAGCTTTATGTGCTCTGTAAGTTTTTGTAGAGCTAAAGCGAATATCACAATCGGTACAATATCGGTCCTGAGCTTGGGGACTTTCAGTCGCTTCACCGTTAGACGTGGGCGTCGCCGGTGCGGGCGTCCCGCTGCTGACAGGGGACGAAGAATGCATTCGCATATGTCTGTTCAAACTGACTTTTTTGTCAGCACTGTACGAACATAATGTGCAAGCGTATTGCTTCCCTGCTGGTTTTGAAGTTTTTGAATCTCCACTTGAGTCATCACCTGCCGCGTAGGCTGATGCATCCGTTGCCTCAGAAGGCTTAGGTTTTCTGTTCGCACAATAATGTGCTTGATGTGCTTGAAGCGTACTTAGAGATGAGTATCTGATACCACATGGATTGCAGATGTAGCCTGGCACCGCGTTTGTCGGGAACAGGCCAGGGAAAGCGGCAGCCGTTAGTGCAATGTATTCACGCGCCTGAGTAGCTGGTGTAGGCGGCGGAGGAGGAGACGGAGAGGGCGGTTCACGTTTGAGCGATGTTGCTTGCGGTGCTAAAGCAGGGTCAGTCGCGAGACTCGTATTAAGGCGTAGTCGCGGTGGTGAAGCAGCCGGTGAGCCCCCAGAAGCAGGCGAGGCGCCGCCACTAGATGCAGGTCGTTCGCCCCCTGAGCTTGGCGTGCGAGGTTCTCCCGGCATCGCCTCGCTCTCGTTTCCCCATTCCTCGTCCTCACCTGTAATAACAAATCTATATAAGACAAATGCAAAAAAACATGCAAATCAGTGTGTGCAAAAGGTCAGAGCAAAACGAATCGATGTAGTATCAGCACCTATTAGCGTCGTTAATAGTACAGCGATGGCGAGCCGGCAGCGGTTTTCTCGCGATAGCCGTCACTCGTCACGTTTCGTCTCCTATCTGTCCACGTCAGTCAGATGGAGCCTTAGCGAGTCGAGGCATACATTAGCGCTCCTAATTGAGACGTGCGCGCGCTATGTAAATGTCTCCGCGTGGGTGGGTGGTTCGATTTTACAAATGCAAGAAACTTAACAGAGATTAGGTTTGCATGCATCGAGCCTGTCGATCCGTCATTACATTCCTCGTCCGTCAATACCGTGAGCCGGATTGGCGCGCAAACAGAACAAAAACTTAACGGAGCTCGTTGTAATTGGATCTGATTTCCAGAAACCGCTCGCGTGTCTTCCTTTTTGAGCGACAACGATCTCGACCGAGCGAAGAATTAACCTATCTTTCGCGCAACGATCTCGACTCAAAACGCCAATTAATGAGGGGCTCAACTTCATTCTGGTGCCCCTGTGAAGATCATTATATGGGCACGACAGCGAGATGGACGCGACGATTGGTCCGAGCGCAGGCGCACCGCCATCTCTCGGTAACGAATACATTCCGAATCGGATCGCGTTCGGGTCACGCTATCCTAGTGTGCGCGCGTTGCGATTGGTCATTACGATTGCTTGCTGACGGCCGATCGGTCCCTAAAGTTGCATATCTGCCCGCTAATGTCACCATCATGCCGAACGCGAGCCTATCACGTTCGCTAATCGAGTCCCAGCTCCCGTTTTCCGCTAAATAAGTTATAAAAAGCGGCGATTGTTTCGCGAAAGTTTAATGTTCGATCAGATAGATGGCGTGACTCGGTGTCGTTTATGGTTGCTTGGGAGCTGAATATCGATTCTCTTACGACATTAATCTGGGCTTTTACATTTATTAACATACCGTTGTGCTAAGCGTAACGAGCAAAAGGCATGTTATTCAAAACGAGTACCCGCATAGTTTCGACTCGACACTAGACAATACACCTCAGACACACAGATGACGCGATGCTTTAGCCTTTGACCGCAAAGGTCTCACGATTCGCCCGTAATACCCTGCTTTCAGCTGCAATTCACAAAGCGTTTTGATTTATACAACAAGGCTGACAAGCGTGGAACACGTGCTTACACAACGAGAAAAACAAAGAAGCCATCTTGTTTAGCCGGTTATCAGATTCGAGATCGGAGTCCAATTAAAATAGTCGTGCATCGGTCGCGTCACAATCGTCTGATAGTCATCTGTGTGACGCGTGTGAGCGATCACCTACGAGACTGCGATCAGCGAACCACTACCACAGGATTCCTATGAACTGATGTACTGATCGCTGCTATTTCGACGACATTCACAAAATCTTTGTTAGGTAGAGCAAAACCTATTTCTTTGTATCCTGAAACTACATATTGATCAATAACATTGATAACAACATTTCTACATCGAATTCTTGCGGACATACGAATTGTTCGTGTCATAATAACACGAAATCGTCGATGACATGTAGTCTTTCAAAACAATTGTGTCATTACAAAATGTATATCAGCAAGAGCACTTTACGAACCTTCCACGTAAACAAAACGGTCTCTGAATTTCGAACATTCCTAGAACAAAGAATCGATAACGCGGCGACATTCAAAACTACTCGAGAATTCGTAGTAGCATTCTATAAGTCATCTTTGAAATGTCACTAGATCGCATTACACCTTGAACTAAAGATACGGAGATACGTTTTAGATAAAAACGCACAATAATTAATATGCGCATGTTTATAATAAATCTACATCGGACATCGGAACGTCAACTACACGTTGTCCTTTAATGTTATTCTCTGGATACTCGCATGCGACGTTAATTATACACTTTTAGTTCGAGGGAATTAAATAATCATTTACGAATATTTTTTTTAGGTTAATTTTAAATTGAATTTACTTTAACATTTATCTTCCTTAATTTATGTTTTCATTTAAATAAATATGTATATTTACATTATGAATTTAAATGTATTTTTATTAGAACGAAATCATAGGCTTTGTCGCTTTAATGTCAATACAAATAATAGCGGCCATTAGTGAGTGCTGCCAGCTTCGAAACAAAACGGCTACCACAATAAAAACAAGTTCATGTGTACACAAAGAGTTGAGTGACACAGTCTAGCGAGATTATCGTTACAACGATCTTGATTTATTTGAAATTGTACTGCGAGCCTGTACTGTTCATCTATCATATATGAAGACGGTTTATCCGCGACAACATCATAGGTGTTTAATAGGGGTACGGTATGTTTGTTTTGTTCGAATTGATCGTAGGATGTTGTTCGACTTGTTTTGTGTTAAGGATGTTATTATGATTGTTTTATCTTTCTGTTTGACGCTGCTGGAAGTCTTTTTTTGTGTCTTAATGGCCAATGAGATCGTACTCTGCTTGAAGAAAAGCCACCACCGTCTGTAGCAATCAAAGGGAATATTCCTACCATTGCACTCCCTAATGGTTACACAGATCAACTGAAGGACAACTGGAATAGACTCTAAAGTTTTACAAATGAAGCTTATGTAATCTCGATTCGAAATAAGAGGTTCACTTGAAGTTGTTTGTGGTCGTGAAAAAACTGTTGTTGTCTAATTACATTTCCGACTCCCGTTATCGTGGCGAGAATTTAATAATGTTTTTATTTATAAAGCAAGTGTTTTATGAATGAAGTCCGCGTTCGAGCGTTGTTGCGAGTTGAAAAAACGTTGGGCTTCATTATCGTCGTGTGGATCGCAAGTGTCCGTGGCGGGATGAACGTCGTGCGTCACGATCGGACGCGAATTAACATATCGCGGATTCGATTCCGCTATCGAGTTACGGACGGAGTCGTTGGGAATACGTGTCCTTTCTTGTCTATCATCTGTTTCCTTTGGAACCTATTGAATGGTTTGCTAATTCTCGAATTTGAAAGATTTAGTTTTTCGAATTTGGAAATCTGATTGTTTGTTACGTTATTTTTGTGTTCTGTAAAAATAATTAAGTTTTCTTACTAACAGAGCTATGAAACCGGAGCTATGAAGCCTTGGATGTAATCGTTCACCGTGAGATCGCACGAGATCTAATTCTACCTTAAATAACTGGTAATAATTACTAATATAGGTTTACTGGTGGTAGGACCTCTTGTGAGTCTGCACGGGTAGGTACCACCACCCTGCCTATCTCTGCGGTGAAGCAGTAATGAGTTTCGGTTTGAAGGGTAGGGCAGCCGTTGTAACTATACTGAGACCTTAGAACTCGTATCTCAAGGTGGGTGGCGGCATTTACGTTGTAGATGTCTATGGGCTCCAATAACCACTTAAGACCAGGTGGATTGTGAGCTCGTCCACCCATTTAAGCAACAGCTCACCACAGGTTGTACCACCAGGACGAAATACCCATATATTGGTTATTTATAATCGCGGCTGGAGCTTACTGTTCGGAGATTAGATTGGGATTTGGTTTGCCGCCGCACGTATGCGAAATAAAAAACTTTTTATAAATGTTGTTTGGATTGCGACAAAGCTGAACGATAGTTATAATTTTAGCAATAAAAAGCTATATGTAGTTCCGATACTGGTTATCATATTTTGCAACTTAGGTTTCTTTCGATGTGCTTCTGTACTCTATGGTCACCGAGCATTATAAGCATGTGTTCGATGAATTGGAGCTATCTCGGATTTTAGTACTTTGTAGCATATTTCGAATTGAAGTGGCTTAGAATTGAAGTGGATAAATCTAAAATTCTTGTTTCTTGATAAACGCCGAAAATGCAATTGTAATTTTTAGTTTTTCGATTTAATAATTTAAGGTGCTTGTTTTAAAAGAAACGAAAACTTTATGAAGTATTTTGTCCTTTTTTAGACTAAAAGAGACTTTTTAATTTCATAAACTGTTAGAAAGCATGTTTATACATGAAATTCGTTCAAAGTATGAAACCTATTTTCTTGAAGTTTTCTATAATAGTTAAATGAAGTCAATGCTAAATGTGCGACTTTAGAGTTAAACGTATGAATGTCGAAATGCATTCAAATTATCTCCTCCTCCGTGCGTCGTATTCCTCAGTTCTGAGGGTCGTGACCTTTACTGAGCGCTTTTGTCAGGACTATGTTCTTCCATTCACTTCTGTCCTCCGCGCAGTGGATAGCGACATTGATGCTGGATTCCAATGTCGTCTTAATCTGATCGGACCAGCGCATGGGACTACGCCCCCAGGCCTCTTTCCTTCCTCGTCCTTCAAATTATCTAAATTAAAATAATTCGAAACGTTCGGTATCGATTCATTAACACATCACGTGTTTAATCTTATTTTTAGATTTTAATGAATCCCATAGGTGTCATAATGTCCATTTATGATCACAGCACACTTATTCCTAATATGTCAACGTTAATTGAACATAAAACGGCTTCTTCATCACGAATTGATAAAACGCTCAAACGCACAAATGTATTATGCATGAACCTATTCGTACCTACCCGCACGTAATATATTTTATTACTATACTAAATGAGATTTTTGTCAAGACTTTCATGCCAATAAAATAAGAAAGTGTACGGTTTTGTTTTTTTGTTAATTTATTATCTCTGAATACGTTTGTGGAACATCTTGATAGTTCGTCACGTCAGCGGTTTAACATTCGTAAAATATTATCGCCGTTGGAAATTACGAGTAGAATATATTTTCTAAATTAAAGTTATTGAGAGATTAGGGAAAAATATTGGTTCTGAATTCGTGTATTCCTTTTTTAATAGAAGGCAAACGTACATGCTGGTGTAGCTCGCGGATATTGCCAACAGTAAAGGAAGATTACTGCCTATATTTTACCTCGGTCTTCAAATGTAGTTTAAGTATTTCACCTTCAAGAGATCTTAGTGATAAAATTAAAACTTAACAAAATTATATGATAATTTTCAGCATTAAAAAATCCGATTTCAACCTAGGATAGTACAGACCACCTACAACTGGAATGCGAATCGCTATTCAACTGCGGCCAAGCGAGCAAAAACGTTACTGTTTCGCATAGGGGGTTGGTAGATAAACATTTCCTTGTGTTGGCATGATGAATAAATCTAGATGTCTTTGCGTCGCGATAGTCGTGACGTAGTGTTGCTGTATGAGACGCGATATAGCACAGCTTATCTACAACGATGCCGGGGTTGCCGCAGCGGAAAAATGCGTGCCGTAGTAGAAATCACGATAATTATCAGGCGCTGTTTTCCTAATTGCAGTTTTTTTCATTGTTTTCTAAAATGTATGTAATTTCTCAAATAACACGTCGAGCATATTTTAGGCACGACTGCAAACAGGTTGGAAAGTGGTCTAAACTTTGAGGATCTGTGCTATGATTTTTATAACACAGCAAAATATGCTACTCCATCGAAGCGAATATCTGGTTTTTTCTTAACAAAAATTGTAATATAAAATAATTTGATCATTTGCTTAGTATGCGGTAGACGCAGACCACAGTCATGACGATGACAGTGCTTTTCACGTTGCGATAAACGAAAGATCCGATTAACATTTTTATTGATTAAAAAAATCATTATAAGTCTGGTGGTTAAATATTTATTATAGGAATTATAGCTGAGTTTTTCGCCGGATCGTCTCAGCGGGTTGCGATTCCGATCCGGTAATAGTTTATTCGCGAAGTAGCTGCTCTTTCAGATCTCCTTTGGAGGCGCTCGACCAGCCAGCAAATACCACCCCTCCTAGCTGAGCCTGCTCGCCCAAATGTCCTGGTGAAGCTAGAAAGGCTTCAAAGCCGCCAGTAATTCCTCAATCCTAAAAAAAATTCGGACCATCGGTCTATCGAGCAATTTCACCCGCTCGTTGGAAGATCTTGCCTCTGTCATTAATCATCCCAAAGAAACTTATTTTACAAACGTTATTTTGGAATCGTTGTCGATTAAAGAAAACCTATTCGATGCTTTTTCGAAGTATTTCGGTGTCGTGAAACAACGGCACACGTATTTGATAAATGTAGTGGGCGTAATAATTACATGAAAATTTCCTTTAATTTCCTTTGTCCGTTATCGTTACTACATCGTGTATATGGTTTTGTGTTTTTAATTATGAATACGTAAAATACGTTCCGCGTCAAATGTACATACGTCGGGGTCACGTTGATTAATGTATCTCTGGATATGGCATTCTTA